GATACAGAGAGCGAGAGAAACAGATGGATCAGAGAAAACCCAAAAATTGGAGACGTCAGAATCTTCATCAGAATCTATATTTTATGCTGGAGGAATCCGATGGGCTATGAAGCTCTATTTTTTTCACAGGTGTTCACTAATGATCACTTTATAAAAGTAAGTGGGCCTTGGGGAGCACTAGTCCGCTCGAAGAGATGACGAACAGGTGTCGAGGAGAGTGGCAGGGCACGGCCGAAAGGAAGTCCACTGCGAAGATGGAGCGATGAGATCAGTTCGTGCGCAAGAGCCACATGGATCTCTGTTTCACGGGACCGCAAGGGAGGATGACGACTTTGAGAAGGCTTCATGCAGCAGTAGAAAGATCGTGGCTGATGATGAAGATATATACTAATTTATTATCCTCGAATAAACTGGCCTAAACCTACAGATTGTTTAAAAAAAATTATATATATTATTACTGGATACGCATCGTTAATTTTAACAGCCAAAATGGCCCCTGCTAGTGCACAGAATGGCCTTTGCAATGAAGAGCGGTGGTTTTGTAGTTAGGCTTCAACACCTTGCATTCAGAACACAATTTGAGGATTTGAGGTCCGTCTGTTTGCATGCGCATTTGAAGACACGTATATGTGGCAGGCGAGACTAAATGGGAATGCAGCCATGTTCACCACCATCTGTTTACAGTATTCCCAGCTAGAGCCATAAATCTCGCGCTTTGTGGTCATGGAAACGAATTTTGCTCTTCACCTATGATTTATTTTGCTCCTCTGTAAGATGTTAAATTGTTGGGTCATCTTCGAAATTATGGATATTTCTTAAGGAAATTAGTGGGCTTCACTTTTTACAACATAATTCGTGATATTTTTCATATGCATAAAACTTATATTCTTGGATCTTTCGGTAAAGTCATGTAGATAGAAAACAAAAAATATATATAGTGCAATTTTAATTAAAAATTCAAATAATAAATAATGTAAATAATACATTGTATGAGAACTCAAAAATTTATATAAAAAAAACATCAATTATTTTTATTCTTTGGGTCTTTCGGTAAAGTCACGTCAATAGGTTCAAAGAAAATAACAAAAAAAATAACAACAAAAAACTACGACATTTCGATCACAACACAAGCGATCGTCATCCTGATGACTATGAACTCCTGCAGTCATGAAAGCTTGAAGTCAAAACATCAATTCTTAACTTTGACCCTCTTTGTTAACGTTCGATAAAACCACACAGCATACCAAACACAAGTCCTGTAAAAATAATTCTGTAGTCATAGCCAACAGTGTTTTGCGCGAGTCTCCAGTCAAGACAACAATAGCCCCACGTCATTTAAATATACAATTCATACTTTAAATATACAATTCGTACTTTATGTTTATTTATTTATTAAAATTCTAAAAAGGAAATCGCAGGATAATACAATGGAGCCATGGGCCCCTGAGTCACATTTTTAAACTGGGGTTATTTTTGTTTACACGAAGTATACGATAAAGTAGTTGTAATTTTCAAACACAATTCTAAAGAAACAAGCGCTTGTTATTTAAATGTATTTCATAGAAAATATTTTTTTTTCACTTCAGATGTAATTATACACAACATCGAAAGACAATGTGCATTCAAAAATAACATATGCTTTAGTTTTGTTGGAATGCAAGTCTTGTGGTCATAATGTTGTACATTATATTTAGACACTGGTAATGCCACACCCCTCTTAGACTTGTATTAAAGTTCAGGGGCTTTGAAATTGTATTTTTTTAGGATGGAGTTGGATAAAACCTATTGGGGAAACTCCCAGTGCCATATGGGGAATCAGGGACAGTGGCAATGAAGATGGATTTTCAGCTGCGAGAGTGGTGGTTGTGATTCCTGCAGTTTGCTAAATGGACTTGATGGATTACCCTTATGTTCACACGTGTAATTAGCGACTTCCGTTGACGCGTCGTGTAGAGGGCTTCTTCTAATTTATTCTCACACTGGGCACAACACAGGCCAATACATAGAGATATGTCTCCTCTCACTGGGCACAACACTGGGTAGTATCTATATATCCGTCTCTACTTTAGCTACGCACAGCCGACCTCTCTACATAGTCCCATCGCCTTCATCCAACCACACAGCTGGCTGACTGGTGTGACGATGACGGCGATGGGAGCCGTGCAGAGGATCTTCCATGCGGCCAGACCACGGAGAGAGATTACGGCGAGCAGTGACGCAGCCAGGACCCGGGACCCTGCAACAACCCTGAACCTTTGGTTCCATCCCCCTTATATACCTCTCGGCGTGGCCCGGCCCCGCCTCTGGCCACGCCTCCTTCCAGAACCTTCGAGCAGGTTCCTGGAGCTTCCCGACTAACTCCACCTTTTACCTTTAACCCAGATATGCCCCCCCCCCCCTTCTGATTAGTTGTTACATAACCTTGCCCATACCCGTGATTACCCTTCCAGGCTGCCAGGTGGCACCCTGCCATTACACATGTTACGTGGTGAAATGACGTTGCATAAGAACAGCTGTTGGCTCAGGTGTTTTCCTGTACTCTTATTCACATATGCCTTTTTCAATATTCGTCGGTGAGATTTAAATGACTAAATGACTTGCTTGGTTTGTTGGTAGCGAAGTAGTTCCGTCATGGTCTATGCCATCGGAGGCACAATGCAAATGTAGAGAAGTGGTGGCGCAGAGGTTAGTGATCTACGCAATGAACTCATTGACCTGCGTTTGGTTACCATCATCCATGGCGAATCGTGTCTGAACCAGTTTTGGGCTCTCCTTCACTGATCTATATTGGTGAAGTATGGTCAAACAACCCCCACGAGCGACACTGTGTGGAAAGGCCATTATCCAGCAGCGGATTGTATGCATGCATGTATGTATGTTGAATTTCTTTCATACCGTACGTAGCTAACTGTGCTAATTGGTGGTGCGGGTTGACAAAGGGCTGTAAAAGATATTTTTCTGATACAAAAATTATAAACATATAGTGAATGATATTGAATACGGTGATGTTACTGAATTGCCCCAATAAGCTGTCAGTTTTTTTGTTTGTCCTATTACTATCGATGTTACACCTCCGATTGGCACGGTTGGCTACGTACGGTGTGAAAGAAGTTCAACATGTTCATGTATTCATCATCTTTAAAAGCAGGTGGTGGAAAACATAACTTTTTCATTTTAGATTTAATTGTTGATTTCAATATTGTGTTGGTAAAAAGTGAGTAAAATCCCGAACAATGTGTCTTAATCATATTACAATTACATAAGTTCCATTAATAGCATATTCCTTCCTAGGGCATTGATTTTTTGTTAAGTGGTGGCAGATTTCTACAGCTCAATTTTATAGCTGACCCAGACCAACTTTGAGTCGTATTAAACTTGAGAGATGATTTGTATCATCAAGGGATATGTATTAAAGGCAAATCAAAGACAAACCTGCAATCTCACATGTCTCTCACAATATCTTCCCATCTGCACTGTAGTCTCCACCTAATGCTTTTGTACATATACAAATGTGCCCTTAGGGACTCTGCTATCTGACATCTTGGAAACATGAGAAGCTCAGCACTGCTGCTCTGTCGGTATTATTGCACTAAGTGGTGTCTGCTGTGATATATTATAGAGCTCATCGTTTGATGTGTTGTTCTGTCATTTGACTATGAGGCTCCAATGAATACAAAGCCCATGAAATCTTGTAGACTGAGTAATTTTTATGCTTTGCCTATTCGAATTGTGTTACTTCCCACTTCATCATCAAACATTCACACGGCCTCTCAATTAATGTACCCTTAGTCTGTAATACTGATTTAGCTTTTATTTATTTACTACAAAAGGCAACTTAAAAGTTATTTGTGGCAAACCATCATAAACATTACACGGTATTGCATGCATTTGTGCATGACTTTAATCACGTGCATTTGAAGATTGGTAATATTTTTTGGTTATTTTGTAAATTGCTATTGTATAAATTGTAGGTTTATTCCACAAAGTGTCAATTAAATGTTACAGCCAATTAGCCGTGGCAGTTAGTTTTGGTGGATTTTGTTTGCATGATCGTTGCAGGGCTTCCAGGTTGCCACTCAGTATTTATACGGTGAATACGTTATCCTGACCTATTTATATCGATTGTTTTGTTTATTTTTGGCTTCATCCCATAATAAACATGAAATTTTGATTTGAAGCTTTCGTGACTGCAGGAATCCATACTCTTTGGTTCTTTCGGTAAAATCACGTAGGTATAAAATAATATAAATCAATATGTTTCGGGCGCAACACAAGCGTCCGTCATCAAGTGGGAAAGCATGGTTTGCTGCTGAGGAAGACTGTTTTAAAATGATTTAAATGGGTGTAGCCTAAGGGTCATAAAGAAGTGGACGGGGCTAGTGATGTTAATGTGAGAAATTAGCATGTAACTGTAGAAAAGAAGGAAAGCGGCCTCCTCGACGAGGGAGTGCAACCCAACGGGTGTAATCCACAGGGCCTGTGAGAATGAGAGTGCAATCCACAGACAAGAGAGTGCAATGCAGCGGACATGTGAGCATGAGAGATCTCAGAGAGAGGCATAGAGAGAGAGACACAGAGTCGAAATAACAGCTGACATAGGCAGGTAGGATGGAAACATCACAGTCAGTTAAGACTTTACCTGGTTGATAACGTCCTTCCAATGATTGCTCAGTTTGTACCCATCCTCTCGGTTGAAGTTGTGTCTGTGTTTATATATCTGGATGGCTTCATGAACAAATCTCTGAAGGTAGCCAGTAGGTTTGCAGAGTACCTCCGTCTTGGAAAATATATATATTTGTAAACTTTCTCCTCCACAAGCAAAACATGAATCAGCCGTATATATCCCATACATGGCCATCGCGAAAAATTGTCTTTTGCCTCCATGAGACCCCCTTGGTGGAGTACATTCCTGGTGTTAGTAGGGGCCTCGTTACGGTCAACTCTGAACAGCCCCCTCTCCTTGTGTGTCCGTTGTTCCGGGCAACGCTCTTGTCTGTTAGCTACAGCGACATGATGATCGAGAGAGAGGTGCTGGCCCAGAAGTACATTCACATCATGCAGATCGTGGAGGCAGAGAAGACGGCCGCCAATCAACTCCGGCAGCAGCTGGAGGACCAGGACACGGAGATCACGCGCCTCAAGGCAGAGGTACCACCCTCGCACATCCACTAACACCACGTTTTTCGCGTGTATTCTCATAGACTCCAGTTGTAGTAAGATGTGTGTATGCATGTGTAGTGGTTAGCACGCTGCGCTACGAACCCGGCGCCCAAGTTCGATTCACGCTCACGGTCAGTGACGATTATCTGAACCGGTCCTTGGCCTCCCCTAGATCGACTCAGCCTCGAATAAGTGCCTGGTGTGTAAACGTCACCACGTGGGAGACAACGGTGGCAAGAAGTGGTGTTGGCAACAAACCCCCTCGTGTGCCGTGCTGGCCTTCATAGGTGCTTGCTAACAGCACTTGCCCCAACAGTCTGTGCAGGCTATACGGGGAATCTTTATCTTTGTATGTATGTTGAACTTATTTCGGACCGTACGTCGGCAACCGTGCTAATTGGAGGTGCGGGGGGGGACAATAACAATGTCTGTGCATACACACAGGGCCCACATTAACGCAAGGGGCTGGGCCTCGTATTTTAAGGATCCTCTCCAATAAACACATATATGCACACTCTTTATCATTGTTAAAACACAATACTGCAGTATTATGATGAAGCCTATGGTGTAAATTGATCATTAAAGCAATAGCATCACAACTGTGTGTATACTGCTACAGTTATGCGCTGAAATTCAGATCGATTTGATCTTTTTTTAACTTTGATTTCGGTTTATGGACTCGTCTAACACGTTTAAAAACCAAACTCAAATAACCAAGGCGAATAACAATGGTGGGTCTGCCATCATTGGGTTGAGGTGGTGGTCAAACATCAAAGTGAACGAATTGAATGTACAAATAATTGTGTACTTGTTGACGAATGTGTTGAATTTTTATTGAATATGTAGTGACATCGCGTGATGTCACTGTGTAATGCCGGCTCAAGAGAGGCACGGGGCGTGCGGTGTATTCACATCGCGGACACCACGAGGATGTGGGTGCAGTAGCGGCCCTAGAGGGGCTCGGTGAGCGCTGATCGATAGCGCTGGATGGCACCACGCTGGGGTGTGGGAGTGCCGGCCATGGAAATGGGGTTACTAAGGACCGTGGCATTCTGGTAGACCCCAGAGGACACGTGACCGTTTAAGTCTACACAGGGCCCCAAGTGGGGGCTAGGGGTGGTCACGTGTCAGGGTCGAGATCCTGCTCGAGGATTCTGGAAGGTGGTCGTGGCTGAGGGCGGAGCCAGCCACGCCGCCTTGTCTTTTGTCGGTAAAGTCATGTAGATACATATTCTTTGTTTTTTTCCGTAAAGTCACGTATCTCCGTATCTACGTGACTTTATTGTTGATGGAGAGCTTTTGCCTATATAATTTGGAAACCCAGAAAAATTTGTTTCACAGATCGAACTGCCGATGAGGTTCAGAAAGTCAATTTTACCTGCTTCTACAAGCATTGCCAAACATGTTTGGTGCAGAAAACTGATGAACTAAAATGTTAATTTATTTCGACATGACAAAACACTTGCCTGCTTATCGTACTACTTTGCCACCTCACAATTATTCTTTTTTTGCGGTAGATTGTGGCGCTCAACAAAACTAAGGAGCGCATGCAGCCAAGGCAACTGGTGGGTCAGGAGGAGGAAGATCCAGACATCAAGAAGATCAAGAAGGTCAGTCCTGAGCGCTACTGAGCGCAGTTGTGTTTGGAATGTGAATCTGTTTATTTTTGCTGTAATATTTGAGCATAGAAACCATGGGAAAGCTACAATTTGTTCCGATATAATCTCTTGGACTTTTCGGCTGGCATGGCCCACCAAAAAGGTATGCCGAGTGATGATGGTAATTTATGATGCAAAGTGCTCATTTCTCGGCTGAGTAAGCTCAGGAAAGACTCAGGCCAATATCAGATGCAAGTACAGCTCTTAATTATGGGATCGAACAGCGTCATGAAACAAACAATGAGCACGAACTTATTATTCCTCACCTATGGCGTGTTCAATTTGCTGCATCTTCACAATCACAGCAGCATCGCTATTACCCGAGACAATCTAGAGTACGAGCGTTCATTGAGACAATGGAAATGCCTCAAATGCATATCTGTACAATGCAATGCTTGTCAAAATCATCGTTTTGGATAGAAAGTGAAAAATGCATAATGTTGCACTTGTGAGTTATGACTCGCATGGTTGCAATGGCTTAATCTTGGTGAGAGAATGATGAATACAAGATAGGCAACAGAGGTCAGATACGGCTTTCTTTTTGAACGCAGCTTCCACAGTTATACATTATTTTAGTGTGCATTCAAAGGCTGCTATTATTACATATTCTAGCAGTTGCTTCATTCGTGTCTAAAACACATGTATAAAGCAATGGCATTATCGGTCCGTTTCATCGATCCACGGTATAAAAAACAGAATATGTGAAGAAGCAGCTTCTAACGGCCATTTGCGGTGACCTCACTTTGATGAATTTAAACGGTGACATCGCGAGGCATTTCATCTTTTTTTTTTTATGGAAGAATAAGCCTGAGGGGCCAATTAAAATTGTAAGTACAGCATCGTGTGGAGCAGTAATGAGACAAATGTGATTAATGACAACAATAAATTTCCTTCATCCCGCCCCCCGTCAACATGAGGAGGTGACTCGGGCATAATGGAGCTGCTCGTTTCCGCAAATGTCCCGCATGGATTTATTTCAGCCGCTGTCTAAAGAATTATTTGTTCGCAAAGCACGATCACTCAATCCCAGATCTGGCTCAACACAAAACCGACTGCCATTGTTTGGACATCTCGTTCTTCTATGTGTTTGTACCGATAGACATGATTAATTCATATATAAACTCATATAAACATACGTATATTTTCCCTATACAATTGGACCACACAGAACATACCTCAACAATGACAGCTGACACAGACGAAGAGCGTATGTCTTAGCCTACCAAGTTTCCTCCAGCCTACTCTGAGGTAATTCAATATTTTTTTGAGACATTTAAGTAAACCCTATTTGATTTTTAACTATGACCATTAGTAATGTAATTTAAAGAAACGTATTATTACTGATGCACATAGGTTTCATTCCAGTCTTTTTAAGCAATGCATATGTATTTCTACAAGGAAATTCATTTCAATTATATGTAAATTATTCAAAGTATATATTATCTTTGGGCATATTGATTGCCTGTTTGGTCAGATGATGATATAGCCAACTATCTTTGGTTAGCCATATCATCGTAAACTAAATTATACATCCATTACAGCCATGATCAATATAAATTTGATTGATCGTATCATATCTCAGGAGCTAAGGGTGGGTGATCCTGGTTAGTACGTGGCATCGTAGACTGCGTAGCATTTACGCTTGGCCTGCAAGGATGTCCAGGAAATGGCAGAGAGTACAAAAATAGTTTCTTGAATTCATCTGTGTGGAGCTTTAAGTGTTGACACCCTCGTATGTAGGAGTGGGTGTTTCTCTGGGTGCAGTATTCACCCACATGTAAAGCACTCCTTAAAATGGAATTGGCCGTGACATCCCCAATCATTCTCATGCATCGCTGAGATTTCCAAGATAAATGAAGAGTAATATTATTGTTTTATATGTGCGAAGCTATTCGTGCAAACATCCTTCATCATGTGCAGCGGACCATTGTTGGTGGGAACTAACACACATGTACGTGTTTTCTGACTGTGAGCTAGTACCGATCGCCGCTCTGGATTTAATACAGAGCCTTCTCGTGAGACACATTTCAGTACAGAAGACAGGAGGAGATTTAATTTTTTTAAAATCCACTGACATGAACCCCATCTCATTCACCGATGCCTGCAAGCACAGCAGCAGCGCTCTTCTTTTAAGAAACTACACGTGCAGGGATTTTTTTTTTTGTAAATGAGGTTTGCACTACATTTACCATCCATTATATATATATTCGTGTGTGCGTGTGATTCCTGATATATTCAGTGCAGTCCATCATGTCGGCTTAAATTGCTCGGCTGATTTGCGCCGTATTTCACACGGTTCCCACGTGCTCAATGCTGTCATTAAGCTACGCTAACAGCCTTCCCCGATGGAACGTACAGCACCATCGTGAACCAAATCCCCAGCGTTAGTAGACTGGAACAGGTCAATAGGCAGCGGTATTTGAACTGCCGACATCAGATGGACACGCATTGAGTGCACATCAGTATCTGCAGATGCCGCTTTCAACATTTCCATTTGAGTCACCATGACAGCGACGGTTTGAATGCTGCAGTCAATAGCCAAACTGGCTTCCTGTTTACATATAGGCTTATCGTGTAAGCCATTGTCATACATTTTTGCATGTTAATGCTGGAGGGTTTCTCTTTTATCTTGGATACGACTCAAACCTGCTGCCTTGATTTCTGCTGGAAATTCGTCTGTGCTTGGAAGCAGTGATTTATGGTGGATTTACTAATATCTGTCAGGGAATTTGTGCTCATGATTCCCTCGTAGCAACATATACTACTTGTCCCCTTTCCCGGTCGCAACATGCCTTCGCGTTGTGAAATATTACCTTTAATTCTCGATAGACTACTGCCCGTAGGTTTCTGCGGCCGTCTTGTTCGATCTCTTCGACGCAGTGTCGGGGGTTGTCACCGCGCGTTGTTCGACACGGTGTCCGACGTTTCGCTCCGCCTCCTGGAACCTGCAAATTGAGCGTCTCACTTTCCTCTGGCGTGCATGACGGAGGGAGCAAAAAAATGAGCGGCTCAAAACGCGTAGCTGGAGAGGCTCTCGACCGCGTGGAGCAAAATGTCTGACATCATCCCGAACAACGAGCCGTAACACCTACCCCAACACGCATCGGAGGGCTTTGATCCTTGTTATTACCCCACTGTTGGTGCCGGGGGGGATTCAGTCAATCAATCTTTATTTCACGTGCCAATATTGCCCTCAATGAAACAGGCATCAGTGCACATTGCAACGGAAACGAGAACGGTACAGGGGACATAAAGCAGCGAGAGGAATGGGAAAAAGAAACCCGTCACGACCTCGGCGGATAACAACGACTGAGCAAAGTAAATTGCGACCGTGCGCAACGAATCGCATACGAAAGTGAATTGGTAAATGAAAAAAAACGGAACGTGAAGAGGCAGCATTTTAAAACTGTTGATTTTATGGGAAGATCCGTCTGAAAAGGTGTGACTTGCACACCTTGGATGAAGCTGTGGCAATGACGAAGCTAACTTCATTTATTTTAGTTCTATTATATATGGCTCCGTAATCAACATTTGCGATGTCTATAGCCATTTAACCGTGATAGAAATAGTGTATGTAGAAATAATCAAAAACTTTGAATTGAAGATTACACATCCACACCGAGAATGCTTGAAGAAAAGTCTAAAACCCAAACATCAGAAGAGCAGTCAGGCAACAATATACGCTCTCAGTTGGTGACATTTGAAATGACATCCGAAGACATTTTCCAAGATCTAGGTTGTATAAATATAAATGGACTAACATGATAGACTATTGATATCTGAACCAGTACCGGCCTCCCAACCTGCACTGACCAGTGTGGTGAAGTATAGCCAAACGAACCCCATCACCAGGTCTTCACCCATCAGTAGAATGTCAATTATTGTTTGCTTATTTGTTTTACGCTCATTATCCAATCACAACAAGTACTGTAATTGTTCATAGGTCAATAAGCCAATGGGGTGATTGGTGTGACATTATTTTTTTGTTAATCCCTGTGAAAGGTTCGCAAGAGCAGTGTAAACACACAGTCTTGTGGTCTCTTGTCTTGAGCTGGCATATTATCTACCCTGCTGGTACCATTGCCTGCCCACTGCCAGTCAGAGCAAACATCTGTGTTCCACAGCGAAGATTACGTTAAAGCTCCGACTGTTGCGTTTACTTCAGTTTCAAGTTTCATTTATTAGGTATAGCCCTGTGAGCCATTCGGCTCTTGAATCTGGTGCAACCGCAACAAACAAAAAAACAAAAACATGAACAAGAAAACATCTTAAGGTGACTATGTGCAAACAGAAAATCCAAGAAAAGACAGCAAAATATTGCAGAAAAAGCACCGTACACCAACACTGTGTGCAAAAATCCCAGTGGGATGCAAGTCAAACAACAACAACCACAAGACAACTTAGATTAAGGCCATCAGTCTAACTCTGTACTACAACAAACAAACGTGGCCAAACCGAAAAACTTTTCAAAAATCACCAAAATAAAGCCATAAAAGCAATGAAACAGTGATCATAGGAACTGTGACCGAATTTTCACAATAAACGACGTGAACAACATGTATTACCAAACTCTGCAGCCATAGCTGGCTACAGAGGAGCGGTGAGCATCCCTAATGGGAAGGAGTTGTGCTAATTGACAGCGGCTGCGTCGGCGTCGGCAGCGTTCGCTCCGGAGCGCGTGGCGCCCACACATCCCGGGCCAACCGCTGCGATTTGAGAACCCAAATCTCAACGTGCCCCCCCCCCTCCCCCCCACAGCTTCTGCTATTCACGGCATGACTGACTTCACGCGCGCCACTGTCTCGTGCATTGTGAACGCTACAACTGCCAGCCCTCGTCTGTTTCTGGATGTTGGCCTTCAAAAAAAACACCAACATATGGCGCGTGGCGTGGTAATCACGCCAAATTAGCCACCTGACATAATCAGACTACAATCTGGCATCATAGGCGTCGCCTGCATACTATAATGCACTATTTACATACATACAAAGAAATGCATTTTAGTCTCATATTTAGCCTCACTACATCACCTATAAGTGGATACTCACATATGCTGTCACCGAATAGAACACATGCATGTTGATATACTCCAATGGGCTATCTAATACAACTATCAGGGTAGGTTCTCTCACATTTGGCAAATGAGCGGTTGGTGCTCTCTACTCCTATTTGCCAATGCGGCTTTTGAATGGTAAATGGTGCTGAACCCATTAAACTCATAGCAGGTGGGAGGGCAGATCCTGTCAGGTGTGGCAGCCAGGAACTTGAGCCGAGGGCCCCGGTAATGCATGCCCAGCCCACCAATGTGGGCATAGCGTCAGTCCGGACCGTGACCTTTGTCGATGCGGTTCTCTCGCCATGACTTCCGAGCGTCCTAGACTTAGAGCGGTTGGACCGATGAGAGCAAACCGCTGTCACTTCGGACGCAGCGTTGGCTTCTGGGAAGAGTGCCCGAGTGTGAGTTGGAATATATTGAACATGTAAAGAGAGGGAAGCTGCCCTTAAAATGTGTGGAAGGGGAAACTGCAGAAGAACGATCAAGGGGCTGTGCCAGAAAGATTCCAGGTGCTGGACTTGGCGTGCCTCAGTTGGCGCAGAAGAGACGATCACAATGCCACTATGCCATGGTGTCAGCTGCTGAAGAATATCTGTCGGGGTGGATGGACCAGTTTCAAAGGTCTCTTGTGAGGAGAACGATGTCACGATGATGAAGATGATGGTGGTGGTGGTCTATGAGGATAAATTGCTGTGAGCATTGTTTATTCACGTTCGGAGTCTGAGTATAGTTGATGCAAACCTGTGACACTTCAGTCAGGTCTTAGTTTGTGGATATTGTTTCTTTACTTCTTTAGCCGAGGCGACTAAAAGCAGTCCAATATTTTATCCACTCTGAGTTAATTAATTCCCACCCCCGCCTAATTGATCTCAATCTACAGCTTCATTCAGAATACACGTCGTTAATTTAGTCTCATCATGGTCAGTTGCGCTCAGGCCTTTTGTGGCTGGTCATAGTGATTGTCACGCTTGATGATTTCCATCCACTCACAGTCGTCGTTCGTTAAACGACAAACGACGCTTCGCAATCGACGAACATTTCCGTCTGCAAACCTATCCGCCGCGCGCTGTCCTCCCTCCCACAGGTGCAGAGCTTCTTGCGAGGCTGGCTGTGCCGGCGCAAGTGGAAGACCATCGTGCAGGACTACATCCGCTCGCCGCACGCCGAGAGCATGCGCAAGCGCAACCGCATCGTGTTCAGCATGCTGGAGGCGGAGACCGAGTACGTGACGCAGCTGCACACGCTCGTCAACATCTTCCTGCGCCCGCTGCGCATGGCGGCCAGCTCCAAGAAGCCAACCATCTTGCACGACGATGTCAGCAGCATCTTCCTCAACAGGTGCTGCCTCTCTAAAAGCCTCACCTATTTATTCTCAAATGGCCATTCCCTTCCTCTTCCATCCCTTCACCCCTCCACTCCTTCCCGTCCCTCCCCTGCCCTTTTGTGACCCCCGCGTCTCAGCGCTTGCACGCCCCTGAAATCACTCTATTTGTGTTAGCGCTTTTTAAACGATGTAGAGTGCCTTGAGAAAAGGCACTCTATAAATATAAAATAAGCTCTTCACCAAGTGCTACCGCGAGCCTTTTCTGCGTGTCGTGTCCAGCCACTGGGACCGGTATTAGTTCACCTGTCTCACTCTGCCATAGTCCAATATGTTGCCGTGTGTGCTGGGAGCTTCCTCTGAAGGAGCCTCTTCTGAAGAAGAATCTTCTCCTAAAGCTCCCAGCACGTGCAGCAAAACATTCAACGTCACCTCATCCTTGCAGAAGCTTTTGGCTAGCCATCAAACAAAGGGCGGTCACTACATTTCGCGTTTTCAGATACGCTTCTGCGGCTGTCTGGAACGCTCTTCCTTCCGACATTAAGAAGCCATTGGAGCTATGCACTTTTAAATGATCTAGATTGATAGCTAATTTATTTAGAACTGCTTTTTGTGTTTAGTTTGTTTTCCTCACCCCGCACCTCCGATTAGCACGTTTGGCTACGTCCAGTGCCTAGGAAGTTCAAGTCTATGTAGTTTACGTGTTCGTTCCTAACCTACCTTGCGCAAGCATGCGAGCGAAATTCAAATCCTCCTTCCTTCTCTTGCAGCGAGACCATAATGTTCCTGCACCAGATCTTCCTTCAGGGACTAAAGGCACGCCTTGCCAGTTGGCCAACACTGGTTCTGGGTGAGTTTTTCGTGTTCATTTTTCCCATGATGCAAGATAAAAACATGGCATCGTTTTTTTGGTTGCAACAATCCAATCCTCCCACCCTCAACCCAGCATTTAATTGCACGAATTTTCATCCAGATATCCATTCTATTATTCAACAATCGGTTATATATTTTTTCAACATTGCTACAGGGTGACGTGAACTCATCTCATGCGATGCATGCACACCAAAAGAAAACGCCGATTACTGTATTTCACACGCGAGTTGATGCGTACATTGCGATATTCAACAAAACAAGTACATTGATAAATTCATTGAGCGCCGAGCTATGCCCCTACTTATCCTATTCGTTTAAGTTGCCCGTTCACACCTGGACATTGCCTGCAAACGTGCATTTTCACAGCGGACCTGTTCGACATCCTCCTGCCCATGCTCAACATCTACCAGGAGTTTGTGCGCAACCACCACTACAGCCTGCAGGTGCTCGCCAACTGCAAACAGAACCGGGATTTCGACAAACTGCTCAAGCAGTACGAGAGCAAGGCAGACTGCGAGGGACGCACCTTGGAGACCTTTCTAACATACCCCATGTTTCAGGTTCGTGGGTAGGAAAGATGAGAACGATTCTAGGTCTAACCAGCAGACGAGCTTCCAGCCTGCTGCGTAGGTTGTCGTTTTCTGGCTGTAATGCTCTCCGGTCCATGTTCCTTGGCTGTGCCACGTGCAGTTCGGCATTTGTGCCTCTGTGGAGCAGCACCAGGCTCTGAAACATATCTGGTATGCACAGTTGTATTTACGGTAGCCTCAGCTGTCGAGTGTCTCCACATGATGCTAAATATTGGCCATGAACAGCTTTGCAGACGTAGTTATGTCTGACTTTCTGAATGCTGTGAGTCCAGATCTCAGGTGGGGAGTTCAATTTTAGCTCATCATATCTCCTTTGTGGGAAGTCAACAATGAACAGGCTGGCCCTCGTCACAGGAATGTGGAACTTCCACCTCCAACTGTTCAAGGGCCTCAAAATCAATAATCCGTCAACCAGTGATGGTTTGAGTAGTGGCCACTTTTGCTATGACCTTATGTAGTATATTAAAACAAAATTATGATTGTGATTGTCTTGTGCTTGCCGGGCACTTGCTACAGATCCCCCGCTACATCATCACCCTGCACGAGCTGCTGGCTCACACGCCACACGAGCATGTGGAGCGCAAAAGCTTGGAGTTTGCCAAGTCGAAGCTGGAGGAGCTGTCAAGGTAACGTGGAGTCGTCGAGTGGAAACAGCCAGACCAACGCATTACCCACAGAAACCCCACACGAAGAGCTGCGAGGGGGTGTAACGATGCATCTTTGAATTAAAATACATTTTACACTTGTGATACGTGCATCGAATCACGCATGTGACAATCGATAATTAATCTCGGTGTAACGGTTACCCCACCGTGTTCGATTAGACCTCTCAGCGCGGCCGTTAAAAGAGTGGTGCAAGTTTCTTAAATCCCCCGCCTGTCAGCCCAGAAGCGTACACGACTGTAAGTGGGGAGCCCCATGGCCAAGTCTTTCGGCGGGGTGAAGTGTGGATGCTCCCACCACTTCAAAGATGTCTGACCCGTGTGGAAGAGTCGGCCAAATGTCATCCATAGTGCCCCTGCAGAGCTCCTTCTAGTGGAGGCCCTTCTGCAGCAGTGGCGGCACGGGCAAGAAATTGCAGGGCTGCACCTTTACCGTGTATACATTGCAGGAACTATCGTTCAGCGCAACGTAAACATAAAGACTCAAGTCTCGGATCAAATGACAACCGCTGCATTGTGACAATTCATCGAATTGCGAGGAGGGCAGAAATGCTATCGTTCCAAGCGAGCGTGGCAGTATCGAATGCGGAATGTTTTCAATAAAATATTTATGCAGACAAATACAACTTGCCACAATATAAAACGATGCATGTATAGCTGCTTTAGCTCAGCTGTAGAATGCACACGTGTGGACAAATAACCCGCGGCGTATTACGTGCATGTAGGCGTTCTATGTTGAAGGTGATGATTGTTGCATAGCAGCATGACGCGACTGCTCACCATCACGCCGGCTCTGGTGGAGTGCACCTATAAGCCAATGCTTTTGATGTGGGATTAGTGGCTCGCACATGTAGATAACATATATCATGTGTACGAGCAACCTACCTGCAGGACCGGTAGGTGACAAGACCATGACAATACAAGGAGGTTGGAAAGGATATTTAATTCCTCTGGCATCTCAGCTTCCTCCCACTCAGTGCTATTCATTTATATTTATATGTGTGAAAAACTCAATCAGAGAGCAGCCAAACATGTCAATGCAAATTTCACTTTAAAAAGTGCCTCGAGTCTGAGTGAGGCTTTTTCTACATAATGAAATGGAACTATTTTGTGTCTAGCCTGGTGGTTGAGATGAATGAAAGTGGCAGCCAAATGAGTGATTGCATCTATGAGGACCACCTCCTTGGAGACGAAGCATTAATATCGGTTCGCGTGCAGATGCTATAGATGGAAAGTTGCATCGCAAGACCGTGCGAGGTGATTACAGGTTTTGGACGGCTTCTTCCAGCGACAGTGGACAGATGGCGGCTAATGATCACGATGATAATGACGATGTTGTGTGTTGCTCCTCAGGGTGATGCATGATGAGGTGAGTGAAACAGAGAACATCAGAAAAAGCTTGGCCATCGAGAGGATGATTGTGGAAGGCTGCGACATCCTGTTGGACTCCAGCCAAACCTTTGTGCGACAAGGTGCCTCCTACACACTTCGACACGACGCTTGCATCTACACACGCGCACAGTGGTTGCCTTAGTGACAATCAATGACCGAGAAGCATTTCTCTGATAATTGCAGCAAAAGCAGATTTAAATACCGCAATTGTCAGCTTGCAATGCATTAAGGTCACCAAGGCAATACTACTTAGCATTGTCCTCCAAAATCCATGCTTTTTATAACACGGGCTTCTTTTAACTACCAGAGGTGCACGTGACGAGAATGTTTAATCTTGATTTGAAGCTTTCGCGACTGCAGGAATCCATACTCTTTGGTTCTTTCGGTAAAGTCACGTAGGTATAAAATAAAATAAATCACGACGTTTCGGGCGCAACACAAGCGTCCGTCATCAGGTGGGAGAGAATGTTTAAGTGCATCGTTGCTGTGCAAGTAAAGAAGAATTCAGAACGTGTTACTTTTTTTTATCTTTCCTAAATGAGCACGAACGTTCTTATTTCACAGTGGCGCACAGGTGGTGTTTTTGAGATGCTGTTTTAGGGGCCTCGACTTCAATAGGTTCTGCTGCGGAGTCACAATGCCGGGCCAGGCATCCGTGCGCCCCGGTGGGCAATATCACGCGGCGCTCTCGCACGGGTTTCTCGCATGCACACACGTGTGATGCTTGACCTCGCGCATCCGTCGCACTCTTAAAATTCAGGGAGCATACCGAGCGCTCGTAAACACCACGCCGCCGCAATGGAACGCGACAAACGCAGCGGAATGAATGGGGGAAAATTTGAAGTAATGAACATGATGCAACGCGGTGATAAATTTGATCCCAAGAAGGGGAAAAATCCCGTGGTTTTAACAGATCAAAATCCAACGCTTCCACAAACGGTGCCTTGTAGCGAGATAAGATAAGAGAAGCTTCCAAATGTTTGTCACGTTCCAAATGTTAATGTCAAATTTGAAAAAAAAACATTCCGTGATATTTGATGCTTTTTACACGTGGAATGACACTGCATGCAGTATGTATTATATTTAATGGCATCCTTTTCATTAAAAAAAAAAGTGTGTACATGCCGTCAGAGTTAATATATGGCAATCATTTACGCAAATTACATTCGCAGGCATCATTCTGTGAAAGATTTCAAATTATTCTGTGTTGTTTTGTTGACAGCTTGGAGTCCACCGTTCTTACGTAAACAGTGTTTCATAATTTTACATTTCATCACTTATTTTTTGTTTTTTATGTCAAAAAATTTTCAAATCGTACTGTTCATAATTAAATAACAACAAAAATGTTGATACCGCTTTGGCAGTGGTGCACAAGCACAAATGATACAATTGCAACACATTGTTAGTGACAAATGTGTTGAGATGTTTGTCTGTTCTTCACCATTTAGATGTATACGTCGAAATTTGACGTTATTTTAGTTTTATTCAACCCAAAACAAAAGACCACTGGTATCGTCACATGCAACAGGCAGTTATAAAAAATATATCTACCTCCTTAGTAGGCTAACGTTTCAGGCAACATCCTTCCTTCAGAGCAAAGAAAGCTTCAAATATAACTATTTGACTGTGTGACAGTTCAGGAATACAATCTGGTACCTTGATATTCCAGAAGTTAAAGTGGCTTCCTGCTCAAATGAGCTTTGAGGCAGTGCTCAACCTCCTGTTTACAGCCCCCAAGCAAATGGTGACAATTCAACATTCCCACGATGGTGGCAAATCTCTCCATAGCACAACCACTTGGTGACTTTGGTGACTTCCCCACAAATCGGTGCTCGTTTCATTGACGCCCCCCCGAGAGGGATTATGGGCTTAGTCAATCACCACAACCAGGATTTGAAACTCACGATCTTCCAATGGCGAGGTTATTTCTCTACTGCTGGTGGCAAGAGCGAACGGCAAGATACGTTGATATTTGAGTAAGCAAACAAACTCTTAAGTGGTCAGAAATACACGTGTAAAATTATTTATGTTCAAGTAGTACTGCACATCAATTAGAAATATCAAAACCGTGTGATGAAAGACACGTGTGTGTGTGAAGCTGTTGTTGTTGACGCTGTTCAATTGCCGTTTTAATGTTATTAAGTCAGCTGGTCCAATTTGTTCATTGGAAAGTTAATTGACAATTGCAACAAAAAAACTGAGTGCATCTGTATAAATGCCCGTGTACATTTGTGTACACACGCTTACACATGTGTGTGTACTTGGACGTGTGTGTGTGTGTATGTCCAGATACCATATCTGCTATAGCAGAGGTGTAGGGAATCAGAACAGGACGTACGTCTCTTGCTTTATTGACCTGATCAATGGCGATGAGACCATCAAGAGGCCAGGGCTTAGGGTCGTTCTGCATGATTTCACATTCTCTCACCCTCACCCTACTCACGATAATTAAGGACTTCCATGATGCTGTGTGGGCCCTGGTAAAGCTGCGTGGCCAGCAGTCAGGGTCACTCCCTGCTACCCTAGACTGCGGCAGAGGGATGAAGTTGACTACATCCCTTTCTCGCATGTCACGCTGACCTTAATTGGTGTGTGGGAGGTTGTGGGTTTGTTCCCGACTGTATATTTGGAGTTTGCATTTTCTCACCCGTGGCCTGCGTAGATTCTTCTCCGGGTCCTCCGGTTTTTCCCTCCACACTTAGAAACATGCGTTTAGAGTATTTGGCCGCTATAAATGTCCACGTGATAAGCTCTTCATTGGGCTATCATTTGTGGCCAGGTCGCTTCAGAATAATATCTATATAGCTCAGTGGGCCTTACCTGGTAAAATAAAAATAAAATAGTTGAGTTTTAGTTTCATTGGTCTTCACTTACAGTCATTTCCCCAAGTCTAAAGTAGGATATTTGGCTTGGCGATTCAGCATATCTGTTCCCGTGTATGCAAATAAATGAACAATTACAAAACAAATTGAGACGTTGCAAATCGGTTAATGTGTACGTGTGCAAGCGTGTGCATTTACATGCATGGGTACCTGCATGTGCACGCATGTGAATATCTGCATGTATTATGTATGTATGAGTGTATGTGTAATAGTCTTTCTGTAGCAGTTTAGGGGAGCGGTAATGTAGTGGTTAGCACACTGCGCGACAAACCTGGTGACCCGAGTTCGTATTCCCAATCACAGCCAACATCGGTGACGAATATCTGAACCGGTCCCGAGTCTCCACCGTGGGTTGTCTCAGTCTTAAATGAGTGCCTGGTGTGCTCTTTAAACAACATCGGCATTAAATTTCGATTTAAAGCTTTCGTGACTGCAGGGATTCATCTTATTGGTTCTTTCGGTAAATTCACGTAGAAGGGAAATAATAAAATAATAAAAATAAAACATAATAAAATAATTCTCACGACGTTTCGGCCACAACGCAAGCAGCCGTCCTCACGTGAAGAACAGACGTTTCGGCCACAATGCAAGCAGCCGTCCTCAGGTGAAGAACAGGTGAAGAACAGATCTGTCTGTTCTTCACCTGAGGACGGCTGCTTGCGTTGTGGCCGAAACGTCGAGAGAATTATTTTATTAGGTTTTATTTTTATAACATCAGCATTGTGGAACATTGGGCCGTGCCGGGTATCCCATACGTGCTCGCTCAGGGCACGTGCCCCAAAAGTCTGTTCAAGGCTAATCGCCGGGGGACCTTTGTCTTTGCGGCCGCTTGCAGGCTCCCTTATCCAGGTGCCGTCGGTGGAGCGGGGAAGAATCTCCCGTGGGCGGCTCGTGTCCTTGACGCTGAAGAAGGAGTGCGAGCGTCAGTGCTTCCTCTTCACCAAGCACCTCCTCACTTGCACGCGCAGCTCGGGCGGGAAGCTGCACCTGGTCAAGGTACGGCCATGCGCAGGCACGCACGTGCATACAATGACAAAGAATCCCCCGCACAGCCTTAACATACTTCCGGGGCAAGTGCTGTGAGCGAGCACCTATGAAAGCCCGGCCGCCTTTGTCTCCCTAGCGGCGATGTTTGCACACCTCACCGGGTGCTCGTTTGAGGCTGAGTGGACTTAGGTGAGGCCCAGCACCGAATGAGATAATCGTCACTGTGAGCGGGAATCGAACTCAGGTCATCGGATTCAGAGCGCAGCGCGTTAACCGCCACATGTACGCCCACACAAATCCACGTGCAAACACACACACTCACTCAAATACACAAACACACACGCCCACACAAATGCACACACACACTCGCACGCACAAACACATATATATACACACACACAAGAACATCAGTGCTTGTGCCAGGCTAGATTCCCTTTGAGGCCACGTGAAGTGTCCGAAGCCTCACTGACAGTAGGTCACGGGATAGACCCGAGTGCCATGGGATGACTGACGAAGATGACTGGCAGATGCGCCACTTGTGCTCCCTACTGTGCCAACTTGCTGTATTTTATCCATCCGTCACTCTGCTCGTTGTTGTGTGCCTCCTCTGAATTGTGAGTGTTACTCCCATTGTTGTTCGAGGGCGACTGCCTCCAAGTGTGAAGGCGAGTCTTTCATGAGTCTCCTCCACAGAGGCCGATCTTGACACCGCTGGTACCATTCATCGCCAAGTCCACTCAGCTCCACATTCTCATTTAACCACATCAACCCGTCTCTTCTGTAGTCCGTGCCGTGCCCATTTAGCTCCTTCTATCAGGCCAAAGATAACTGCTTGGGCATGTGGTGGCTGGGCATACAGGCAACGTGACCCAGCCAATGCAGCCTTGCCTGCCGGAGGAACTCATCAATGGGACGATGTCCAGATCTTTCAAGAATTTGTGCACTCCTCACACAATCGAACCTGGTTAAACCCAGAATGGATCATAGTTTCACCAGCCTGAATGTTTCAAACTGTCACAGATGTTCCTTCAGAAAGATCAAGGTTTTGTTCGCACAAAAACAAAGTCAAACACACACGCACGCATACATACATACAATTACACATACACACCCATGCACGTCCACTCACACACAAACAAACGCCCACACTAATGCACTGACATGCACCCACGCATGTGTAATTTAACTTTTATATGTTCACTGTTCCCACGAAGCAGAAACGAGCAATAACATCAAGAGCTTCCCAGTAGGCATTCAACGTGAACCGAATGTGAAAAGAATATAGAAGAATTATCATTTATATTCTTAGTTGTTTTGTTCGGTAAAGTCACGTAGGTAAAAAAAAATGCCTCCGAAACGTCATGATTTAAAAAAAAAAAATTATTTTACTTTTATTTTAAAAAAATTTTACCTACGTGACTTTACCGAAAAAACCTAAGAATATGAATCATTGCAGTCACGAAAGCTTCAAATCTAGAATAATCATTTATAGCAATTTCCAAATCCACTGCTGGATGAACGCCTCCCCACAAACTCATGGGGGTTGTCCAACCGTACTTGGCGATGATAGTCAGTGCTGGTTGGTGTGAGGTGTGGACCCAGGACCAGTGCAGATAGCACTCGCCACTGATGTTGTTGGCAGTGCCTGGGAATCGAACAGGTTCACAGTGCAGTGAAGTAACCGCTGTGCCACCACCACTCCTCCGCATCGCCCCATTGGCATGATTGTATTCCTCGGTACGCCTACAAGCGCATTAGCGTGTGCCTGATTGACGCGGGGGTGCGTACACGCTGAATGCACATGTCAAATCACCCCCGTTTTTCTTGCTGGGTCTAAATTTTTCAGCTGGAGCAGAAAAAAGAAGGCTTGCGTTTCAGTCTGCGAGTGCCACAGGGAGAGAAGGGGGGAAAAAACGAGTGAGGTCAATTATTTCTGTGAGCCCTCATCAGGCGTGTCGAATAGATTCCAAGCGATCAGAATGGAAGACGATCAATCACTCAGTTAATTGTGGCGGCCTCACCTGATGATGTGGTCCCTTTGGAGACAACTGTGGTGGCTCGTTTTTTGCTCCAACTTTGATCCCTGTCAACGAGTGATTTTCATCTTTTATGATGCGAAGGTTATGTTGTTCCTGTGAGACAAAGTCCATAGCACCTTTATTATTTTATTATGCTTGTAATTAACGTTTGCAGCCCTTTGTCAATCCGCCACTGTGTGTGCCGTTCAATCTATGAGAGGTCTGTTTGACCATACTTCCCCATGCTCGTCGGTGCTCGCTGGTTAAGAGGGAGCTCACGAATGAATGGATCTCAGGTCACGTAAGTGCATAGAGTGGTGCCTTCACCACTATGCCACCACTCCTCCCAATTCAATTCGTATGAATGCTTACTTCCTGAAAATGTATCTTGTTGTTATGTAACGTGAATATTGCACAGTTTATCAACATTGTTTGACCTGGGATTGGAGTTTATAATCAAGATAGTTGTAATATTATTACCATCAATAGCAAGAGAGAGACAATTATGGAAGGTGAATTAAACTCGTATAGTTTCTGAACTAACGCAGCCAAATATAGTGGATGAAATGTCTACGCACAATCCCGATGGCATGCCCGATGCAAAGTGTTTCTTGACGAATTAGTAAAAGTAGATTTGTCTCTTCCAGACTGGAGGTGTCTTGTCTCTCATTGAATGCACCCTAATAGAAGACAATGAGACTTCAGAAGATGAATGTAAGTGCCGTTCGTCGGGTGTTGTTTGTTGTTGTCAAAAACAAACGTGCTCAATTTCCAAACCGTTATTAATGTGGTAATAATACATTGTGAGCAATCTCTTTGTTCAAACCATGTTGTTATAGTCTTCATCTTTACTTAAGCGGAGTGAAAGTCCATTGCAATTCATGTCCTCATTTCTAAATAGGGTGCTCGGAAAAACGTGGCACTCGCAAGCACAACCGAATCATTATTACACAGCACGTAGAAAACTTATTGAAATACCAAAACAAAATAAATATAATGACAGAGAGTTCACACGTATTTTATTTCATCGCAGGCATCGAGTAAGATGTTTCGGTCATTTCCTCTGACTGCGGCATGTGCAGGGCCACATGTTTTGTGTGTGCGTGTGTCATGTGTATGTATGTGTCTCGTGTGTGTGTGTCATGTGCATGTATGTATGTCTAGTGTGTGTGTCATGTGCATGTATGTGTGTCGTGTGTGTGTATGTCATGTGTATGTATGTGTGTCGTCTGTGTGTGTCATGTGTATGTATATGTGTCGTGTGTGTGTGTCATGTGTATGTATGTGTCTCGTGTGTGTGTGTCATGTGCATGTGTGTCTAGTGTGTGTGCCATGTGTATGTATGTGTGTCTAGTGTGTGTGCCATGTGTATGTATGTGTGTCGTGTGTGTGTGTCATGTGTATGTATGTGTCTCGTGTGTGTGTGTCATGTGCATGTGTGTCTAGTGTGTGTGCCATGTGTATGTATGTGTGTCTAGTGTGTGTGCCATGTGCATGTATGTGTGTCGTGTGTGTGTGTCATCTGTATGTATGTGTGTCGTGTGTGTGTGCCATGTGCATGTATGTGTGTCGTGTGTGTGTGTCACGTGCATGTATGTGTATTGTGGATGTGTCATGTGTATGTATGTGTATTGTGTGTGTGTGTCATGTGTATGTATGTGTGTCGTGTGTGTGTGTCATGTGTATGTATGTGTATCGTGTGTGTGTGTCATGTGTATGTATGTGTATGATTCCCAATGCGGTTTCAAAAAAGGGCGGTCCTGCACAGATGCCATATTTTCTGTCCGTCTGCTACAGCAGAGGTGTAGGGAATTCCAACAAGACCTACATCTCTGCTTTATTGACCTGGTCAAGGCCTATGATACCATCAGTAGGCCTGAGCTCTGGGTAGTTCTTCGTGCTTTCGGAGTCCCTGACCCTCTGCTAACGACCATTAAGGACCTTCATGATGGTGAGCGGGCCTGGGTAAAACTACGTGGGCGGGAGTCGGAGCCATTCCCTGTACACTTTGGGGTGCGACAGGGATGTCCTCTGGCTCCCAGATTATTTAACATCTATTTCGACCACGTAGTTCGTGAAGCCTTCAATAGCTGTACTGGAGGAATTTCCATCTGATACAGATACAATGGGAGGCTGATCGATGACTGGGTGCGGTCAATGGATGGCTCCCTATTGCTCAACCATGTCATGTATGCCGATGATCTGGTAATTGCTGCTCACTCAGAGGAGGAGTTGGAGGCGCTGCTGCTGAACCTGGAGCTTGCCACTAAGAGCTGGGGCCTAACCATCAGCCCCACAAAAACTAAGCACCTGCCTGGGTATATTGTACCATTGGACACACCACCCCCACAACTCCTAATTGGTGATAAGGCAGTTGTGGAGAGAGTGGAGAGTTTCCCATACCTGGGCAGTGTGCTTATGACCGGCTCCGGTTTAACAGCAGAGGTCTCACTCCGAATCAGTCGAGCAACATCTTTTCATCATTTGCATAACGCTGTGTGGAAGCTACCTGGTCTGTTGCTCCGCACGAAGCTTCAGGTCTTCTCGGCCACTGTCATTCCCTCCCTTCTCTATGCTTGCGAAACGTGGACCCCTCTAATGGAACATCTTCACTGGTTAGAAATATTTAGGCTGGCCTGCCTACAATCCATCCTGGGTTTAATCAGACTGGATTGTGTGAGGAGCTCACAAATCCTTGAAAAATCTGGACAAAGTCCCAACGGTGAGCTCCTCTGGCAGGCAAGGCTGCATTGGCTGGGCCACGTAGCCCACATGCCCAGCCACCGCATGCCTAAACAGCTTTTGTTCGGCCGGGTCAAGGGGGAGAAACAGGCGTGGCACAGGCTAGAGAAGAGATGGAGTGATGTGGTACAGAAGGATGTGGAGTTGAGTGGACTTGCCAATGACTGGTACCAGCGGTGTCAAGATCGGCCTCTGTGGAGGAGGCTCGTGAAGGACGCTACTGGGCAGTTGGAGGCAGTCGCCCTCCAACAACAAGGGAAGGCGGAGGAGCAACACTCACAACAACGAGCGGAGCACCGGGTGGCTAAAGCACAGCAAGGTGGCACAGTAGGGGGCACAGGTGGTGCATCAGCCAGTCGTCTCAGTCAGTTGACCTGTGGCATCTGGGTCTGCCCCGTGACCCCTGCCAGCGGGCGTTCGACACTTCACGTGGCCTCAAGGTGCACATAGCCTGGCACAAGGGTCGTGGTGATGGCACCGCCACTTAGTAGCGAATTGCGGTTGTTGTTGTTGTATGTGGATCGTGTGTGTGTCATGTGTATGTATGCTGTTCTCCCCGTTGCATTCATCAATATTTGTCAGTGCTTGTTCATGTCAAATGGCAGACTCGTTCGCAGCAACACGCAATGCTCTATTCAAAATATTGTTTCGCGAACCCTTTTGTTGAGGGTGTTGTGTTGTTGTCTTTCACCCACACCTGTGATTAGCATGGTTGGCTACGTATGATGCGAAAGAAGTTCAACATAATACGTACATTAAAACACTTCATGTGATCGCTGATCCAAGGGGGAAAGAAAGAAGAGTGATGTTGGGTACATTTGTACAGCTGTGAAAGCATAAAACACAATTTTGGTGGAGTATTATTATTTAGTGTTGCCTTACGACAGTTTGTTTAAGTTGCATCCCTGTAGTTACCTGCCGATGCCTCCCATAGAGCGTATTTGGCCTCCTCTTCCAATCTTGTTGCCTCATATGTCCATTTCCGCACCTCTGCTTCGCACGGTTGGCCACGCACGGCGCGAAGGAAGTTCACCAAATCTACGTCCGTCCATTCGCATTAACGAGGGCTTGTCGATGAAATCGCGAGGGAACATTAAATGCGGAACTTCTGAATTCTGTTGCTGCAGCAAAGAGCACAATCAGCTCAGACATCGAACACCTGGATTTCAAGGTGGCCGTCGAGCCCAAGGATGCGGCGGCCTTCACGGTGGTGCTCCTGGCCTCCTCTCGCCAAGAGAAAGCGGCCTGGACCAGCGACATTAGCCAGGTGAAGAAGGTCACTCTTGCCTCGCCCGCGGTGCTCATGACCTCTTGCCCCCCGGGACTATGCCGCGTTGGTGCGGTGCTGTAAGATGCAATTACGGTTGCCACCGCTGATCGAGGAGGAATCTCTCACAATGCCGTAAGATGGGGAGACATGCATGCAGAGGTATTGCCTTGAGTGATGTGTCATTATTATTATGACGCAACTGACAATAAAATTAGGTTTAAATGTCATGGAAAGACTTACGGGTTTCCCAGGACAGCAACCTCAGGATGTTTTGGGAAAACCGGGACAGGTCGCAACCCTGGCAGTGATGGAGGACCACAAATGATTCACTGGAAATTATCAATCGGGATTGAGGGTTTGGATAAGGCTTCGGGTTTAGTCTTGGGGTTAGAGATATGGCGATGGTTTTTGCAGAGATATGTTAGAGCCACGCTTAGAAATGTTGTGAAATAATGACATATCTGTCAAGTGTTGTTGGTTAATGTAACTGGCAGCAACACTATCTCTGGGGATAATGTCAAACATCATACCCCTAGGTCTAATAGTAAGCCGAACACTCTCCGTTATAAACGTTATGCCAAATTAGACAGGAACGCTATCAAATTAATGAGTTCGAAGTAAATATGTGTTGTGTTTTTGTTCAGTCACGCACATTGAAACTTATTATAAAAATTCGAAATGACTGGCGACTGCGGCAAATGAGGCTTCTCTGGATGTGGATTTCGTTTCTATATTTTGTGAATGGAATACCGTCCGTTGATTAAACGTGTCTTCTTTCAGTGCATCGACAACATCCGTTGCAACGGGCTGATGATGAACGTATTTGAAGACAGCTCCAAAGTGACGGTTCCACCGGTCATAAAGTAAGGCATTATTTATGTATTAATAAATATTCATTCATAAATAATCAAGTTTACATTAAATAGATTTTTTTTTCATTGTAAAACCCACACAAGCCTGCGATCATTCTATTTTTATTACTTCATACAAATTCCAGGAATAGTATTTGTAAGTAAAAAAAGATATCAACATTTTCTCGATGTTAGGTGTATGATATATGTGTAAATATACAAACAAACACACCTTAAAAGGATAGCCTCTATGTCAGCAAAAAAGTGAAAATTAACTACGTATATTTATTCTTGTTATATATGAAACTAAAACGAGCCAACTTTGTTGGGGCGATATCCTAATATTACTGCCTAGGATTTCGCGTTTGTGCCATACCGCTCTATAATTATTTTCTGGTTGTACCGTGCGTTAAAGCTAACAATTGACATCGGCTGGCCCATATCAAACACCAGCAGCAGCCGGCAACTCTCGAATTGAGTAGGTGAGCTGCTCCATTCAGTTCCAGAGGATGCTCCCAGCACGTGGAGCCAAACGTCAGACATCGTGCCGAAAAGCACACGATTTATTTAGCGAACGCTATTTCACGCGACTTCCCACAGACAGTCAAACACGATGCAACTGGAGCACGCATCAGAGAGCTTCTCCTCGTCCGAACGTCGTAATACATGACGCGTGTGACGTTTGTCCCTGTCTTCGCCGTTCCTCATCATGAAGGTCAGACACCACGCTGTATTTGGACGATGTCGACATCCGATTCAGCAAGACGCTGAATTCCTGCAAGGTGCCTCACATCCGCTATTCGAGCGTGGAAAAACTGCTGGAGCGGCTCACGGATCTACGCTTCCTCAGCATCGACTTCCTCAACACCTTCCTGCACACGTACCGCGTGTTCACCACAGCCCAGGCCGTGCTGGAGAAGCTCATGGACATCTACCGCTGGCCTCTCAAGGCCATCTCCCCACGGTGGGCCCTGCGCAAACAAATCTCGCGTTCATCTTCTTGGTTCTTTCGGTAAAGTCATCACGTAGAAGGGAAATAATAAAATAATAAAAATAAAACATAGTTAAATAATTCTCACGACGTTTTGGCCACAACGCAAGCAGCCGTCCTCACGACGTTTCGGCCACAACGCAAGCAGCCGTCCTCAGGTGAGGAACAGGTCTGTCAGACGCTGTCTCCCCGACAGACCTGTTCTTCACCTGAGGACGGCTGCTTGCGTTGTGGCCGAAACGTCGTGAGAATTTAATTTTATTATGTTAAATTTTTATTATTTTATTATTTCCCTTTTACGTGACTTTACCGAAAGAACCAAGAAGATGAATCCCTGCAGTCACGAAAGCTTTAAATCGAATTCTCGCATTCCCAACTGTTGAGCAACATGCGTGCGGTGAAATCTCAGATTATAAAGTGAATCTCTCTCTGAGCTGCGGTTTTCTGGAGGTAAAAAAAATGAGTGGTCTGCCTGGCTTTGATAGTTCACGTGGTTGTCAAATTTTGCAATGCTGTGTTTATAAAGTCCGCTAAAATGCATTTATGTATGAATCCTCAATTTTTCACATTACTTATTTAGATATGTTCGTAGCTTAAGGGTCAGTGGTGGTGCTATCCCATTGAGAGCCCAGAGCAGAAAAAATGTTTCTGCCCGCCTACTCTTTTCAATTTACAAACTCCTAAATGAGATGACAAACGGGATGTAAATGTCGTGAAATGAATGAGGCGTAGATAAGAGACAAATGTCGTGAAATCAGAGAATATAGCCGCCGACAAGATACAGAGGTGAACTTGTTGTGCTCATCTTTCCCGAATACAGGGCCCCTCTCGCTGCGTGGGGCCATACGTTTGTTCTCATATCGCTGGCGTTGCCGCTGTCCGCAGCCAACATACACCCTCAGGGTATATCTGCTCTCATTCCCCCTTCGCAACGTCCTCAGCTCTCTGGAATTGTTCTTTGCCAACTCGTCGGGAGGCCGGCTGTGCTGCAACGACACGGCGCGCTCGCCCAAGCCTCTGCGCAGCCTCCCCTCCACTCCGCTCGTGGCCTCCTCGCCGGTGCGGAGCCGCCACTCGCCGCTGGGCACCGTGCCGACCATCGGCAGCGGCGGCGGCGGCTTCCAGGCGCTCGACTTGTCCCTGGCTGGCGCAGCCGACTCTCACGGCGCAGTCGCGGTGCCTCCAGCCTCCGTGCCCTCGCCGGCACATGCACCGTCGCCTTTGGATCTCACCACGGTGGGCATCTTGGAGGAGGGAAGCGGGGACAAAGGCCCAGTGGAGGCAGAGAGCCTCCTCAAGAAGAGCTTCAGACACGGTTAGTGGATGAGATGGTGAGGAGGTTGGGGGTGGGGTGGGGTGGGTTGGGTTGGGGGCGGTGTTACGATGGACGTCCCAGTACCTGGCTCTCCCTGGAATCTAAACAAGAGTTTTGGGAGTCAGCGTGTCTGTCTTACAGCCTTGCCCAATTCAAGAAATATGGTACCGGAACTCTGCAAATTATTAAATGCACTTTTCCCCACGGAATTTTTAAGCAAAAGTTGGGGCTGTGTCTAATAATTCAGTCGGTGTGTGTGTGTGAGCTGATTTGTGTAATGGCTTGCCATGTTACGGAGCTATAGAAGTTGTCGTCATTATTTGTTGACTTCGGGCGCAATGTTGGTGTGCGTCGTTCTTTCCACTGTTTGGTGATTAGAGGATACATGAACTCTCATTAAAACATCTTCAATCGTGCTGTATGTTGCTGACCGCTTTGAATTTTGGGTCTTTAGTGACTGAGCTCACTAACTGTGATGCTTTGAAATTTAATGAACCAGTGGTGTACATTCTACACTGCTATGGCAGGGACCGATTTATCCGTGGGGCATCTGCTGTTTTGTGTGTGTGTGGATAGTTAAGGGCCTATAGTTGTAATGTGGTAATGATGGGGCTGACATACCAAGAAACACATCACTGGGTTCTGAAATGTCTTTCTTGGACTGCATAATGGCTCAATGTTGGCAGGGAGAGTGATGCCAACTGTCCGATAAAAAATATATTAATAATAATGATTAATTATGGTATGTACATTCTTGATTTGTATGTACAATATACTTTTGCACAAGTTAGCTTAGGCAAATCATCTCAACGCCGATGACACTTTTAGCTTTAAAAATTATCGCATTCTCTTTCTGTGGTGAATTTTTATTTTGTGAATGGAAATTATTATACGTGTGGGAAATTTAAACACATTAATGTGTGGCTGTTTAATTCTGTCTGAATACACATTTAAGTAAAACAAACGTCTACATTACAGCATACATATATCAACATCTTAATCCTTCCCATGTGGTTACGTCTCATTTTAATTCGTGCCTTGTGTGCGTTTATGTCATGTGAGTGTCAGTGCGTGCTTATGGGTACGTATGTGTGATCTCGTGTGTGTGTGTGTGCACTGCGTGGGGTGTGAAGCGATGAGTGCGGGGCTGTTGGGACGACCTGGAGTAGAATTAAGCGACACTGCCAAAGCTGCAGAGTCTCCCACGAGATCCCCAGTGAGCCCACGACACCTGTACTGCCTCTCAGCAGGTGAGACACCACGGCATCTCTACTGCCTCTCGGCAGGTGAGACACCACGGCACCTGCACTGCCTCTCAGCAGGTGAAACACCACGGCATCTCTACTGCCTCTCGGCAGGTGAGACACCACGGCACCTGCACTGCCTCTCAGCAGGTGAGACACCACGGCATCTCTACTGCCTCTGGGCAGGTGAGACACCACGACACCTGTACTGCCTCTCAGCAGGTGAGACACCACGGCATCTCTACTGTCTCTCGGCAGGTGAGACACCACGGCACCTGCACTGCCTCTCGGCAGGTGAGACACCACGGCACCTGTACTGCCTCTCGGCAGGTGAGATACCACGACACCTGTACTGCCTCTCGGCAGGTAAGATACCACGACACCTGTACTGTCTCTGGGCAGGTGAGACACCACGGCACCTGTACTGCCTCTCGGCAGGTGAGACACCACGGCACCTGTACTGCCTCTCGGCAGGTGAGACACCACGGCACCTGTACTGCCTCTCGGCAGGTGAGACACCACGGCACCTGCACTGCCTCTCAGCAGGTGAGACACCACGGCATCTCTACTGCCTCTGGGCAGGTGAGACACCACGACACCTGTACTGCCTCTCAGCAGGTGAGACACCACGGCATCTCTACTGTCTCTCGGCAGGTGAGACACCACGGCACCTGCACTGCCTCTCGGCAGGTGAGACACCACGGCACCTGTACTGCCTCTCGGCAGGTGAGATACCACGACACCTGTACTGCCTCTCGGCAGGTAAGATACCACGACACCTGTACTGTCTCTGGGCAGGTGAGACACCACGGCACCTGTACTGCCTCTCGGCAGGTGAGACACCACGGCACCTGTACTGCCTCTCGGCAGGTGAGACACCACGGCACCTGTACTGCCTCTCGGCAGGTGAGATACCACGACACCTGTACTGCCTCTCAGCAGGTGAGACACCGCGGCACCTGTACTGTCTCTGGGCATGTGAGACACCACGGCACCTGTACTGCCTCTCGGCAGGTGAGACACCACGACACCTGTACTGTCTCTGGGCAGGTGAGATACCACGACACCTGTACTGCCTCTCAGCAGGTGAGACACCGCGGCACCTGTACTGTCTCTGGGCAGGTGAGACACCACGGCACCTGTACTGCCTCTCGGCAGGTGAGACACCACGGCACCTGTACTGCCTCTCGGCAGGTGAGATACAACGACACCTGTACTGTCTCTGGGCAGGTGAGATACCACAGCACCTGTACTGTCTCTGGGCAGGTGAGACACCACGGCACTCCCATGCACCTGCTGGATATTCATTCATGGCAAATGTACCAGTGACACACTAGATGTGAGACACACCGTAGAGATACACTTAAGGTGCAGCCCTGCAATGTCTGTGCTCTCACCACTGCTGTCAGAAGGGCCTCGGCTAGAGGGAGCTTGAGAGAGCCCCTGCAGTGGGTATTTGGCCTTCTCTTCCACACTGGCCAGACGTGTTGGAGGAAGAGTTGGGCAGTACACACACATTACCCTCCTGCACGTGTCGGCTGCGTTGTTCAGATATGTAAAAAAATAAACGTTAATATTAAATAGAGTGACGTGAGAGGATGAACTATTTTTCATTCCTAGTAGTGTCCGAATCATCTTATAAATCCTTAATTTGTTAGTGCATAATTTAATGGAATTAACTTGTTCGATAACAAGCTGTTCGATCACAGTAAAGCGCACAATCTACACCTGTAAGGAAATCAATCATTGCTCAGTAATCCATGTATCAATATGGTCTGGGCATGAATTCCTATACATTATTAGAGGTGGTGCTGATTTACATTGTCTTACTCGTTCCCTCTGCACTGCATAAACATGCAGGCACATCCAATATCTCAGTAGGTCACTTTTACCACTGATGCCGCTGTGGGGGATTCAAATAAATTGAACCAAACAGTCTGCATGCAATAAAGATGCAACAGCATATATATTACTGACACATCAAGCTTCATGCATTTTGATATCAAGTTCTAAAGTGCAATAAATCAAACACCCTGAGCCCACCAAATATGTCATTGATATGCGTTTTGTGTGAACTGTTAGCATATAGGAATTGGCCATAATAATACAAATACAGTAGAATTATGATCAAGTTCTACTTATACAGCCTACATACTTATCCAGGAGGATCCTGTTTGAGGTTGTGTGGTCAATTCCTTGTTGAGTGTGGAAGGAACATGAATGATGCCTGCATGTGGGTATTTCCCGCATGTGCAGATCTCTTTGAGATCCATCAACCAAATATTCAAAGCATTGCAATTGCTTATGCACCAGCACATCCAGCAGAGAGCAGAAACCGTCAACAAATATTGTTTCTATTTTTTCATGCTCCCTCTATTGTCAGTGTGTGTTAATGAAGGCTACATTTAAAGTAAACACTATTTAATTCGCAAACAGATAATGCCTCTCTGTCAAAGCCTGTTGGCTCGCCTTAATCTATTTAGTCAACAGCCAACCCTGTCTTAAAAGCACTGCATTTCTAGCCACATCCAGGAAATAGCGACAAACATGAAACAAATTGTCTCTTTTATTCATACTTCCTGTTAGAAGCTAAAAGGTAACGGTGCAGCCCTGAAATGTCTTGCTCATGCCACTGCTGGCAAAATACCCTCTAGAGTCCCCTCTCGAGGGCATTTGCCCTCCTCGTCCACACCGGCCAGTCGTCATGCGCGATGACCTATTCAAAGTGAGCAGAAAAACTCTCCGATCCATGCTTTACTGAAGAGCACAGCATTGCAACGACGTCACGAGCAGGGCAGTCACGTGAGCCAACTGTGTCAGTGGCGGGGAAGACGATGGGGGCCCGGCGGACGGTCTCCGAAGAGGCCCGGCGCGTTGACAGGAAGGAGCTTGTGGCCCCTCTCGTTCAGCGGCGGCCACGTTCCTCGCCCGCGGGGTGCCGGGCCTCGGCGTTCCGTAACGGACGGCCCCTTCCCCTCCCACCTGCCCCGCTCCCACATGCCCCACGCCGCAGACATCTCGCTGCTGCACCTGAACAGCGGCGTGGCGGGCTCGGGCGTGGTGGCGGCCAGCTCGCGCGAGGTCGACAACCACCTGCGCTCCGTGACGGCCGTGTCCGCTTTCGCCATCGCCACGGCCGGCGCCAACCACGGCAGCCCGGCCCACGACGGCCTCGCGGGACCCCCCACGCACGAGGAGCGCCTGCGCAGGCACTCGCTCAACGGTGCTCGACAACAGCAGCAAAAATAAATCAAATGAATCACCCACCCACCCACCGTCTCTCACTCTCGCCCCCGTTGGTAAAAGTCACGGGCTCGGTGTTAGCGGCGGCGGCGGTGGCTTCGTAGCGATGGACAGCTTCAGGTTAACCGGGAGCCAGCTCAGTTCACCATTCATCGTCGTCATCATCATCCACGATCAATCTGTTGCCGGATGAAGGCGTCCACGAGCAAATGCCATCATCGCTCATAATCGCGCAATGTAAATAATCCACCTTGCACCTGCACGCGAGCTGATTTCATCGCTCCATCTCTATTCGGTGGTCGTTCTCGCGAGCACATTCTATTCCTTCTATTCCTTCCCCGCCAGTCCGTCAATCTTCTTCACCACGGGCCATCATCCCTTCGAGTGACATCTACTGCCCAAGCGCCCTTACTTTTCTCAACAGTTTTAATTAAGCCCTTCAAGTAATGCTTTTAAAATTGCATGAGCCGTGACCAATAACTCTAATGTTATGAGTGGTGATAAAAAAAAAGTGTAAATGTGGAATATTGCTGATCAAAATGTCAAGATAATGAGATATGAAATTGCCCAAACTAATGAGATTTTCGATTATCATCTTTTGTGTGCACTACTCATCATGTATAATTGTTTACATGGTGTTCATGAAGACCATTTAAACTTGGAAGTGATACTTTTAATTGACAAAAGGATAATGTCCATCTCTAAAAACCAGTTCACCCATTGGCTAGCCTTTCTATAGTTTATACCAAGAGAAAATACATACCTGCAGAGCTTCATTACTCACAGAATTTGTTCCGAGTCATTGTTAAGACTGGAGTGGTCACGTGACGAGTAGCCACAGCCATAAGCCCCAGGCATACTGGATGTGCTGTGCCGTGTACAAATATATTTTGTATGGATCACTGACATAGACAGGTCCAGCTGACATTAATCGCCATATACCTGGCAAATAATACTACTCATTAGCAATGCCAAGCATCCAAGGCTTCAACCCTCACTTTCTGTTTGGTGGAAGAAAAGAAAAAAACCCTATTTTTAATGTATTCAGTCAATGTCGGTATAGTCACTGAAGGATCATCACATTTCATATGCACGCCACGTAACAGCAGCACTGGGGGTCACCATCAGTCATTGTGGGTTTTTTAAATTCCTGAGAGACCCAATAATCCTCACAAAAAAACTTGAATACCTTTGTCAGTAAACACTGCCTTAAAAAGAAAATATATATATAATAGTCAACATTTGGGGCAATGGTCCTTCATAGCACAATTATGCTTAAAATCACCATCTTAATTATCCAATTGCCACATTTATAAGGACTCACACCAACACGGTATGACTACTAAGTGGTGTGCCATCGTGTAAAATGTGCAACAGCCCATTGCATGGACGGACATGCGGGTGTTTATTTAACAGACCAGCAAACCTTGGACAAGGAGTTTGCGATCCGACGGGCTGCCAAGAATCGTGTCTTGAATGTGATGCGTCACTGGGTTTTCAAGCATTCGCAGGTTTGTGAAGCACTGCTCGAAATGATGAAAGTCACGAAACAGAGATGTTCCATATCCTCCAGATTATAAGATGCACCCCCCCCCCGCTCCCATCTTTTAAAGTGAAATTGGGGGAGGGGGGTCGAATCGTTTAATCCGGTTGGTGAATGTGTATGAACAGATTTGTTTAACTTCCCGGATACCAGGTACAAGTTTGGAGTTTGGGATCTGTCTTTTCGGAGCGTATTATGACAATCACAATAGCATGGCCAGTTGTTCATGATTATGTTATATACTCTTAATGAATATTTCCAATATTAATATTGCATAAATATTTGCTGTTTTTGTTAGGTCATAGTTTGAACAACATCAACATCATTACTGGTTTTTTTTAAGTGTTATTTATTCAGACCAGACACCATATGGATGACTGGCCCACATGGTTTATTTTTTCCTCACAGGTATCGAACTATATGCCTCACGTGTTTTGCCACATTTTGCCATGGTCATTAACAGATAAGCTAGTCACACAATGTAAAAAATGGATATGGCTGCTCTAAAAAATATTTTTACAATTTTTATTTCAAGTATGTAATTTTTCATTTTTATTGAAAGCTGTAATACAAATTATATGCAATGAGATTAATGTCGACCGAGGCTTTTTAAATGTGCTGCATTGGATCTAATGGATTTATTAACCACTGCTAGCCATCAATAAGGCAGACACACTCCATTTGTTTACTTTGCAAAAAATAGCGTTCAACTGTTTCAATTAAACCCTCCAATCCGTCGCCAAGAAGGCATTCCATGCTGCACGATCTTGCAGTGGCTAAATATGACCACCACTTACCGCATTCATCTCAAAATCTTCACATTTAAAAAATAAATAAATGCTTCACTGTGCCACATATCATACTTGGAGCAGTGCGCGGAGTTTATAAATTACTTTACAACATCATTCCCCTTTTACAGCAACTAAGGTAATGTATTACCCCCCTCCCCGTCGCAGTGTACGGTACAAATGAAACACCGAACAAATCGCCATCATTTACCACCTCAATAATGTCCCTTCCCTCGAGCAATAAAACACTGGCATTGCGCTCGAGACATCATTTCTATTTAACGTCAATTGAAAGAGGCAGAGACCATTGCTAGTTATATTCCAATATACGACCGAATGTGTATAGATAAATATCCTGCCGCTGCTGCTGCTGCATTGGTAGAAGAATGGTGCCTCGCACAATGTAGTTTATTTTTAGATTCAAGGCAAGCCATTGCATTTTTCCTCTCTCTTTTAGGATTTTGAATTGGATAGTAAACTGAAAGCCACGGTGATTGGATTTCTAGAGGACATAATGCGTGATCCAGAGCTGTTGCTTCAGGAGAGAAAAGCCGCAAACAACATTCTAAGGTCAGAACCGAGGGCGGTATTGTTCTCAGCTGCGACGCAACGCATTCTTGACATTCAAAAGAGCGTTTGCTTGTATTTGCTGCTTCATGTTTAATTCGCGGTTTTCATTTTAAAGCTGCCACTGCTGTCGTGTGCAGGGCCCTAATGACAGAAGAGGCAGACGACGGTCAGCTGACTCTGGAGAAAGTCTCACTCACGGTTAGTGTGCATGTGCATTCCCTCTATTAACTGCCATTCCATCAGTCATACACAGACTGGCACCACTCTGCTCTCATCTCCACTTAATATGGCACCGGCAATAAAAGGACTTTTTCTGCTTGTTTGAAAGCCAGGGCAGTATTTCCTCACCGTTAATGTTTAAGGTGCAGCCCGTCAATTGCTTACTTACACCACTGCTGGTGGAAGTACCTTCGCTATGAGAACTCTCTATCAAGCCCTTCGAGTAAATATTTGGCATTCTCTACCACACTGGCCATATTGTCTTCGAAGAGGTCAGAATACCCATATTTTAACCCACAGTATAATCTGTATTTTACTTACATTTGTGGGTTTTGTTCTACAAAACACAAATCAAAATGAGTTTAAATGTAATATAATGGCTTGTTATAGCGATGAAATTAACCATTAGGTGTAACTGAATGTGATTAAATTGTACCTTCATTAGAGAACACATTTACAAGCCACTGCGTATGATCTCACACAATTAGGAAAGTCAGCACACCGTAATAACAGTCTGAAATGACCTGCATCTGTAATATGTCCCATGCAGCAGCAAGTTAATTGGCTTATTGTGTCATTCGTATAGAATACACCATGCATATAATCGTAAATATGGAATTGATCATTATCTTTGAAAAGTCAGCATGTATTAAGATATGAATATTCTCAAACAAGATATAAGACTCAAGACTGAGACAATGATTGATCACCAGTGTCTTGTTTTTCTCTCTTGCTCTATCGTTATGCTATTGTGGCCCAGCTGATGGAGTAAGAAAACTGTGTCTTGTGTGTACTCGCTGTTCGATCTGCATTGATAAAAATCATTCTGTTACCATCAGTACTGTACCCTTTAAATACGGTGTTGTTTCTTGTTTGTGCAACCGGGTAAAACAAGTGCAAATGCATAATAACATATATTCTTAGAAATGAGTTTCCCGATCAACTTTGAAATGAGCGGAAGGCTAATACAGATTCATGTAGGTCTGTCGGCACATTTAGTTAATCAAAGACGCTAATACCCACCAAGTGTCGGAAGAAGAAAAAATATTTGAAAGGAATTAAAAAATAATGTTTAAGAATGCACACTAATCCAATGAAATAAAACCATAACACTCGGGGCTTTATGACATGTGTTCAAGGTATACGCCTCAACAAGTAGCGTGTCTGCTATTCACAGGGGAGTACGTTTTGCAATTTTCAGAATGAGGAGATGAAGCCAGAACAGTTTGAATATCTGTCCGTGCTGGAGCTGGCCGAACAGCTGACTCTTCTGGACTTTCTCGTATTCAGAAGCATCCCGTACCAGTGAGTGCAATTGTTGTTGTTGTGCAGCACACCAGGGTTTCAGTCTGATGCTCAAAGCTGAAGAGCAATCAAAGTGAAGGGATCAGGCAAGGGCTGCGTTGTTATGGAATGTGAATTTCTGTTTCAACATTTACCGCACAGGCATTATTTATATGAGTGTTTACCACGTGCCTCTGTTGAGAGACAGTTAGATTCACACCTTTGAATACCACCGAGACTGATTTAACAGTTGCCTTTCCAATCGACTCCCTTGGGTTCCCAGAGATCATCGCAGCTGTGTGCGCGCGCACTGGATGTGTATTTATGAATTAATTATCCCTCCCATCGCACGGGTCACAGGGGGTTCATGTGAGGTGGTTCAAAAGTGGTGCCTAATTTTATATTTTAGTTACGTTTGCATCGTGTGCCTTGCGGTGTTTATCGAGTCAAGATGATCGTAACTATTAAGCAAACACATTGTTTGATGACACTGCGTTGGCAGTGAACGAACTCAAATAATAGCGCCTTTTTCATTCACGCTGCCGTAAAAGGATTGTGGCTATGCCAGTTAAAGTTTCGAGGCAATAACCATCCACAGCACATTGAGAAGCCAGAGAGGGTACATTAGAAGTAGCTGTGTGATGCAAACATGCCTTTTGTTCGTGTGCCCACCTAAATGTGTCGCTCTTGTGCTTGCAAAATGGAAATGGGCTGCGTGCCCAGTGGCTGCTTCCGATGTTAATTGCATTAACTGTAATGAAGGCGGTGACAGGGCCTGTCAGATGGAGGCATTCTGAGTTCGTGCCCTGCATCTGATGTGTCCAGAGATAAAACACACTATTAATGTAATCTATTAATGTTGTGCCCTACGATCAATATACGTACAGTGTTGCAATCACTAAAACAAAGCTGGCGGTCTGACGTGGTTTCCTGCTGGGTTAGTGAGGCTTAAACTTCAAAATCAATAAGTAATAATAATTCATTTGTTACAGACTCCCGCATTTTTTTACAATTGATTTTTGCCTACTACTTAAAGGTGCGCAAATACCGCCCTAACTCCTTGGCACACATCCTTTTTGCACCATTGCATCCTTGCTCTGTGACACATGGCCCTGGCGACAGGGCCAGCGCAGGCCCCCATTTACATCATCGGTTGACCCCTTGCCTGTCGAAAAGCGGCAATGAATCAAGGGATGAAACACTGCCCTTTCAATTCCCCCACCCTACCGACACAGCGTCGGATGTTTTGACATTTTGTCAATGTGCAAACCCATGTTATTTGAGGAGGAGGAAATGTCACATGTGGAAAATTACATGCGAAATGCGTGTCGTCTCAGGGAGTTTTTAGACCGTGGATGGATGAAATCTGACAAAAACGAACGTGCGCCTAAAATCATGAGGACAAGCAAGCACTTTAATGAGGTAATGGCACGAGGGAGCGGCACGTGATCACCTTAAGCTTGGGGCATGCAGCTTAATGGAGACAAAGATATTTTAAAAATATTTTCAAAAAGTAAGCAGAAAAATCCTACTCGCGTATAAAGAATAAAGAAACTACGGGTACTTGCGTGTGTGTTTGCTAACGTGTTGTCATTGCACGTGGATATTGTATGCATTGCACTCTGTTGTTTATAACGGTTTCATTTGACACGCAAAACGTGGAAATAAAAGGGTTTTTTTAATATCCAATTTGCAGAACGAGACAGGCCTCGGTCAAAAAAGCTGCTCTGAATCACATTTCAACGTGAATGCACCACCTTGTACAAATCCCAAGATTAATAAATACATTAATTTAAATAATACATTTAAAAGTAAAGGCATCCACGTTGGTAATTTTCAGGGCAAGGGAAACAAATAATAAAAAACAATCTGGAGGCGATTGAATCTTTGATGGTGGTCTCAGTCTGGTGCACCCCAAGTCTAACAAAGACTCAATTTTCCGCACAGATGAGCAACTTGGTGGCCTGGGAGATTGCAAGCCGAATGGATGTGGGGGCCCGAGCCGCTGCCATCGACAAGTGGGTGGCAGTGGCCGACATCTGTCGCTGTTTGCACAGCTATAACACGGTGCTGCAGATCACATCCGCACTCAACCGCAGTGCCGTCTACCGGCTCAAGAAAACCTGGGCCCGTGTATCCAAGCAGGTAATATCCACGGGAGACCTCCCGATAAGACTTCTACGACTAGCTGACATTTGATTTCGTTAATCGTTTGCATCACATGGTTTCTCTGTAAATATTTGTAATGAGTCAAAGGGTTGCTTGATCAGAGTAGGCATCGGAGCGTTGAATCACTTGGGTTCAGGTATTGTGAACCACCGTCCTTTTTATGCCGTTCCAAATGAATTTGGAACAATATTAATGTTTAATTTCAGACAAAGGCGCTTATCGACAAGCTCCAGAAAATAGTTTCATCTGAAGGGCGATTTAAGAATCTCCGAGAGACACTGAAAAGGTCAGTGGAGTGAAGGTCACAGCACAACAAAATTTACCTCCCACAGCTTATTGCCCAGTCTGTCTAAAAATGTTTTGTCTTTTGTTCTGCCATTATAAGCAGCTATTATTCTCAATTATAAATCAGACTTTATTACCTGTCATCATTTTATACAGTATCCAGAGACACCTACGCTTCTGAAGCAATATAAAACTGCCGTACCGTTGATCAGACGCAGTCACAATTAATTACTACACAATCTCGAAATAACGAAGCATCTAAACGCCACCGTATCCCAAGATTGCGCTAAAACACTGCGACATGCGCATTATTCATGGGGGGGGGGGGGGGGGGGAAGAAGACGAACGCATACACTTTCCTAATACGTGGCGTGCCCTGTGCAGCTGTGACCCACCTTGCGTGCCCTACGTGGGTATGTACCTGACGGACCTGGCCTTCATTGAGGAGGGAACACCAAACTTCACGGAGGAAGGACTCGTCAATTTCTCAAAAATGAGAATGGTTGGTGCTCACCGTGCATGTCGCCTGTTTTTGCTCGCGGTCACTGCTCACCAACAGCTGACGTGTGGGCTGAGGGTGCCCATGCTGTTACACTCTCATACCAGTGAGGGGCAATGTAGTCTAGTAATTTTTTTATATTTCTCTGTATCATGGAAAACAATTACAATACTGCAGGCAACTGCACCTTACCAAATGTTTCACTCGCTAGAGGATTAAATCCACGTGTTTTACATTCTAAGTTCGTTATATATACATATTTCCGAGCTAGTTTTCAAATACATTAATATGTACATTTCAATGTGTGTTTGTGAGTGTATTAAAAACCAGTGGTGGCCAAACCACAGCTCACAAGCCACATGAGTCCATGAGCCCAGACCAGATATTTTTTACGTGTCAGCGAGTTCTAATTTATTTAAATGACCAAAAAGAGTGAATTGTGTGAAATTAGTGGGTTGTCAAATAATTTACTCGTATAAGTTGTATAAATGCATCGATATGACTAACGTTTTGTGACTTAACGCAGTGCCAATTTTCTGCTGTCGCCCATGGAATACGTGTGATTCCTGAGCAGTTCTAGTTTGCTCGATAGAGACAGAGATAGTTAACATGTTTTCAATTAATCTCTATTTGAAACAGGACACATCTGTGGAAGCGAGAGCAGCACGTAGCACTCATGTAGGGCAGCTGAGCCAGGCATGAGTACTCGTGGAACACTCCCATAGATTTCTAAGTTCAAACCTACAGAGCCAACCAGCACGAGAAAACCAGCTAAGTGACCACCATACAGTGAGGGAAAAAAGTATTTGATCCCCTGCTGATTTTGTACGTTTGCCCACTGACAAAGAAATGATCAGTCTATAATTTTAATGGTAGGTTTATTTGAACAGTGAGAGGCAGAATAACAACAACAAAATCCAGAAAAATGCATGTTAAAAATGTTATAAATTGATTTGCATTTTAATTAGGGAAATAAGTATTTGACCCCCTCTCAATCAGACAGATTTCTGGCACCCAGGTGTCTTTTATACAGGTAACGAGCTGAGATTAGGAGCACACTCTTTAAGGGAGTGCTCCTAATCTCAGCTTGTTACCTGTATAAAAGACACCTGTTCACAGAAGCAATCACTAAATCAGATTCCAAACTCTCCACCATGGCCAAGACCAAAGAGCTCTCCAAGGATGTCAGGGACAAGATTTTAGACCTACACAAGGCTGGAATGAGCTCCAAGACCATCGCCAAGCAGCTTGGTGAGAAGGTGACAACAGTTGGTGAGATTATTCGCAAATGGAAGAAACACAAAATAACTGTCAATCTCCCTTGGCCTGGGGCTCTATGCAAGATCTCACCTCGTGGAGTTGCAATGATCATGAGAACGGTGAGGAATCAGCCAAGAACTACACGGGAGGATCTTGTCAATGATCTCAAGGCAGCTGGGACCATAGTCACCAAGAAAACAGTTGGTAACACACTACGCTGTGAAGGACTGAAATCTTGCAGCGCCCGCAAGGTCCCCCTGCTCAAGAAAGCACATATACATGCCCGTCTGAAGTTTGCCAATGAACATCTGAATGATTCAGAGGACAACTGGGTGAAAGTGTTGTGGTCAGATGAGACCAAAATGGAGCTCTTTGGCATCAACTCAACTCGCCGTCTTTGGAGGAGGAGGAATGCTGCCTATGACCTCAAGAACACCATCCCCACCGTCAAACATGGAGGTGGAAACATTATGCTTTGGGGGTGTTTTTCTGCTAAGGGGACAGGACAACTTCACCGCATCAAAGGGACGATGGACAGGGCCATGTACCTGTCAAATCTTGGGTGAGAACCTCCTTCCCGCAGCCAGGGCATTAAAAATGGGTCGTGGATGGGTATTCCAGCATGACAATGACCCAAAACACACGGCCAAGGCAAGAAAGAAGTGGCTCAAGAAGAAGCACATTAAGGTCTTGGAGTGGCCTAGCCAGTCTCCAGACCTTAATCCCATAGAAAATCTGTGGAGGGAGTTGAAGGTTCGAGTTGCCAAACGTCAGCCTCGAAACCTTAATTACTTGGAGAAGATCTGCAAAGAGGAGGTAGACAAAATCCCTCCTGAGATGTGTGCAAACCTGGTGGCCAACTACAAGAAACGTCTGACCTCTGTGATTGCCAACAAGGGTTTTGCCACTAAGTACTAAGTCATGTTTTGCAGAGGGGTCAATACTTATTTCCCTCATTAAAATGCAAATCAATTTATAACATTTTTGACATGCATTTTTCTGGATTTTGTTGTTGTTATTCTGTCTCTCACTGTTCAAATAAACCTACCATTAAAATGATAGACTGATCATTTCTTTGTCAGTGGGCAAACGTACAAAATCAGCAGGGGATCAAATACTTTTTTTCCCTCACTGTACGTGACCACCCCGTATAACTCATTCAGCATCTTGTGGCCCTTTACCCTATGCAGGAGTTGGCATGTGGCTCGTAGGGTCAGGAAGTTTGGCTACTCCTGATAGATGCTATATCTTCATTTGTTTATGCTTCCTCGTTATAAAAAAATGTCACCTTTCACATTGCAGATTTCGCATATAATTAGAGAGATACGGCAGTTCCAGACAAGTTGCTACAACATCGAACCCCAAACAAGAGTAAGAATGAACTTTACCCGTTGCATTACCAAACACCGCAGTCACAAACAGCACACACATGTCATAGAGCAGTTGGCACAGTTGTTTGTGCACTGCACGAGGAACCCAGCAACCCAAGTTCAATTCCCAGCCACAGATAATGTCAGTGGCAAGCGATATCTGAACCGGTTCAGGGTGTCCGCTTTATCAATTTGCACTGACCGGTGTGGTGAAATATGATAAAAACAAATAATAATGACCAAAAGAGTGCAGGGGAAGCCTTCATCCAGCCTTGAGATAGAAATGGCATCACTGGTGATGATGATTATTATATATATTATATTAGGATCTTCCACAGTGTCATGGTTAGCACATTGGGCTTGCAATCCAGAGGTTGCTGATTTGATCTCCTGGCGTGGCAGTTGAAATAATGGGCACGTTTTTGTTTAATCCCCCCGCTTCTGTCGATAAATCGGTTCACCGCAGTCGATCGGCAGATCGCGTGTGGTTGCGTTAAATGTGGGCACTCTTAACTCTTCCAAAATATCTGGCAGCGTAGAAGAGTAGGCCAATGTACCCTCTGAAGCAGCTCTCCCGAGCTCATTCTGCGAGCAGTGGCGTCAGCGAGAAATTGCAGGGCTGCACCTTAAGCTATATTGCATATAAGATATATGTGAATGTAATTTCTTGTAGTTTAGAATTTAAAGCGTTTTAAATGTATAAAAATCCCTTCATTTAAATTACGTTTTGGAGGTTGATGTTGGTGCATTGCAGCAGTGGTGGTGCTAGGCTCAAGCAAAGAATGCAGAAGCTTCGGGCTCCAAACACCTCAAGGGGCCCCAGATTTATAACAAGAAAAATTATGGGTGCATCAAATATCAGCTCAAATTCAAATGCTCACAAATATAACAAGCTAATTACCATAAAAACCTAATTAATCTCTCTGAACTCTATCTTGCCGACATCTCTCTTCCCTGATCTCTCAGTGGATCTCGAATGTTGTCTCCGTTCCTCTTATCTCGCTACATTCGTATCTCGTGTCTTTATCTCGATTGTCATCTCACTGGAATTTTATAAATTGAAAGATGGGGGGGCCACCCTCTGAAATTATTCCGGCTCCCCCCCCCCCCCCCCACTGAGACTACACCACCACTGCATTGCAAGTACTGCTGTACATTATATTGGTTCTTTCGGTAAACTCACGTAGAAGGGAAATAATAAAATAATAAAAACAAAACATAAAAAAATGAAATCCTCACGACGTACGTGTTCCAACGCGAGTGCACTGCGTGCGTGTGTGCGGCTTGCTGTAGGTGACACGCTTCCTGCTGGACCGGGCGCACGTGTGCGACGACGACAGTTTGTACGCGCTGTCCCTGCAAATCGAACCCAGGCTGCCCACATGACTATACCGGTGCATGATGAGCCAAGTCAGTTGAACGCTCTTCTGACACAGAGCACACGGACGAGGCCAGTTGGGTTGGGGGGGGGGGCTTGGGAGGGAAGGCGGGGCCTCGCCTCCGCTCGATTACCCTGCATGATTTGAGGGAATCGGATGTTTGCACGGACCAGCGAGGTGTCTAAGAGAGTCTTCGACGGAGGTGACTGCTCGGAGTGGCAGAGGTTGCAAGCGAACGCGGAATAAAAATGTGTCTGGCGGCAGTCATGTCTCTTGTGCCAGAAATTTAAACTGGAGCTTGCCACAAGTGGGACTTTTTTTGTAACTGAGGCTTTAATATGCAGCAAAACAAGTTTTTGCTAATGCATAGTGTTTAAGCATGCCTGCCTCACATCAACCATTAAGTCCAGAATGGAGATTAATTTTTGTACAGAGGTGGCATTATCAGTACCTTGAGGCATAGGAAGCGCATGTGAATGGCATTTTATTCAAAAATGCATGAATATGCCTTTTTTTCTCAATCCTTCTGATTTAACAACAAAAATGCATTACAATATTCATACACCATTTAATTTAATGGAATGTGAATATAAATGTACATATAATTTAGTTAGCATGTGCAAAAATTACAGGAATTGTATCGTTGCTTATTCGGCTACAGAGGATAATATAAATGTGGCCTTAATTTAAAACGCACGCAAATTCTAAAATAGCTACACAACATGGAAATGAACGTTATTGTTGGGAAATGCAGATGCTTGGGCTTGCATGCCCTGGGGCGAGTGGGGGGGGGGTGGTGGCCGCGGCGTATTTCCCAGTATTCATGCATGGGCTCGCACCGCCAGTTGTTTCTGCGGCTCAGCACGGCACGAGCGCTGTTGACCCGTGGTCTCTCTCAGCGCTCGCACCAGGGATGACCACACACCCGAGTCGCGACGCGGAAACGATGCTCGCACTCACTCGCACGCAGGCTCGGACGCGCGCGCACCAAAGGCGTGCTTGCTTTGTTCGTCAACCCTTGGCCTGATTGACGTTGCACTATGATGTCCTGTTTATTTATTGGTTGTGTTAAACGGCACAAACCTGCATGATGTTTCTTTTTTAAAAACAAAAATCTTTTTAACACTATTCTTAATTACTAAACATACTGATTGTTATTGAGACTTGTGTACGATTTACGATTTTAGGTGATGCATCGACGACACATTGAGAACATACCTTTGGCTTTGATGGTTTCTGTTCTGGATTCTGTGAGATTGGTAACTCATATGCATATGTACAATGTTGAAATGTAATAATGGTTATTACATAAAGTGCAAGAAAGCACGTTACACCTTGGTGTTTGTTTTTCATAAAAGGCAGCTTATGTGCAGCCAATAATTTGTATTTTTCTCACTCATGACAAACTCCTTCCACTAAATCCTCTCTGAGAACATGCAATCAATCCCTATGGCCTGGCTAAGGTGTCGTTCGTGATAGCTGCCCTTTGTTCTTCAAACGATTAAAAATAGCAGCCTCCTTTCGTCCAAGCAGAACATAGCACTCTTCCATGATGTCTGACCAGTGTGGAAGAGTAGGCAACACTACATTCGAGAGCGTGTGCTTTCTAGCGCCTTATAGTGGAGGCCATTCTGCCCGCAGCGGTATGAACAAATCATTGCCAGACTTCAACTTTTGCATCTTATATTTTATTGTAGGTTCCATTTAGCCTACATATTTTATGCATGATATACAATGAAAGGATTTAATTCCTGAACGAAGCACTGACCGCAACTTTGATTAATTGTGTTCAGTGAAATCAGTCGTGAGATTTAACCGGGAAATGTTGCGCCCAATGAGTGTGAGCCACATTTGAACGAACGTACGTTGTGCAACACGATCAGTACTCATATTTACCTCTTCTGGCTTCAAAGCTGTAGAGAACATGTGAGTATAAACGACGTATTATTATGTTGTATGTACATTAACATAGGTTTCCTAGGCGTTGGAATGGTGTACGTTATTTTACATGAGGTACCAAAAACATTTATTCAAATGAAAATGGATTTCATGGGTTTGAGGGGGGGAAAAACTCCGTGGGTTATTAATGAGATACCGCTCATTTGGCTGCATATTCTTAACTGCAAAGGAAGATGATAAAACTGCTACATTATAAGATGTCAAAAACCAGTAGATCATACTTTTATTACTTCCTCTGTAACTGTTAACAAGAAAAAAAATCATCTAACTTTTTCCAAACATCAAATTCCTTTAGAATTCGGAGATATTCAGGTTGAACATTTTGGCATGACTTTAGCATGAATTGAAAAAAATACTTTTATTAAATGTAAGGAAGGCAAAGTGGTATTAAAATATATATTTTTTACAAATGATCATTTCTTACACTAAGGATCTCCACACTGCGAGGGATACTGTGCACTGCTTCAAGTCAGTCTAATAATTCAGATATTTTTTCTTAAAACCTTTACTTCGTTGTGGTGATGGAAGAAGACATTCTCTCTGGTGGTGCGGAGCAAGCAATCAGCTGGTCAAGTGTGAGAATGTGTCTTTGCATACCATTTTATATACGTAAAAAGTAAAATGTACAGTACTTTCATAGAAGGAATAGAGTATGCACATGTACAGCCAATCCACTGCTAGATTTGAAATCCACTGCTAGATTTGAGCCTCCGTGCTGTGGAGAGAATAGGTGAGGTTTCAGCCCATGGCCTTTTTCATTACAGAGATCTGCCTGAAACATAATATATATTTAACAGTGTTATGAATAAACGTGTTGATTTATTTAGTCATGTGTTGCTCGTATACACAACTGCCAAAGCAGTATCAAAATAGATGTTTTGTGTCACATATGGCTTTGTGGTGGGCACATGGGTTGCACGTACGAATACCAGCCCATGACAGAAACCATTCGATACAGCTGCCTGTAAACAGAGTATTTCTCTGCAGGTTCACAGTTGTCCCATGCTTGGCACGTGTGGAGATAGGCTGATTTCGTTGAGCATAATTGAAGCACAGTTGAAAAGCAGCGTTGGTCTTACTCATCAGCAATGCACAAGCGTACTCAGATATTGTACGTACTACAGTCTAGTGGGCTCACAATTGGCTTGTTTTGGGGGATTCGAAGACCATAAAAATGGTCCCCTATGAGGAGGCAACTTTACCCGAAGTCATTTTGATCACTGGGGTTCTAAGCGCCTCTTTATTTTACCTTACTGTAAGTTATTTAAGTATAAACATGACATTATGGCTGTTAACGACACGCATTAATCTACGTGTTAATATATAATGTTCTTTATTAGTATATAGTCATGAGAAATTATCTGAGCAGTGTTTTCCATTAATATTGGAAAAAAATGGAAATTAAGATAAACTCCGATTTATTAAAGTCAAGTTCACATTTATTTAAACCTTAAATAAATAAACAACTACAGCACATAATGCATCTCATAATAGTGTAATAACCAGCAACGTTCACAATGTAGAATGACTTGTATGTTATATTTTCCTTATGATTGTGTGCAGTTGGTAAGGGAAACCATATCTGCAGCGAAAAATACGGATGATGTTGAAGGCTTTACACGGCTCTCCCAATGTGCATAGTTGGTGTACAATCGGCAGTACACACTATCTTTAAACGGTTCGTCAATCATGTGCATGGCAATTAACAGTTAAGCATGGGTAATGCAAAATCATACACAGCCATCTCTAGATTACCTGATATAATGGAGACAACGGGTGGCCCGAATAAAACAAAAACCTGAGCGATGAAAAACATGTAGAAAACGAATATTGATTGTTTACTTACTTAAAATTAGAGTTTACTTTCCGACACGTCTGCGGTTGTACTCATTAAACACAAAGCGCTTGCCACAAATGAATCACAATACATTGTTGATCTCGTCAAGGAGCAAAAACCATTACACAAACTCCGATCATCCTCGCAGTGGCTTGTGGGTGATCGCCATGGAACAAAGACTGTCACCGCATCTCGCGCTGTCAGATGCGCTACTGCGGCCGTCTGGAACGCTCTTCCTTCCGACATTAGGAAGCCACTGGAGCTGTGCCCTTGTACATCTACACTGAAAACTCATTTAGTTGTTGTCAATCCCCCTGCACATCCGATGAGCACGGTTGGCTACGTATGGTGCGAAAGAAATTCAACATACATACATGCGAGCAGTCACTGACCCATAACGAGTCAGGAGTAACTAATTATGAAACCGGCGTATGCCCAAATCTTCCCACAGATAATCCAAAATTAACTGTACCCACAACAAGCAGGTGTTGGGTGCACTCATACACAATATAATTGCAACCCAAATTGGATGTATCATTAAAAAAAATGAATAGGTTTTCATCCAAGTTCGGTGAATATTTCATGTATATTTAAGTGTTTAGTGTTAATCCATGCATTGCAACAATTCCATAAAAAGCATTATCTGATTAATGCCTAATCACCCCTCTTGGAAGCAGCGCTCGACTGAATAAAATTTGCACGTCTATGATTTTTTATGTGCTTAGTTAGCAAGGCGTTATTAAACCCGGGGTTTAATTATTCAAGGAGGCATGATCATGTATAATGCTGTGCATAAAACATCTTCATTCTTAGGCTTAACGAAATACGCAGTTTGGTCCGAAGGCACATTGATGTAATATCCATCTCATGGCAGTTTAGGAGTTGTTTCTTCCTTGCTGATTACATATTCATCTGATCATGTCTGTTCCACATGATTACTGCACTTGAGCTTGAAGTGTGGAGACTGTGGAGGAGCACATCGATGCTGAAATCGGCACGTGCCTTTTCTCGCCTCGATGTAGCACGAGTCGGCAACTGGGCTGCGATTCACGAAGCATTCACTCAAAAATGCAAGCCTCATTTTAGCATTGTACGCTTCACTGATTTTGCCGATTGTTATTAATTATTAAGAGTTTTTTTTTAAACGATTGGCTTAGATTTTGCACGACTCCCTCCTTGTTCTCCCCTATATACAATCGTGTATCGTGTTCTCTCCGCAGTATGTTAACGGAGTGGTCCACTCAACGAAAATTGGATACCACCTGGCCAGAAAATTCGCTGCTGCCTGGCTTTGAGGCAGTCACCCAGGAAACCTCTTAGCGGGATGCGAGAGTGGGTTACGCGTGGCTACAGGGGAGGTATTCGCCTAGCATTGCCCAAGGCAATGTTTTTGCTGTTGGTGAAATGTGAGGTTGTGAGTCCGCCCTGTGCTATAGCGAGCGACCCCCCCCCCCCTATTCCATTGTTCTCAATATACCGTCGACGGCTGTTGGTTGAGTGCCTAGAACTGGAAAAATGGGATATATATACACACGGGGCTGGCTGGGTATAGCAGCCAGATAGTGTGGTACAAAGGGGAATGGGCGCATGGCGTGCTGGATATTAAAGGAATGAGAGGTAGCATTCAGGGAAGTGTCTAATTGTGGGACACGTGAAAACGATGAGGGCGCGGGGGTTAAACCGAAGAGTAAAGTAGGGGAACGTCATTCCGCTATTTAAGGCCGGTGGCAATATTATCCAGCTCCAATGACTGGAATTTATGCATGCTGGCTTAGCACCGTGCATGCTCAGCACTGTTAGGGGCACATACGCATCAATGCAAACACAACTATTCACGCACATTCAGCTTAGCCCACGTGCGGGCACATATAAATCAACGAATATGCTTGAGCAATAGTTGGCACACGTGTGGCAAATGATATACGAATTTTGCATGGCTTTAGACACGTGCTCGTCCAATTGAATCGCAATCGAACGGCACCTGCTTTTTTTGTTGAGGACGTTTCAGGTTAGAGGTCATCAGAACTAATAAACTGTTCACAATTACCACTGAATTGTATGTAATCAACCCGCATCTTACAGCGCAAACACAGCGCTGCTCTTAGAAGTGGCCTTGTGTAATTTATTTGGTTTTAATTATAAATTATGCCACCCGTGTGGTCATGTCAGCTGCGAGATTTGTACATTAAACAAGGTAATTATTATTTGATATAAGACCTTGCAGACTGAGAAGTTGCATTTAATTAACTTGCAGATTTGCATGTCTACTTCATATACGAACGAGTACACGGAGTGATGATCGTTCCATATTTTAGGAGCTGTGGCATTCTTCGGTGTTACAAAACTAAAATCCTGCTTCCTCTTCTACCAACATGCCATATGAACAGCGAGAGGAGGAGAAATTCATTTAATTTTAACAGCAAAAAGGCATGTATCTCGTGAACAAATACGTGTTACTATTAACAAAACATTTAACGCATAAACATGTCATGTATTCATCTTCTTGGTTCTTTCATGTATTATATTTTGCTAAAGTTCAAAACTACGTCACTCAATAGAGAGCCACTGCATCTGAGCGGGCGGTTTGTCATTTTGGTGACCCAAATGACTTCTTGCAAATAAGACAATCCTGGTCTCTTGATTTTTCACCTGCTTGAATAATTAAACTTCACTTGATGCTTTAAACTAAGCCACCTCATGCCCTACCTACCCCATCGGCTACTTGCTCCTCCACACCGGTGCTACTTTTTTTTCATATTCAACATCGATGTACTGATCCAAAATTATTGATTATATATGATTATATATAATCATGGCATTTTCTCAGCACCACCATCCCACAAATGAGTCGGCCCCCTGGCCCACCCACCGCCCCCTAATTTTGCAATTGTGGCACCACCCATGGTCAGAAGGGGGATGCACCACTGAAAAGGATGTGACTTGGTAATCTGCTTCGCTAGGGTAAAATACGTGTAAGTCTTCGTTGTGCCTTACATGCATGGACTTGCCCGTTTTGGTGCCAGACTGACCCCTGCTGCCAGATTAAAAACCATATGGACCTCAACTCATGCACACACTGCGCCCTTTTGTATACACGACATGTAAACACAAAACGCAGGCTCATATAATCGTAAGTGTCGTTGTGGAAAGTGTAAATAACAGAATAGATAAGGGGACAATATGTCCCATTCATATATCTGTCTCGGACACTATGTCGAAACCGGTTAATAGTTTGCTTGTACTGAATCAATGCTGCTGCATGTAATTCACGAACCAAAAGGCCTTGTTGGTGTCAATGGTTTATAGAAATAATAGTTTACTATTTCTGTAGAAAGACAGATATGTGAAGCAAACATATTGTCTACGTATCTATTAAAAGCACGCTCACACACTCACACGTGTGAATACATGCGTACACGGGAATGCATGCGCAGATGTTGTTGTATATGTGAGAGCATGTCTTATCGGCGTCTATAGATAACTCATTCAGCCTAGCACTTGCGCATGCTGTGATGAACTTGTGATGCCAAAATCAGTCGTTTTCCACTCAAACGTCAAATAAATCACTCAAATTATTCGACTCCAAATCAGCCTGCTTTATTAAAATTAGCTGAGTATCTTACAGCTTTCCAAAATGGAATTCTCTGTAAAGGCCCCTATTGGCGCAGTGTGTTGTAATGAATGCATTGTGCACATTACGCCCCTCATTATACCTGCCTGTAATTGCATGGAATCTGCCATATTTTTTTTGATATTCATGCTTTGTTTTTTTTTGCATTCAAAATGCATTGATTCGACGCAAATATATATCAAGGCCGTTTACATAATTATTATGTTCAAAGGTAGTCTGAAGTACACGTCTTTTTTAGAAGGACATATGCAATGATATTCGTCCTTCTCAAAAACACAAACCCTTTTGTGCCAATCAATGTCAGTTATCGGAATAGAAAAAGTGAATAGCAAATCCAGTATAAGTCTGTGCCAAATCTGGTGGACAATGGAGGTAAATGAAGTGCATTGTTATTAACAAACATGCCCCATAGCCTTAACATACTGTTGGGGGAAGTGTTATTCGTAAGCACCTATGAAGGTTGGAACGGCATACGAAAGGGGTGGTCGGCCAGCACCACGCCCGGCCGCCTTTATCTCCCTAGTGGTGATGGCTACACATCCCACCAGGTACTCATTTGAGTCTCAGTCGACCTAGGGGAGGCACAGGACCGGCTCAGACAATCGTCGCCAGGTTCGTAGCACAGTGCGCTAACCGTGACACTCACCCTCTCCATACGCATAAACACAAACACGCACTATTTTTTTAATTAAAAAATTAACTATTCCAGCATGATCTGAATACGCTTGCCAAGATCAATTTGTAAATAAATATTTGGCTTTGACCTCCTCCTCCTTTGCTTTCACTACCACCTCACATTTTGCCCACATCTGCCTCTGATGTTCTTCCGCCTGCCTTGTTGTGATTGACTGCGTTTGTACAAAATATCCTCGACCACAGAGAGGCTACTGTGTACATATGCTGTATATGCGAGCTCATTTTCTATGTACATTGAGAATGACTGTGACCCCCCCCCTCTCACCTAGCTGTAGTAAAACATCTAAATATTAATCAATGAAGGCGAGTGCCACCCTACAATGTTGCAAGTAATGCTTTCATTCCAGGAGCTCTAAAGTTATTGCCAAGCGGCAGACAGTTAAATTCCTATTACATGAATAAACATCCACTGGATTTTCTGTCAAGTAATGCATTGAGAATGACATATTATACATAAACATATGTAATGTAGCACTCAGAGACACTGTCTTGTTCAAGTATTTATATATATTTATTGTCTATTACGGTCCGCCCGACTCGATGGCATGTTAACGGGTAGACGCGAGTTGACAATGTACAGTGGGTGACTTTATGTAGCTGCAACACGACGTTCACCTATACAGCTGGCTGACTATATAGGAGCCGATGGAGGAGCAGCTACGGCGACAATATATAATCTCCCCCTAGTCTTCCAAGACGATAAGGCGACCAACTCCCAGGCGGTGAGGACGATCCACTCCAAGAAGACGACAGCGACGACGGTCCAACTTCGAATCCTCACAGCAGCCCTGAGCCCCGCTCCCCGCTTGCTTTTATCTCCGGCTCAGCCACGCCCCTCGACTCAGCCACGCCCTTTTTTCCCGAACTCTCTCTCTCTCTCACCTCATTTGATCCTGCTTGTCCCTGTCGCTTCTATTATCATTTATGACCACTAGACTATATTTTTAGGTTTTTTCGGTAAAGTCACGTAGGTAAAAAATTAAAATTAATAAAAGTCAAATAAAAATAAAAATCACGACGTTTCGGAGGCAACACAAGCTTCCGTCTTCAGGTGGAACCGTCACAGCACACTTGCTGTATCAAGTAATTTACTTGATACATCTTCCGCAATTTTTTATTAAATTACTTGATACAGCAAGCGTGCTGTGACGGAAGCTTGTGTTGCCTCCGAAACGTCGTTATTTTTATTTTACTTTGATTAATTTTAATTTTTTACCTACGTGATTTTACCGAAAGAACATAAGAATATGAATACTTGCAGTCACGAAAGCTTCAAATCTAGAACCACTAGACTCCTTACATGACCCTGCCTGTCCCTGTCCGCTTCAATTACTATTTACGGCCACTAGACCCCTTACTGTCCTTACACGTGTGTATATACTCAGAGCAATATACAGTGAAGGAAAATCACATGCTAAATGCAGGGAAATACACACGATGCATTAATGAATAACTTTGTTCCACGTAGCTGTCGTTTTTTTATATAATATAACTACAACAAATGTATGTATATATTCTATGTCTAAAGTTCCATTGCTGGCTACTGGCAGGGCTCCTCGACACTCTAACAATAACTTTGTTAGTGGCTGCGGGCTGCTGTCACCGAAACAACTCTCTGGGTAACTGGCGAAACGGGATTTCCCGTGTAACAAATAAACGTTGAATTTAATAAAAAATTGCGGAAGTTGTTTGGAAGACGTATCAACAAGATAGCGACACCGACGAGGTGGGAGTTATGAATACAGAAGACTGACACGGTTCACTTACAGTTTCTCCAACTTTTCAACGTATGTCATTCTTTCACCGGAATATTCTTTAAATCGATTTTTTTAAACCTCGCAATCCATATTATCGTGGCGTTTTATTAAGTAAAAACCAGATTACTTTTAGTGCTCCGAGTATAGGATTGTGAGAAGAGTCTAAAAATGACAGCCGTCTTTTATTTTGCATTGCAGAGCAATGGCTTCTCTATGAGTATATATATTTTAAAAAAAGCGGCTTAACGCATTCAGCAACCTCTATTCATCGTGGGCATTGTCAGCAAAAAAAAATTACACATACACACCGGTAAAAATATGCTCATATCGTATTGCATAAAAAAATAAGTATGCATCGAGAAGTGCAGACTCTCTATTCAATATTACATTCAATATGTGAGTGCGCACATCATAACAGAGATCATGAAACATTGCACAAGACCCACAGATATATACACACTCGTTGTACGCATGTATAATTGTACATCTCTTGTAACTGCAGGGTAAATTTATATGTACACCTAGACTAACTTACAAATAATGCTTGTACGTGCACATTCATAATCCAGCATTTTGGAGGCAATGGGGGTCCGTGGATCGCACAGAGATTTGTGAAACTTCAAACCTACACTGGGCTGTGAGATGTCCAGAAGACGCCAGGTAGGTTCATGAACCTGATTAACCTGTGTGTGGACCTTTGAATGTTCTCTACGCGTGTGCACGGTGGAATGACGACTGTATAAGGGTTGCGTTACATTATAGAGTGCAAGAGGTGTTACATTATATAGAGCAGGTGTGTTACATTATACAGAGCAAGTGTGTTACATTATACAGTGCATGTGTGTTGCATTATAGACATCTGGTGTTATATGGTGACAACAGGTCCTCTCAGAAGGGGGCAGTAGAGTTGCTGTGTGGGTGGCCACGATAGCACAAAGGTGAACTTGAATGGGCCATAACGAAATTTGGTGTTGATGGTGGTGGCGAGGAGGGCCCAACGCCAGAACCAGCTCAGAAACGCATCACTGTTACATTGCTTTTATGGCTTTATTTTGGTTATTTCGAAAACGTGTTTTGGTTTGGCCATGTTTGTTGTAGTACTGAGTTAGACCGATGGCCTTAATCTAAGTTGTCTTGTGGTTGTTGTTGTTGTTTGACTTGCATCCCACTGGGATTTTTGCACACAGCGTTGGTGTACGGTGCTTTTCCTGCAGGCTCGCGTTCACCTTGACGTGCAAGTGCCACCCAAGTCAAATCAGAAACGACGAACATGAGAACTTAATGGGCTCAGTACGTGTACAGTAACCGAGGGGGTGTACGTGTGGCCCAACACAGCCCTGTTCCGCCCATTCTACCCGCCCACCCAATGTCAATTCTGCTGTTCGCTTGCTGTCATCTTGCTGCTGCGCGGATATGGATCAGAATCTTCGCACGGCCGAGGGAGGGAATTCGGCCACCACGCAGGTCTCTGTTGCTCCTGTGGGCCACCACCCCCCTTCCTCCCCCCGTGTTGTTGTAGTATCGACACCTTGCCCAGACGTGGACATCTTTAACGTGGGCTGCTGATAAGCTGAGCAAAAAACTCGAATGCGGATGCCAGGACGGAGGCCTTGGCAATAGTTTTTGTATTGTACGACGGGAACTGTTGGCGCAGCCGGAGTAGAGAGAGTGTATGTGTGTGTGTGGGAGCCTAGTAGTGTGTTGATATCAAGACGATATTAAATACTGCAGTGGTACGGTGTGTGAGACGATACGCTGCTGCAAGTTGCGGTTAACAGTAAAGAGACCCCCCCCCCCCCCCAACAATCTGGAAGCGACTCTCGTGTTTATTTTTGTTTCTCTCTCATCAGGAAGTTACTTTCGAGTTGCGTCTCGGTTTTATTTTAATTAAAAACAGAGGGACGTTACCACGCAGTGATAAAGGGCACCCAGGGGGGGGGGGGGGTGGGTAACTCGTGTGCAGTGTAAAACGTGAACATTTCGCGTGTGTTAATGTGGCCACGAGGATGGATCGGAGGCCTCCCCACGTGTGTCGCTTCGGTGGGTGTGCACGGCTCACTCCGTCTAATCGCGTAGGTCAGGGTCCATCCACTGCTAGATTACGCCCCCACTTGTTTTTAAATCCTTTATATTAAGTTTGCTTGCGTGCTTGCTTGCTTACGACCGTGCAAATCTTTCGGTCGTTTTTTAACCCACTTCCCGTGATCCAATCGAGGTGACATTTTGCACACAGACTCGTTGTGCGTGACAATTAATGTTCGTGAAATTTTTTTCTCCAAAATTTTACACTGTTTAGGGAAAACAAATTAAATATTTAATTACCAATTGCTTAATACTGGCAGACAATCATCTGACCCATAGGTGGCAGCCATCTCAAGCCAGAGGACGAGAGGACTCTAGCCGCCACGCATATAAAGGATTTATAGTGAAAAACTTTGTTTTTACGGGTTATACTTATTTGTGTTCCACGACCCCCACGACCCCCAGCACCTCGCACAACCAACTCGATTTTAACGGCTCCATCTCCCCGGTGGACGTACTCGGGGTAACGCGATTGATTCCGTTCCTTGACGGTTGCAAATTTCTCTTCTTCCCCCGTTCTTGTTCGAGTGATTGTTTCGTTGAATCAAGTGCACAGCAGCACGGGGTCGTTGCGTTTTTAAAGATCGGCAGCCAACGTACGGTGCGAGAGAAGTTCCACCATACGTAACGTGTTCTCCCACATTTCATGGGTACACGCGTACAGCGGCGCGTACTGACCAGGGGACGTGAGGTCAGGGGAGGCAGGGGAGGCATATCCTCACCTGGCATACTCCAATGAAAATAGTTGTTACTAAAAAAAATATTAAGATTTTTTTTTTCCACTGATCTGTTATAAATGTCATTTCTGTACGATTCTAATCATTTTTATAGTCAAAATCGCCAAATTTGCGGAGCTCCGCTGCAAATACAGGAAGAGACGAGAGGTGAGGCAGTGACAAGCTCAGCCTTCCCTCTGATTGCGCAACCCCTCAGTAACTGGATGGAGCGCGGGCGATAAGCGCGTGCCTGTTACTATCTCAGTATGTCACCAATGTAATGTTTGTAGACCCCTTCATTTCATGTCATCGCCTTCCATACTGCAGGTAACTTATTTCACGTATGTGTATGAAGATTATTAGGCTCGCTGGTCTCGTCATGAAACTGCAATGAAAAAGCACCAGGGGAGGCAGCTATCACATCTGCCTCACTGAGAGGGGCGTGTCTAACACGCCCCCCTCGGTGAGGCCACGCCCCCCTCGGTGTGTGAATCTGATGCTATCATATTCTTAGGTTTTTTCGGGAAAAGTCACGTAGGTACAAATTTTAAAATTAATAAAAGGAAAATAAAATAAAAATCACGACGTTTCGGAGGCAACACAAGCTTCCGTCTTCAGGTGTAACGTCACAGCACGATAGCTGTATCACTTTATACAGCTGTCACTTGATACAGCTATCGTGCTGTGACGGTTCCACCTGAAGACGGAAGCTTGTGTTGCCTCCGAAACGTCGTGATTTTTATTTTACTTTTATTAATTTTAATTTTTTACCTACGTGATTTTACCGAAAAAACCTAAGAATATGAATCCTTGCAGTCACGAAAGCTTCAAAATCTAGAATCTGACGCTAGCCAGTGCCTCCCCAGCCATTGACCTCACCGCAGGGTCACTGGTACTGACCGTCAATGTAGATTTCGGGCACCTTTTGTATGTTTAACACGTGTGAGGCTTTCGCGACCAATATTATTCATAATCAACGTTTTTGGGTTTAGATCGCGTTATTTATAAATGTGTCGTAACCCTCCACCACCCGACACGGCCAATCAGTAAAAAAAGTGTCACGTTGACAAAAGACAAATAGTTCACTGCTTTAGCCCCACACCGGTGTGTTGAAGCGTGAAACCACAACAATTTACAATTTGAGTAGTACGACGTTTCGCTGGTAATTGCATCCAGCATCATCGGGCAATTCGCCAGAATTGTATGCAGTGCTGATAGCTTCGTGCGTATTGCTGTGCGTTAAAGTGTATGTACACGGTGCTTGTGTGTAAATTTGCACCGCGGGATACGCAACGTTCTGGCTACGTTACTTCTGAGCTGTGTCTACCACGCGTGCTGGCGCTCTTGAGTTGCGTGTTGTTGTTGTGTGCTTTGTAGCAACGTGTTGTTTCTACCGTCTGCTCTTGCCAGTTATGTTCACGTGCTTTTCCATTAAATGCGTGTTTTCTTTCCATAATACACGTGCTGTCAAATTATACACACACACATTTCCCCATTATACACGTGCGCTTTGGATGTTTAACACGTGGACTTTCGATACCAATATTTCCATAATACTGGAGAGGTTTTTTTTGGGGGGTTAGATCGCGTAAATATAAATAAAGACGAGCTTTTTTGCCCGTCCGAGGACGGGTGTATATTGCAGTAAATCTGAAATATTCAATATAAAAAAATTGTTCAGCTCATGATTATTAATGAGGGGGGTTGCCCCATGTGGAGTGACGTCACCCGCTAATGGTGATTGGGGAGGGGTGCAGCATGTGAAGTGACGTCATCCGCTCATGATTATTCATGAGCGGAGGGGTGCGGCATGTGGAGTGCGTTCGTGTAAAAATCCACCCACTCATGAATATTAATTATGGGGGGGGGGCTCATGTGGAGTGACGTCACGCGTCGGGCCTTATGTGGAGTGACGTCACAAGGGGGGGTGGGCCTCATCTGGAGTGACGTCACACGGGGGGGTTGGCCTCATGTGGAGTGACGTCACACGGGGGGGTGGCCTTATGTGGAGTGACGTCACAAGGGGGGCTTGGCCTCATGTGGAGTGACGTCACACGGGGGGGTGGGCCTCACGTGGAGTGACGTCACGCGCGTGACACGTTCTTGGCTTATAGTAGTATGTCGTGAAACCCACCACCACCCGACACGGCCAACGTAACGAAGCCAGTGTGACAAATTGGCATGTTTTGTTTGCGTGGCAAACCTTATTAATATGCTGTGTTAGGTGGTGGCGGGTTTAACGACACATTTGTGGTTTAGAAGTCAAGATTTCCCTGGCTACTGCCGGATTCAGTCCTCCACCGTAACACGTCTTGTTGGTTGATTTCTCATACTTGACACTGATCAGTGCAGGCTTGATGGATGGGGGAGTGGAGGCTGTTCAGCCTTAGTCGGGAATCTCGAACTCAAGGCAGAAATGCGTTAATCACTGCGCAACGCCTTCACTCGGTATCACACGATCTATATTGTATAGTACAAACGTGCAATAAGAGGCAATGGATAACAATTGTAATTTATACATATTCATCAATCCCCCCCCCCCCCTCCACTTTGCACGTGAAGGGCTCACAAGTGACCCCCATCACATGTACGCCTCTATTTAAGGGACGTAACGAGAGGATTTCTCCACAATTCTGCCGGTTGAAATTACTCATTAAACGTGGTACTCGGATTGTAAATGTTGTGGATTTGCTCTCCAACACAACCGGTGTGCTGTACTCGTAACAAATTGGCACGTTCTCTTTACGTGACAAACCTCACTAATTGATTGTGTCTGATGGTCGCGGGTTTAACGACACATTTATATTTACGCCATCTAACTCAAAAAACTATATTATGGATGTAATATGAACATAACTTACTAAGTCCTTTGTCAAAACGTGAACTTCATCCCATTCATCACACTTCGTAGTGGGACTGGGATACACTTTTAATGGAATATTTTACGAACACGAAGTGAGCCCGACAGCTGTTGCCCGTAAATACATTGACACAGTACCCCTCCTGTCGACAACCCACTGTTGGTAACAACATACAAGGACTTTGCAGAATCGTTACATTAATTGCACAATCCCTCGTGGGTTGCAGTGTTCATCATCGCAGCAGCTGATGGCATGCCCAAGCTATACACATACCATATTATCCGGATTATAAGATGCCCAACCCCAACCTTCCCTGTATTTTTTAAAGTTGGAGGTGCGTATTATGATGATGTGCGAACAGCCCTTTTGGACCCTCTTTCACCACGCTGGTGGAGTTGAAGGCAGGGAGCATGCAAGTCCAGTGCAACAATGTTATGTTGCACAGAGCACCCCCCCCCTGCACCCTATAAAAGCAACCTGCTGTTAACGATGCACAGTGGCCATCTACCAAAGCAATATACAGGCTCAACCCTGGTTTTCCTTCAAAGATGTGGCACATTGATATGATCACTGTTACATTGCTTTCATGGCTTTATTTTGGTGATTTCGAAAAGGTTTTTTGGTTTGGCCATGTTTGTTGTAGTACTGAGTTAGACTAATGGCCTTAATCTAAGTTGTCTTGTGGTTGTTGTTTGACTTGCATCCCACTGGGATTTGTGCACAGCGTTGGTGTACTGTTTTTTTTCTGCAATATTTTGCTGTCTTTTCTTAGATTTTCTGTTTGCACATAGTCACATAGTCACTTTAAGATGTTTTCTTGTTCATGTTTTTTGTTTGTTGCGGTTGCACCTGATTCAAGAGCCGAATGGTTCACAGGGCTATACCAAATAAGTGAAACTGAAACATTCCAGGTTCAATCTAGATTTGAAGTTTTCGTGACTGCAGGGATCCATACTCTTTGGTTCTTTAGCAATTGTTTCTTGCTGTGGTTGTCCCACCTGATGACGGACGCTTGTGTTGCGCCTCAAACGTCGTGATTTAATTTATTTTATTTTTTATACCTACGTGACTTTACCGAAAGAACCAAAGAGTACATTCCAGGTTATTTGGCAAACTACTCTCCTCTGAAATCAATGAAGAGCAACAACACATTTGAACAAGGACAATTGAGACAATACAAAGAATATAAACAACACAAATGTGTAACCCAATGGTATCGTAAATGGCCACCCATTGTGACAACTGAATCGTGGAAGATGAACACTCGTCTGACAAAATGTTTCGTACGACCACTTTGAAGCCGTACACAACACTGACAAAGCTTTCCCTTACAGCCGCAGACGCCCAAGGCCATACGCACCCTGCGCTTTCTCAACCCTGGTCCCAACATCTCGGACTTCAACCCTGAGAACAGCAAGCGGGAACGGAGGAAGCTGCAGAGTAAAGTCAAAACTGCAGAGAGGTGGGACCCCACACATCACCAGCGTGTTTGCAAACGGGCCACATTGTGTCAAGCAGACAAGGAGGGCAAGATCAGCGTGTCATTGCTAAGAGGACAGTGTGTGTAATATGTTCTGCCCTGTCTGGCAATGTCAATCACTGTGGTTTGTGGTTTGTGGCTCACGACTAGCTGCCAAGGCAAAATTACCTGAGTTGCAGCATTTAATTTAAGGATGGTTTGTAATGCACACCATAGCATAGCCATCATTTACTTGGGCACGAAATTGTCCTTGAAAAGTACAATACGTGATTTAGAAATACTGCATGAATGTATAATTATTTAGAGTATTCCCCAAAGAATGCAGTAAACGGACAGTTTTGCAAATTATTTGCCTTATATCTGATGCATGATCTGCACTATAAAGATGCATTGATTCATAAATAAGTTTATATGCTCATGCATGCATCATATATCTAAGGCTTGATTAATTTCTATTTAAGCAAGTTATATACGAATGTGCCGTACATGGAAGTTAATCAAATGGATGACAGAACAATTTGGGACAAGACAATAAAAACGAAATGCTATAAACCAAACAAAAAACTTCTACATTGGAGCATGCACCTAAATCCTGACAATTTGCTGTCCAGCTGAATAACTTCACATTTAGTATGCAGATGCTCCGTACGAAAAGGTGCAATGACGTCAAATATGTTGGATTCGTGCATTTGTGAATGTGAACATGTTTTCAGAATCGCTGCCTCATTTTGCTTATTGGAGCTCAATCCATCGGTTGTGGCACCGCCAGGCAATGTCAGCAAGCGAATCAGCACGTGTACGATGAGGCGGGGCGACTCATCTCCGTGGGGATTGACCTATGCGACTGCCTGGACGAGGACTGTCCAGGCTGCTTTTACAGCTGCTCCCAGTGCAGCTCCTCCAAGTGTGGCCTCCAGTGCCGCGTGCACCGCAAGTGGCTCTACGATCGCATCGATGTGGAGGGGGGGAATACCTTGCACAACTGTGCTGCCAACGGCTAGGCCACACGCCGGTCGCTGTGGTGCCACGCGTGTGTGTGTGGCATGTTGTTTACCTTCCAATTCACACTCGGTGAGATCCCATTATCAAAAACATTGACACGCTCCTGCGTATATGTCAGTGTATCCTGTGGAAATTTTTCCAAAATAGAATATTTATTTTATTCTGGAGTTATTGCACTTTAAGTCATCTTAGTGAAATTACATTTTTTTAAGTCAATGCAGTGTACTTATGCATGATTTGCAGAATATAAATGTGTATTTGTATTATTGGGCTCATCACATACTAGCAGAGCCCGCGCATCTGTGCGGGATGTAGCTTCACCCCACTCTTGCCCATGGCGTGAAGCGTGATGACATCATAAAGTCAATCAGCCCTATATTGTGATGTCACCATGCCGAAGCCAAGTGCGTTAAGGAACCATGGCTTTATGCAGAACATTTTAATATAATCAATGGGCAACGACGACTCTACGAATAAAATTAAAGTCGATCTTCCGAACATTTTTTGGCTTCCCATTGGTTTGTATTGGACGTAATTTTTTGGAATTTCAGGGGCAAAATGTGAATTCGAAAAGGCAAATATTTCGCGGGTATGTTTTCCCCAAGAAAATGTTTAATGTTCGGGTTGTTTTTGTACGACATACCCTTTGCGACAAAAGAGCTAGATGGACACTTGCACGTTTTTTATATATATATATTTGCTAATCAAGTGGCTCTGTGTATAAGATATTACATATATTAACACCTGTCATTCTGGTTTTAATAAATATACAAATATTCTAATTTTCTATTTAAGTTTTCTATTTTTACCAATAACTTATCAATCATGTTTAGTATATGGATAAATCCTCTCTCAACATGTGGTTTGCAATATATTTTTGGCCTTCCATTTACAAAAAGTATTGGATTCTCCTGAATATTGTCACACCAACAGCGTTGCTATACAAATGGTTCTTGCCAGCATATAGAGAAAATTTTAAGTAGTAAATAAAAGAGAGAAACTAACACGGGCCAGCAGGCCACACAATCAACCATGTTCCATTAGTGGTCCTACGGGCTAATCCCATTAAGACCATTGCCCGTATCTTGAGGAAGAGGGGTCCATGCTGCTGTACAAGCGACGAGACATCTTGACTGGTTTCCCGCATGTGCCTTCATTTAGGCAATCCAAAAGTATTGGTGAAAATTAAACGCGTGTCGCCACGAATATACAACCTGGACGCTACGGAACCCATAATGCAGATTGATGTAATGAAACTACATCCAAAACAGTTGGAAAACTAATTCAGGAGATATTCCATGAAAAACTCCCGATGCAATGCTTCGTCTGATGACATATATATGGTATTCTTTATTGAAGTACAATAAAAATACTATTTGGATAAATTCTAGTTCATTGTAAACCGTTAAAAATGTAAATGACTCAGGATGATAAGCAACATTAAAACTGAAAAGTAAAATTACATAATGTACCTTGATAGGTATATTGTGAGTGGCTTATTAACACGTTTTTCAATTACAAACTACTTTTAGCAGAACATTACTATATTTTAGGTGGAAAACATTGTTTCAAATGCATTGTGTACATGGAAGAGAATTCTAAAAATCCACAAAGTCCGAAACTTCACAGATTTACCCATGGTGCGCGACTCCTCCTGTAATACAAGGGACCATTTATCCTGAAATCAATACAAAGAATGAGAGTTTTAGCTCTCTCCTGGGAGCGGCCAATTCCTCTCACAATCCGTGGCACACCTCGTCGGCGGCTTATTATAATTATCATAACTTAATATAAAAATAATGGAAAGCACTTCGCATTGCAAATAGGCTACTGGCTTCTTTGCATTATGAACTATATTCCCCTTTTTTAGTGCTTCACATTGCAGATGTCGCTGGGTTTGCACTCCTTGCCCTTTTTTAAGTGCCAGCATAGCTACAGGTAGAATCGTCGAACTGAATTTATAAATAGAGGTGAAATACATTTTTTTTGGCAAAATTGTGTTTTGCATAAACACATACTTTTCCCCACCTCCGATTAGTATGGTTGGCTACGTACGGTAAGAAATAAGTTGAACATACATACATACAGAGCTCTCCTAATTTGATCTGTTGAGTAATAAAGGTGTTTTGAATTTCTTGTCGAATTGGATATCAGGTGTAAGAAAATGCAAAACATATTTGAAAAGACTGCCAGATTTGCATTTCAAGTCTGAGGAAATGTAACCTCATCCGCAAATTGATCGCAGATTAATGGAGGCACTAGTCACGTGACGCGCTTCCCCTGTAACCTGTGAATCTTTTTCATATTAATGTTGTCGCATGGCTAATTACTCCTGTACCCGGTGGCACACTGCATCGATTGGCTCGAATATTTTTTCATGGATTATGGCACAAACCTGCGCGGTGCATCATGTATTACAGGATCCGTGATAGGCTCCTCCCATATCAGTGCATATTATTGGAGTTCTGATGTATATTAAAAGCTGTATACTTGTACATATGTTCCATTGCAAAACAAAGCAATACTCAGACAACAATTCAAATCTGGATGCTACATTTATTGTATAAAAGGCCATGTTTAATATAATTGGCTCCTAATCACTGAAATTTTCAAAATAAAGTTATATTGCACACTCAAAATCCCTTCAACAAAAATCCTCCACCCTAGCTAATTTCAAAACAAATGTATAAAGAACACGCAATTGCTGAGTCAATTAGAAAACATAGCATACAAAAAGAAAATAAGTTTTAAAAAAAAATTTGACAATGAAATGTGTACTTGCAATATTTCAAAAGGCATATTTTTTTTATTCAAGGTACAAAAATTAGGTGTAATCACATCTATAAAATTAAACAAAACATTGGCTTATATAAAATATATGTACACTTTTTTAGTACTATAAATGAAACATACTATAAATTAGCATCTAAATAGTAAAAACTATACATTAATTTATTCCGATATTATTTAACTTAAATATCAGATTTTTTTCTTTATATATACAAGAGGAAGACAATATATCTGGGAAAGTTAATTGAAGGTGGACTGGGATGAAAGTAAATGCTTTGGACAGATGGACAAGAGAGCAGGTTGGAGTGCTTTTGAAAGGCTAAACTTGATCATGAAAAGCAATTTACCAATGAAACCCTTTAATATAATGATATGCATGAAAAACATGGACAATGGAACAAAATTTGATAAGTGCACAAAGTATGGAGGGATGGATGCATGCAAGTACTCCATTGAGAGAAAGAAAGAGGAACACATAGATTAGAGAAAATATGCATGTTAAAGACATTTTTTACATTAAAAGAAGTGGTCCTGCACAGGACACTGCGAGAATGGATACTGGCTGGTAGTCAAGAATAACAATGCAATGCGCCTGAGAGGATGTCCACCATGAAGATGAAGTGACGATATTAGCTCATGTGCAGGTGGTAGGGAAATTGCTACAAGACAGGACCATGAAAGATGATGATATCTTGGGGAGACCTTCATCCAGCCATAGATTTATTGATGACTTTTGTGGACGTTTAAGGTGCTAAACAATGGGAGCAAAGTGCATAGCATCAAGGGTGTACATTTATGACCAGGGATTTTTTCCAGCATCAATGGAGTCTACAGGCATCGAGCTCACGCTTGAAGTGAGACTCGCACGCCGTGCCGTCACCTCCGAAACTGGGATCTGCCGTAGCTCTTTACGAGGCTTCCTAACCGTCATAACGCGTCCTGTGTTCTCGGAGACATGTGGTAGACGCAATGGGTGCTCATGTAGCTCGGTGGTACCAGGTGGATCCTCGGAGCTTTCAGAATGTCTGCGTGTTGTGGGCGGTGTTGGGTGCCGCACAAGCTCTGCAATTTCTTCTCTCAGCCGACTCACCCGCTCTGCCCGGCTAAAACTAGAATTCTCGCTGTCTGCACTGACCTTTCCTCGTTCAAATACCTTTCCATGGTCTGACCACTCGTCAGGTTGTGCGTTGCCGTGCTCCACACCAGGATTAGAGGTTTTGTTCTCACTCCCTGTAGCCTTTACAGATTCCATGGAATTGTAGCCATTGCCTAACAAAGTAAAATGTCATTTACTGACAGTTAACAAAACAATGGACAACAGCTAGAATTTCCACTAACATAGAAACATGGTGTTCTTAATTACATTTCTTTATGATATGTAAGTAGCTTAAGTAGCATAGATGTGGTGTGAAGCTTAACTTGAATGTATAACATTCTAATGTTAAAGATATCAGACCAGGAAGTAGAATTTACAATTAATTCTAAAAGCAGAATCTAATTTGCATTATTTTTTATTAAATGCTCACGTAACATTGAGAAATATCTAATTTATTATTATAATGCATTCCAACAGACAATACCAAACACTGTGGAGAGATTTACATACCTTGTTGAGTGCTTTGTGAGTGCTTATGCTGGATGCTTTCTCCATTGCTTTCCTTTAACTTTTTCTTTAACTCACGGCTCGTCATCTTGTAGAAAAATAAGTCCTTTTCCAGTTGTTGCATTTTCTCATCATGAGTCTTTATATCATTAACACCATCCCCACCTAAAGAACAAAACAATAATACAGCATGCAATGAGATAATTGCATTATTGGAAAAAAATATTCGTCCATCTTATTCAGTTTTTCATATTCCGTAATGATAAGCATTCAATCACCTCATGCACACGTACAATACATTTTGCAGTTGGTGGGATTTACAAAATATGACATTTAAAAGTGATGAGCAATTCAAAACTGGCAACCAACAGTTCTAAAATATATATATGATGCTAGATTATATACAATTTGTCACTCAGCATGGGGTTTAAAAATGTAGCCAAACAAATCATGTTTCTACAATTCCAAAAACCATACAAATATGAGTACTTTAATTCCATTAATGGTTTCATGCAATTCGAGCTATGCTGGAATACTAATTGGAAAACATACATTATATACATGTAAAATAAACTGCGTGCTTATATGAGCAATTGCTTAGAATTTTACCACGTAAAAAACGATGACGGTATTTCACATACACCAATTTGCAACAAATAGCAATTGTCATTGTATATCATATTCCTGCTAACTAATGTGATCCGGTTCAAGATGAACAGTGATAAAATATAGTGCCGATTAATGTTGACTTTTAATTAGCTGTGACCAACCGGCATGCTGTTGAAGCAGCAGCTGAACTTTTTGTTCATACTCTTGTTGAAGGACTGTAAGTTTCCTGTCCATATCCATGGCCACCCTGTCCAAGGCCAGCTCCAACTCCCGAACAATACGTTCCTGTTCGTCTGCACGCATTTCTGCCTCGGCACACTGCACATTCAGCCTGCGCTCTGCCTCGCGCAGAGACACGACCTATGCAAACACATGCACGCACGCGCACACACACACACAAAAGTATCGTACTTTGCCAATCACATTCACTTTAACAGCGTGGTTTTTGATGTGGAATACTACAATCCAAAATATTTTCTCTGTAACAGTTTCTCAATGCAGTCCACAATGGAAACAGTACAACAACAAAATCTCAAGCTATAAAAAAAAATGGTGGTGGATACTGCCACAGTAAGTATTGTCACCATGCTCATAACATTGGTTGTTTACAAGCAATCAAGGAATATTTTTTGATATTTGTTTTGTTTCTTTGTAGTTTGCCAAAAGCATGGCAAATAGTAAATGCATATTTTTTTCTAGAGAAACTGCTGACTTATCTGTACTTTTGCAGTGGAAACTTTGTGATCAAATTTGAAAATATATGGTGAAAACTCACTCTTCAATTTTTTATTTGCAAAATGAAAGGAAAACAATGTTCCCTCCATAAATAAAACCCCTTGAAAATATATAAATCATGCCGACTTTTAGTTTTACCAATATTCCAAACGCAGTACCTACTTTGTCAAAATATCTACAGAGAAGGGTCCTGATTTCTGAATTCGACAAGCAGCTCAGCCTGCCCATCATGTTGGCTTGGCTCTGGGTCAGGGCACTGGTAGATGCTCGCAGGGCCCGCTGCTGGTTACTAATGAATTCATCCTTGTAGGCAATAGCTGCTTCTAAAGCATCTATCTCTTCATCCAGTCGAAACAGAGTCCTCTCCTGCAACGCACACCAACAAGACTCTTATCACATGCATAAAATGGCTTTTCCGAAGTAACAAAACATGTATAAAATTCCAAACTAAACGAGTGTTGGCAGGTTTTATTTAATCAATTAAACTGTGTTTACCTCAGTACCCAGGACATTGCCTGCCTTAAGTTTGTTTTCAAGCTCTATCCTGCGCTCGTGCAACTGCTGCTTTTCCTGCTGCAGAACAGCCAACTCCTCAGCTGCCCTGCGCTGCTCTGCATCACTTGTAGTCCCAAGTTTCTTGCTCCGATCGGAAATCTCTCGGTCCACTATGTCCAGGCGGCTTGACAAACGAGTCAAGTCATTATTGAGCACCTGGAAACATAAAATATTCATAAACTACACGGTATATAACATTTACGAATGCAGCCCAGCACCTCTTACTTGCATTGATAAGGAGGGTGGCTACTGATAGATCCTGAAATCCAAGACAATCCACAAAAATACATCTCCCAACTTCTAGATTTGAAGCTTTCGTGACTGCAAGGATTCATATTCTTAGGTTTTTTCCGGTAAAGTCACATAGGTAAAAAAATTAAATTAATAAAAGTAAAATAAAACTAAAATAAAAATCACGACGTTTCGGAGGCAACACAAGCTTCCGTCTTCAGGTGGAACCGTCACAGCACGCTTGCTGTATCAAGTACTTGAATTAAGTACTTGATACAGCAAGCGTACTTGAATTAATTAAGTACTTGATACAGCAAGCGTACTTGAATTAAGTACTTGATACAGCAAGCGTGCTGTGACGGTTCCACCTGAAGACGGAAGCTTGTGTTGCCTCCGAAACGTCGTGATTTGTATTTTATTTTTATTTTATTAATTTTAATTTTTTACCTCCGTGACTTTATCGAAAAAACCTAAAAATACATCTCCCAACCTTTCCCTAAAAGCACGAATATGATTTCCCACGCGAATGAAAACATCTCGGATAATAGGATTAGTGGTGTACTTCCAAGAAGCAATGTCCAGGTGGCTTTTTTGTGTGAATAAATGCAGAGGATAAATTTGCAGCATGACTCCTCTTATCCATGAAACATGTGTAAATAGGAAGATGCAAAAGAGGTGTCGTGTAGTGTGCTGTGATTCACAACTGTGACAAGTATCAAGAGTAGCGAGACATAGGCAGTGGTAAAATGATCATCACTGCAGGTACATTAACCGTAAATATGCACCGTGTACTTCAAAGTGGACATTAAGCATCATGTCACGTTATGCAAAAAAGAATTGGTCATGTATGCTAGCATCAGAGCCAAAATTTGCCAAGTTGAAAACCGATTTGCAAATCACTTAATTGAGTCAACCCACGTAACATTTCTCCTGAATTGAAGACTATACACATCTGTGACACATAGTGCATTCGTGAAAGCCTTGCACTATAATGGCACACATCTCATAAATTATCATTACTTTGGATAATGCAGAAAATGGAACCTGAAATTGGTTTCCGATGCAGCAAGTTTATTGTGTTATATCAATCATGGCTGCATAAAAAGTTAGATATCCAGTTATAATCTGGGCTTTGCAAAACATGTCTTTGTTATTTTATCACTGTGCCTGAAAGCTCGGTGGAGAATTTGTTTGTACCTGACTTGATCGTAGACGCTTAATCTCTAGCTGGCTTCTCTCCTGAAACAGGGCTTCTTTCTTGGCTAATATGTCTTCACGCCTGCTAAGTTCCTGCTGTAGCTCCAACAGGGCATGCCGCTGCTCAAGAACCCGCTCCATCTCCTCATCCAGACAGGTCTTCTGCTCCTCAAGCTTCTGCACGAACAGCCACATGACACAGCTGTTTGTATTTGTTGAACTTCTTTCTCACCGTATGTTGCCAACCATGCTTATTGGAGGTGCGAGAGAAGGACAACTAAACACAAAAAGCACTTCTCAAGAAATTATTGTTCAATCTAGATTTAAAAGTGCATATAAGGAAGAGCGTTCCACACAGCCGCAGAAGCGCATCCGAAAGCGCGTGATGCGCCGACCATCTTTATTCGATGGTTAGTCTTTATCCCACCAGTGAAATAAAGCTGTCGATGAATGCCTCATGAAGTCTATCACACACAAGTAATCTTGCTCAATACTATTTTGTGTAGATGTAATGAGAGCCTATGTCCGGCTCACGTGGTGATCGGCTCTGCCGGTCCTGCTCTACAGCCAATGGGGGGAGAGCCTGGGAGCATGGCCCTGGCGTGATCGAGGGATGTCAGCTAGGATGATTGGTTCTGCTGGTCTTGGCCTCAGCCAATGGGAAGACAAGTCAGGGGCGTGGTCCCGGGAGTTGATGGGGAATCTGGACCATTCGGCGCAGGCTATTAAGGATTGGCTGGAACGTACCACGTGACCCAGGCATTAAATAAGGGAAGAGCCGAGGGACACGTGGTCAGACGAGGAACGAAGAGAGAGAGAGGGGCCACGCGCGAGCGGTGCTCCGAGTGCCACGTGGCGGTGCGTCTCTTGCGATCTGTTTGCCCACTTCCCGTTGCCTGCCAGCAACGGGGAGTGCTTGTGAAATGAAATAAGTAAATAAAAGGACCGATTCCACAAGCCGTCTCCAAGAGTATTATTACATAAATATAAAGGCATTAAACTGGATTATACGGGAATAACAATAAAAAAGTCCATGATACAGTGGGCGTAAAACTGTTTTGCATTGTATATTTCAGCCCAATTCCCAAACATACATTTAATCTATATGATGGAGGGGTGGCAGGATGGTTGGTGCACTACGTTGTACCACAATCCTGGTTTAATTGCCAGCAATGGCTGACATCGGTGATGGAAGTCTGAACTTTCCCTGGAATTCCCCAAACCACCCCCCCTCCTCTGACCCCCACCGTTATCTCCCTGCACTGACCAGCATGTAAAAGTATGTTCAAACAACACCTACAGCTACAGCAAACGTGTATATAGTATAACATGATCACCTATCCCGAGCATTTGTGCAGGATCCACGGCCATGGTGGAGGCGTAAATTCTGTATCGTTTTGCTGCCTTTTGCAAGCTTGATATATATATTACTTATATAATTATTTTAGCATTATTTATTTACATTTAGTAACTTGCTATTTTCTCAATTTTTCACTCCTATCGTCTTTTTTATTGTTTGCTGTTGTAACCTGCTAACCTGCCCATACTGGACACCTGTGAAAAAGAGCTTCATAGCTCATCGGATTCCTCCAGTCGAGATAAAGATTCTGAAAAGTCTACACGCACGAACCTGGCTCAGTGCTATGGGATGTGGATGATGTCATCGCACAGATGTATGAGGTGACATCACTAACATGCACAAGCACCTGTGTGTCAGCCAGCCAACCCAGCCAGGAATCCAGACAGGAAGCCAGCCAGAATATCTTTTTTACTGGTAGGAACCTCCTGGTTACACCAACCCACAGGGGATTATTGTGTCCGTCGTGCAGGGAGGGGCTGGGTGGAGATGGTGCATAGGGGCTGAGAGGGGACGGTGGGGCTGGGTGCGGAGTGGATGGTGGGGAGGGGAGGGGCTGGGTGGGGAGGGTGGGGCTGGATGGGGAGGGGCCCTTATGAAAACTTAACGTTTAACCTACTCACGCCGGCTTGTGCCCGCCCTCACAGTCGGGCATATTTGCGGAATACACCACGCCGCCGTTGACCCTGGCCATTGACCGAGCAACCCAACGTTCCTACCAGCTCCCTTCCGCAGGAATGTGTTTGTAATATAGTATGATTTACATGTGCATTTTCAGTATTTGCATTGAAGAATTGTATGAAGTGTAGTAAAACGATCCAATGTGAAATAAAAAACAATCATGGAATATTTAGACCTTGTCTTCAATGGACATGAAGGTTCCACTTTGCTTTTGTTTTTGAAGAGCCGCCATCTCTAGAGACTTTACTTCCAGGACCTTCTGCTGTTGTTCATTCTTCTTCTCAAGATCCTGAAGGCAGAGTATTCGAAATGTGAAAATAACTTTTATTTACCTTAAAATTACTACTTGAGGAAAAACTTTAATATGATACTTAATGAACAGTACATGTCATATGAAAAACAACTTCAAAGGCTACTGGCCCATGGATGTTGTAATTAGACAGCATACAATACATAAGCATGCCATACAATGTGGCAACATTTGTTACTAAAACCCAACCATTCCCTCCAATATTGTAATAATTCATATTATTCACTTTACCAGCTTCAGAAAGTGTATTTTTTTAATATATAAAGGTAATATACCTTTTACACCAAGAATATCAAAAGTGCTTTAATAAAAAATGTGAAACCTTAATGCGCTGCAGTTCCCGTTCCATCTCATTCTCCAACCGCCTCTTTTGCTCGGTCTCAGCTTGCAGTTTCTTCTGGAAAGAGGCTTGCTGCTGCTTCATAACCTCCACCTGCCGCTCCAAATCCTTCTGACGCTTATCACCTTGTGTTGCTATTGAAGCCAGCTTCTCTGTGTCCTGATGCTTCTTATGCAGCTTCTGTTCAAATAGATACACACATTGGGATTTTAAACAAAACTAAACTGAAAGCATTTTTATTTTAACAGGTAAGGCCCACCTGAGCTATTTCGCTCTTTTTCAGAAGCGACCTGGCCATAAATGAGAGCTCAACGAAGTGACTTATGCAGAAATTTAAAGCAGCCAAATACTCTAAAAGCATGTTTTTAAATGTGGAGGGAAAAACCGGAGGACGTGGAGAAAAATCCACACAACCACGGGGAGAACATGCAAACTCCAAATATATAGTCGTCAAGGTCGGGATCGATCCCATAACCTCCTGCATACCAGGCGAGGAAGTTAACATCTCGCCACCATAGCACCCAAACTGTTAAAGTATTAACAAATCTATTCCATAATTAGCAAACTTTTTGTATATATACCCCATAGCCAATGTATGAAAGGGTTAACCAAAACTTAAATTTAAAAACCACTGTTAAATTAAAAGCCTTTTTTTGGTAATTACTTCACACCATACACACATTTCGATTTCATAACATGCGATGTTATCCCACCGTCACGTGTCGTGCAATGTCATCTTGTTACCCAACTTAACTACTCACCATGAGCGATCTACTGCTCGATCGTGAAATACTCAATCGTGAATTGAACGAAGGTCACCAGAATTGTTTATTCAACACATATGATTGTCTCCCTGTGCTTCACGCAAAAATGTAGGAATGTAACCACTCCACTGGTAATGCAATTAATCACCACATTTGGAAATTATGGTACTTTAAAAAAAATAGTTTTTATCTGATTCGTAATTGTTTCTGTGATATTGTCCGATTTAATTGGTCGATGAATTGGTTTTAATTGATGTATCAATTGTTATGTGCCTGGTGGTACATATATCATACTGAAAATAAATGTTCGTCAGATATTGTAAATACCTACCAGATTCTTATGTGTTTCAGATAAAAACATACTGTAGATGTTCTTTACAATATAAAAACCACGGGTGATCAATTTCGGCAAACTCAGACCTGCATATTTGTCCTCAAATTCGATGTAATTTTGAAAACAAAGACGCCACATCTCGCACACTACAATTGGTCACACCTGGCAAAAAGTGAATGTACACCACAGGGAATATATAAATGTCCGCATTAAAGGACACATGCTTACAGAAAAATACATTTTTCATTCTTATCAACAAGGAAAATACATTTCACATCTCTTTAGCTTAAATATTTAACTAGATGTAATTCATAGCACACAAACATTATTGCAGATTTTTTTATGCAAAGGAATTCTTTAACTGCTTACATTTTACTTTACAAACATAGAAAGAGCAATTCACTGGACCACAACCTCAATCCAGCTTCTGACCTGAATGTTAACCTTGGCGGCTTCCATCCTTTTGCGAAACTCCTTCTGCAAGCGTGCTTTCTCAGCCACATCCCTCATTTCCTTTTGCTCGACCTCTTGCAGCTGCCGCTGGGACTCCTGAAGTTCTGCTCGTGCCGCAGTGGTCTCACGCTCTGCCTCCCGCATTTTCTCAGAGTACTCTCGGTTCATCGCCTGCGCCATTTTGCCTGGCAATGCCCACCAATGCCCATTAAATCGATCATTTATTTGCAGATCTCAAATTACTTCCTATCATATGCAAAACGTTTAAAAAACTTCACCACAGTGTATACCTATGTATCAAATAGGTAGAGGTTGTTTGAAACTCATGCCAGTTTATTTATCACCCATGAAATATAAAAGAGCATTCATTAATGACATTGTATGGGGTGAACATGTTTTGACAGGATGATGGATGAGCTACTCAATTTCATCTTAAACAAGGGTTCATTTATGCAATATGTATTTGCAACATTTTTTATTCCACTTTACATCTTTATTTGAAGTATGCAAGAGTGAGCTAACGATACTCAAACCAGAGTTAAGCAGTCCGTACCTGTTTTAACAAGTTCGCGGATCAGCTCTTCCTTCATACGGATGTTTATTGCAAGCTCGCGGTTCTTCTGCTGCGCCTGCATGAAGCGTATCTCCGAATCCTTCAGCCGCCTTTTGTTCACCATTTGGCTCTTTTGTAAAACGGCCTCCTCATCATCATTTCCAGCCACACTAACACCTGCTCAGCCCAGATAGAACGTTATCTTTCATTAATATAATTAAGGCTTTATAACTTTTTTTTTTATACTTTTCTTGGTATTACAAACTTTTATATAAAAAAAACTCTTTTGTATTAGTGGCAATTTTAAATTATGCATCACCTGATGAAGTGATAATTTCAGGGATCTCCCCACTTTGCTCTGCCATCTTAGACACAAAGCCTCTGCTTTGTTTGTTGATGCTCACGAATGAAGTTGGTTTACGGCTCCACGTCCGATTAACAGAGCGCCTAGAAACACAATGCATGGATTCAGAATTCAACAAATGCAAAATTGTACTATTTGATCAAGCACCTTCTTACTCTGTGCAACCACAAATAATATGGGTATATTCACATAATAAACAGCATAACCATATAAAACAGTCTGCCAACATGTATGCTTAAACTTGCAATCCAGTCCTATAGTACATTTACAATATTTTAATTCATTACTCACGTGTAAAAAAGGTAGGCGATTTGGGGAGACTACAAATAACCTGTTCAATTACTTGGACGAATTTACCTGACGTTGCTGTGTAGCTCAGGCTTATCCATCTCATCACCATCATCAGAGAAACTCTCCCGCAGCACCTCGTCCTGTTCCTCCAGCTGTTTTAGCAGAAGCTGACTGCGGGCATGGAATCTGGCCACCACACGCTCCAGAGAGTACGTCGGAGGGCTCGTGTGCACCTGCAACACCGGAATTTACTTAAGGGCACACACTTTCATGTCTGAGAGCTTACCAAGAATGTTATTAGCATGCACAATTATATATATACACACACTTGTGGACTGTAGCATACATGTGCAATATCGTATGTCAATAAAGGGTCAATATAGTGGCTTCAGTACATGGTTTAGTATAGTAGCATGGTTTTACCACCTGGAAACCAACAGATGTTCATATATTGGTAGATAATATGGAGTCCTTATATGTTTAATAATTAAAACAACTAAATTTGCATATCCAATTATAGAAGTTTGTACAGGAATATTTAATGCAAGATCATGTTTTCTAAACTGGCTTTCTGTGTTCGGATGTATGCATAATAAAATACTTTTTGCTGCAGTGCTGAATACAAAATCTGTCTGCCCAATCTCAGGACTACTTATATGAAGATATGCAAAGTGTAAAAACCATCCTAGCTGAATCTTGAGCATGCATTCTGTGCTAAAGAGAAACATCACATAGCCTTGGAAGCATTTTGGCTGTCAATTGAACATACCTCATCAATCGTAGCAGCAATGTCATCACTTTTTTTTACTGCCAACTACATCATTACAATCAAGCATTTCATATAAAACTATCATACATAACTGAACATTTGTGAATTCAAATTGCATTTAAAAAAAAAGTATTTTCCACACCTTTCGAGCCTTCTGTGTAAATAGGCTTTGGCTGGCTTGCTCAGCACTTAAGTGGATAGGTCGGACAGCCTTGAGAGGAACTGTGTGTGGGCGTCTAAAAAGCTCCGATAAGACAGGACTGACGGGGACAATATCTGGATTTATGCCAGCATGCTGTGATTTCAGCATATGCAACTTGTTCTCAAAATCTGCAATCACCATCTGTTGCTCAACCACCTTGTCACTCTGTGCAAACACAAATATGGGTGAATGTAATTTTTTTTTCAATCATAACCAATGCTTATATACAGCAGCCTGTGCATGTTTTTGCTTCAATATGCAATATTATACACAAATACACGAACAGTTTAAATGTTTTACTGTTGTAACAATGAGGTTGATTATTCCGGATTTCTTTTCAATTGTGGACTGTTAGCACTTCATTTTGAAATCAGTGTAAGCAGGACATAAAAAAAAAATGTAATAAAAATAAAAATTACAATTTAAACACTATCAGCATGGCCAAATATCCTAAGCAACTGAATGTCAACACAAACACACCTGTTGTTTGTAGCGCTCCATGGCGTCCTCCAGAGCAGCCAGGCACTCCTTGTTCTCTGCTTCAAGTGCCATTACCTTCTCATGCAGCTCTTGCAGCTCCTTTTCTTTTAGTCCAAATACATTCTCGTCTGCTGCCAGACCATCCTTAAAATGTTTGCAAATGTACAATAAAAAAAAACTCTGACCATCCTTAAAATTTTTAGCAAATCTACAATTTCAAAAAATAAATTCGAACCACCTTTTTTAATATTACATGCCAAATAAATGCAATTACAGTATATATACGTTTTCACGTTATGTATGTAAACAATTGCTATAATTGCCTTGTCACGCTACATGCATACTGTTGCAAATTATGAACAAAAATAATCCCTACCAGCTCCAACACAACGACAAAAATAGGAGACCGATGCATAAACCCAGAGCATACAAAAGGCATGTTTGCACGAGGTTATTTGCCAACCTGGCATTTCTTGAGTTCTCGTTTGAGCTGCAGGATAGTAACATGGTGTGGATCCTCGCCTGTGCTCTGCACCCCACTATCCTTTTCAGATGCAGTTGCAATGTCATCTCTATACTCTTCTGCAAGGTCAAGCCATTCCTTTGCACGTTGAGCCTGTCGTGAGTAGAGCAATGTAGACTGGTATTCTCATGGCATGCTATTGCAGACTTGTTTATTAAGGCACAGACAGTTTACATTTAAAAGTGTGAGGAATCCACTTTCGATATATCAAACAATGTTTCCGTAAAATTACTTTTCAAAATATACATACCTGGTTCCGTGTAATGTTGGAGGCTCTACGTAATTCCATGAGAAAGCGGTAAGCTTCATCTGTACAATTTCGGTAGTGGTTGCACTCCGTCTGTAAACTTCCCACCTTATTCATAAACAGAAAGCACTTAGGCAAGGATGGCATGGCTTCTAAAATGTAACGGTAGTTCCGTTATCTAAATTTATTGAGTCCACGCCTTTAATGAATGCGCATTCTTTTCGTTTTGTTAATCCAATATAAATTAATGAAGTGTAATTAGCATCTAATTGTGGGTAATTAACACAAAAAATGCGTGCAGGTGTTGCATGTATCAATGTGCTGTGATATTGTGACTGCTGATATATTTATTGGGAAAAATATTAAAACCTAAGATTAAGAATATTTTCATTTTAGAATCTTTAGACTGAAAATGCATCTACTGTATATAATTAGTTAAATCCCGTATCAATATACCACTTTTACAACCACCAGGTACAGTTAAAATATAGGGGGGGAATGTAAAAAAAGATATTTTTAAAGTAACCATTTTATTGTTATATTTTATTTTCAAAGATCTCACCTGATCCTCCAAGGATTTTATACGCAACCTGTCTTGAGCTTGGAAATCTTGTGATACATGACTGGCTCGTGTTGCTAAAGTAGATCGCTGATTGTGAAGGGCTTCCCGCAACGTCTTGATTTCCTGCTCCATTTCATCTATTCTGTCCCAGTCTGGGTTGTAGTTTACAACTGGTTTGTTACGGATGTTTTTGGCCCTGTTTGCATACTTCAACGAATTAATAGTCTCGTCAAAGTTTCCTGATGAGGGACTGATGCAGGCTATCATTAGTGTCTTTGCATTACCTCCAAGCGAGTCCTTTAGAATTCTAGTGATTTTGGCATCACGATAGGGAATGTGAGAGCTCTTTCGTTTTGGGTCCCCTAAGGCACTTATGACATTACCAAGGGCAAGAAGACCACTGTTGATCTGTATGGACTCCTTGAACCTCTCTCCTGTGTTGCCAGTTTTTGATACCCTTTCAGAACCAGCCAGGTCAACAAAGTGAAACTTTGATGATAGTGACTCGAAAGCATTCACTTCAGATTCATCGTGTAGGTTGTCTCCAGAGTTGGATGACCCATAGGGACGCCTCTGAGTAACAGTCAGGGTGAATATGGTGTGTGACCGACTTGAGTGCTCATTCATCTGGGTAGTGCCAGTATGCCGAGCAGCATTACCAGCCTCCAATAAACTTAACACCTCATCCTCCGTCTCCACCACACTCTCTTTTGTCCCAATAATAACTGTAAAAATGCAAGTATGCAGAAAGGAACCAAAGTCAAGGAATTAGTACGCTTAATATATACAGTATATACGTATTACAAATATAGTTGCTACATCATACAATATAAAAGTTTATAGATTGAATACATAATTGTAAAGCATAAAATCTGTAAGCGTTTTATAAACCGGAATTTTTCTTAAACAATAAATTCCCAGATTAAATAAGATCGTCATTAATAATAAGTTGTAGAGTTGACTTGCACAAAGGTCCAAATAACAATAATTGACAGTATCTACCTGTATTTCCTTTGTCATCCTCTCTGATGTGCATATCTTTACTCAACGTCTCAATATCCAAAAGGTCTCTCAGCTCCTCCTTGTAAACTTCAATGTAAGACACACCAACGGAAAAGTCCGTATTGTGGCTTTCCTTCATTGCAAAAAACAAATCTGCAATTGCTCGTGGGATGATTCCCCTCTCATCCTCAATACTCGAGGCTGAAAAACACATTAGGTATCAGGTGCAAATATTGTGCAATCTCATAAAAACATTACAGAATTATATACCAATCATAAGCAGTACATTTAAAACTGTTGTCCATATTTTACATGCCTTTGGGTTTGCACTAAGGAAATTACTATACATTTTACCCCACAATATAATGTAATTGCAAGATGAATTATTACTTTGCATCGTTAAATTAATCCGGGTTTTTTATTTCAGGAACATGGAAATTCTGTGTTTCCTCACCAATGTTTGCTCCTCCTATTGTAAACGTCTTTCCAGAGCCCGTCTGGCCATATGCAAAAACTGTCACATTGTAGCCATCAACAAATGATTTCACGAGTGGCTGTATACACGTCTTGTACACCTCTTCCTGTGCCACTTTTGACCCAAACACGTGGTCAAAAGTAAACGCTCGGTCTTTTCCCAGCAGAATTTGTTGGCTCCCTGGTACTACTCGTACACATGTCTGCTGGCTGTAAAGAATTTCATTGCGTAACAGTGGACGAATCCTCACTGCTACTCTCACCAGCGTGTCATCCATTCCAATGCTGGAAAATTCAGAAAACACATGCGGGAATGATAAAGTTTTTTTAAAAAAAGCACTTTCAAATATTCCACTGTAAGAATTACCGTATTAAGTCCAAGTACAATACTGCAATTACTTAAATGCTCAAGTCAAATATAAATTCACCATTTCCGTAACTTTTTGAAAGAGCGAATGTGTCACTCAGCAAGACAAATTTACCTTGTCGAATTCTGCAACATCACATCATTACCAATTATCATTTAGTTTCACAATTGTCTTCAAATAGCCACCGTTGAAGTCTTTGTGGGCAACAGTTGAAGAATGCGTTCACGAGCGACGTTACGACCATGTGTGATTAAACAAATCATGTCAATGTGCTGTGAAGGATCATTGGCCGAAACGTCGCCTATTACATAGTTATTCTTTTTCGTACGTGTTGCAAACGAACAGTGCTAGCATAATCAAGGTGTTTGGGTTAGATCGCGTACGTATGTGTCGTCACCCTCCACCACCCGACACATTCAGTGAGGTTTGTCACGTAAACAACACGCCAATGAATTATTATTGTCGCCCACCCAAAGGGTAAAAAACCAATTATCATATTTTGCTACTGGCAAATGAGGTTCCAATGGTGTAAATGCTTACCCCGAGCTCTAATACTCTGATGGTGCATTGTCCTCGAGTTGTGCGCCTTTTGGCGTCATCTGGTCCAACTCCATGTGAGACTAGGCTCTAAGGAAAGCTGTCTCGGGTGTGGACCAATCAACTTCACGGACAGTGCACATACATTATCAGAGTTGTGTTTTTTGTTTGCAAACATGACTCCTTGTAAAAACAAGGTGTCAGTTTTGTTGCCAGATAAAAGGGTAAAAAACAATTATCATATATAGCTAGCATATTTACAACGACAGAGTGGTACCGCGTTGTGCGATACAGTTATCATCGCAAGTGGAGGATGTTTTTATCGCCTCGATATGAACGTTGTACTCTGAATAGTTAACCGTAGTCGCGAAACACACGAAAGGCCCAGTAGGTGCCTCGCCCTGCGGCCTTGCTTTTAAACTTGCACATCTATTGTTACACACCGTGCCGCCGCCGCAGCCGCCGTATCGCTCGCCAAAAAAAAAGCAAGACGCAAAATCCGTACCCGCTGTTGCTCCTCTGCAGCCGAACGCACGCTAAAAAAACAACAAAAAAGTTGTGTATTTAAATAAAATCGTAATTTAATCGCGACCCAACATCGTTCTTTCAAAGTCGGCGTTGGTTTACGGGACGCGGCGCGGGCGTTGGTGGGGGGACAAGTGCGTCGCTTAGCAACGGCTACCCGGCATGCAGCGCGACGGGAGCAGGCGGGGAGCAGCTGCACCCAGACCTGTGTAGCTGCACCCAGACCGGTGTAGCTGCACTAACACCGGTGTAGCTGCACAAACACCGGTGTAGCTGCACCCAGACCTGTGTAGCTGCACTAACACCGGTGTAGCTGCACCCAGACCGGTGTAGCTGCACCCAGACCGGTGTAGCTGCACTAACACCGGTGTAGCTGCACTCAGACCGGTGTAGCTGCACCCAGACCGGTGTAGCTGCACTAACACCGGTGTAGCTGCACCCAGACCTGTGTAGCTGCACTAACACCGGTGTAGCTGCACCCAGACCGGTGTAGCTGCACCCAGACCGGTGTAGCTGCACCCAGACCGGTGTAGCTGCACTAACACCGGTGTAGCTGCACTCAGACCGGTGTAGCTGCACCCAGACCGGTGTAGCTGCACTAACACCGGTGTAGCTGCACAAACACCGGTGTAGCTGCACCCAGACCTGTGTAGCTGCACTAACACCGGTGTAGCTGCACCCAGACCGGTGTAGCTGCACCCAGACCGGTGTAGCTGCACTAACACCGGTGTAGCTGCACTCAGACCGGTGTAGCTGCACCCAGACCGGTGTAGCTGCACTAACACCGGTGTAGCTGCACCCAGACCTGTGTAGCTGCACTAACACCGGTGTAGCTGCACCCAGACCGGTGTAGCTGCACCCAGACCGGTGTAGCTGCACCCAGACCGGTGTAGCTGCACTAACACCGGTGTAGCTGCACTCAGACCGGTGTAGCTGCACTATAACCGGTGTAGCTGCATTCAGACCGGTGTAGCTGCACTATAACCGGTGTAGCTGCACTAACACCGGTGTAGCTGCACTAACACCGGTGTAGCTGCACTAACACCGGTGTAGCTGCACCCAGACCGGTGTAGCTGCACTAACACCGGTGTAGCTGCACTAAAACCGGTGTAGCTGCACTCAGACCGGTGTAGCTGCACCCAGACCGGTGTAGCTGCACACAGACCGGTGTAGCTGCACACAGACCGGTGTAGCTGCACTAACATCGGTGTAGCTGCACACAGACCGGTGTAGTTGCACTAAAACCGGTGTAGCTGCACCCAGACCGGTGTAGCTGCACCAGACCGGTGTAGCTGCACCCAGACCGGTGTAGCTTCACTAAAACCGGTGTAGCTGCACCCAGACCAGTGTAGCTGCACTAGAACCGGTGTAGCTGCACTCAGACCGGTGTAGCTGCACACAGACCTGTGTAGCTGCACTCAGACCGGTGTAGCTGCACACAGACCGGTGTAGCTGCACCCAGACCGGTGTAGCTGCACACAGACCGGTGTAGTTGCACTAAAACCGGTGTAGCTGCACACAGACCGGTGTAGTTGCACTAAAACCGGTGTAGCTGCACCCAGACCAGTGTATCTGCACTAGAACCGGTGTAGCTGCACTCAGACCGGTGTAGCTGCACACAGACCTGTGTAGCTGCACTAAAACCTGTGTAGCTGCACTCAGACCGGTGTAGCTGCACCCAGACCGGTGTAGCGGCACAAAGACCGGTGTAGCTGCACTCAGACTGGTGTAGCTGCACTGTGTCACGGCATACCGGTGTAGCTGCACTCAGACCTGTGTAGCTGCACTGTGTCACGGCATACCGGTGTAGCTGCACTCAGACCGGTGTAGCTGCACTGTGTCACGGCATACCGGTGTAGCTGCACTCAGACCGGTGTAGCTGCACCCAGACCGGTGTAGCTGCACTAAAACCGGTGTAGCTGCACCCAGACCGGTGTAGCAGCACTAGAACCGGTGTAGCTGCACTCAGACCGGTGTAGCTGCACACAGACCTGTGTAGCTGCACTCAGACCGGTGTAGCTGCACTAGAACCGGTGTAGCTGCACAGAGACCGGTGGAGCTGTCCAGTGTACCCACAGCAATGAAGCAAATATAAATTAGCGCAAAAAAGACAACTGCATCGCAAGAGAAATAGAAAATATTTCATGAAGCAATGCACTTGTTGTGGACTGCCAGAGCAATAATATTTACAACTGCAGTTGCAGCACGGTGTACTGATATTTACTCTTAGTGACAGGATAAAACGTTTTTTAAAATTATCATTATAACCTTTAGCTTTATGTATTAGCATGCTTTGTGTTAGTGAAACGGATTTGTATCCCGTACGTGAAGCATTGAGCTAACACCTATCCAATCATTGCCACATCTTTGTTAAACAAATTGTCTTTATCTTACTGGGCACCTTATTAATTAAGCCGTGTAAGCATATGAAATCGGCCTCGCTTGTGCCAAAGAAACTTGTGACACGCTGTGTAACAAACACACCATAGTGGCGAGATGTTAACTCCCTCGCGAGGTATGCAGGAGGTCTTGGGTTCGATCCCGACCCTGAAACCTGTATATTTACACGTTCTCCCCGTGGTCGCGTGGATTTTTCTCTAGGTCCTCCAATTTTTCCTTCACATTTATAATCAACATGCATTTAGAGTATTTAACTGCTATACATTTCCATATAAGCCACTTTGTTGAGCTATCATTTGTGGCCAGGTCGCTTATGACTAAAATATATATAGCTTCGTGGGTCTTACCTGGTAAAATAAAAAATAGTTGAGTTTCTAGTTTTATACGTGGTAGCCACTGTGGTACAATATAAACGTAGCGTGGGAAGGAGGTGAAAATAAATGTTTAAAGCAATGAATAAAACAACACAATAGATACAAAATATATGTACCGTACTAATTATAACTTACCAATACCGTGAGTTAATTGTTAGTGGTTTAATGATTTACATTCCAAATGGAACCCAACCACCTTAATCGGAAATAGAAAAGGTACATAATAGGTTAAGGTTTTGGGAAATGACACGGACTGGCTCGCATGCATACTATTGCAGCATTTAAACATCGTTCATTTAACAATGATTAAACAAATACAACCAATAATGGAAAGGTCATACGTCTGACAAAATACAAAAGCACGTGGGATAGCCATTTATATAAATAGTTTTAATAAATGTACACTATAAGTAATACATTTGACCAAGGGTTCATTTGTGAGTTATGTCATATCACAAACATGGAATCGCAAATGCGATGTACATAAAGTTCCACTGTAGGTTTTAAATAATGCCACGTTTCTGCTCGCAATTTGTGATGAGACCGATAGGATACTGGTGGGCACAAAACGGAACACCGAAGCCATATTTGCCACGTGTGCACACATTTGGCGACCTTCGGGAGGCAATGAGAGAGAATAGGACGATGTTTTCACAAATGAGGGAAGAGAAGCATTGACAGGTACAATTCTCCACGTTTTAACACAAAAAAAGTTACTTCACATCTAACCAGAAAAAAAAATACTTGGCACACAAAACATGCCGTGAGTCATGCATGCACAGACAGACAACCAAATATATTTCTCCAGCAGCGTTTGTAAATGCTTGGCTATAGAAGCAATAGTAAATAGACTTTAATGTATTGAGAAATAATAGGAACTGTAGGCAGCAATGTTTGGTACATGATGGGTTTTGAAGTTTCTTGCTGATTTTCCAAGGAAATGAAAAACAAATTGATATCGGTTTTTTTGTGTGCTAGAAATATATTATCAGACCAATCCCCTTAAAAGTGTTCCATTTATGAAGCATTAATATGGAAATGCATTGCAATTTTATTTATATATCTGAATTTTGATCACTTGAACAAATTACAACACAGCACTACTAATGTATTGCATTGAAGGTTATTGTTAAATCCCATTAACACCTACGTGGGTGCATTGGACATAACAGTTTCATTAAGTGAGCAATTTGTTCCGTACAGCACTGCCGCTATCACAACGTATGTGGGAAAATAAACTGCTGCAGACAAATCAATCCAATGCCACGCTAAACTACCGAATGACCTGGCCAAATGTATTTGTTTTTGTAAAACATTACAATTGTTTTTGTGCTGGGTGTGTGCAGCGGCACAAATAAATCTGCATATGCTGTATTTCATACATACACTCTTATTACTCATCAGAACATGCACTATAATGGTAATAACGCTGAGACTGACTTGTTATTTTGATGCTTCTTTAGAAACACCATCACAGCCATGGTAAATCTGATGTTGGATCAAGGCTTCTCCAGGCCATCACTATCTCCCAAGATCCTGTGATGTTAAGTCGACCTAGTACTTGCACACAAGCTGATTTAATCGCTCCATTCTCCTCTGCCGACATCTTCTTGGCTGCGTTTTATTCCTTGGCTCCCACTCCACTCTGTCATTATTCTTCACCACAATCATCTGTTCTAGCAGCGTGGCCTGTCCAAGCCCACATACTTACATTAACCCGTGTAGGTTCTCTAATCCATGTGTTCATCTGGATGTCTCGCAGCATAATGTCAAGTATGCATCTCTCCATGCTTCTCTGCGGACCTTTCTGATCGTGAAATGTTTCTTCACTTACCGACAGACATAAACATGTTTCGTCTTACCAGTCTGTGATTCCTTCCTGTGTTGACGATTTGGGGTTTATCCTTAATCCACCGTTTGGGCTTCTTCACGTCTATTTTATCGTTTCCTTCTTGTTAAAAAAAAAGACAGGTCTGTCGTTATTTTTACGTATTTTCCAGCTGCAAATTTTAGTAGATGCTGACCACTCATCCCTCACTCCAAAACCCAAATTTACCAATCATCTTTTCGTCTCTGTGTCTTTTACATACGTTTGCATTAAGGCAGTCATCCATTATGATGTTGTAAATGTGCTGTACCATAACTTAGTAGTTTGGTAATTTATGTGTATAGTTGTTCTACTTCTTCATCAGCATGACTTGTTGGAGCATATACTTGAATTATATCATATTTTACTTGTAGTGTTTCGAGAGTCTTAGACTAAGGCCTGAGGCTAAGGCTTCAAGGCTCTCAAAACACTGAACAGAATATTGTGCTGTAAAATTTCAATCTGCACACAAAATAATAAATTTCAGAGCTAATAGTTGTTATTTGGCATAGATTGGTCTCTACCCCTATCACCTCAACCTAACACAACTACACACACACTCATAATCAACGTTTTTGGGTTTAGATCGCGTTATTTATAAATGTGTCGTAACCCTCCACCACCCGACACGGCCAATCAGTAAAAAAGTGTCACGTTGACAAAAGACAAATAGTTCACTGCTTTAGCCCACCGGTGTGTTGAAGCCACAACATTTACAATTTGAGTACGACGTTTCGCTGGTAATTGCATCCAGCATCATCGGGTGGTGGAGGGTTACGACACATTTATAAATAACGCGATCTAAACCCAAAAACGTTTATTATGAATAACATTGGTCGCGAAAACCTACGTGTTACACACACACTGCACAGTGATTAGTCAGTTTATTGGGTGCCGATCAGCGGTAGAGTGAGCGATTGGGGGTTGACTCAGAATCAAAATCTTTATTTCGACTGGAGGAACCCGATGAGGTATTAAGTTATTTTTCAGCTCATGATCTCTCTGGAGTCTATGAAAATGGGTAAAACTTTGTGGGGGAAATCAACAGTGGTATTCCTCTGGAGTCACCCCCATCATAGCAATGCATAATATCCACCACTAAACTCAGGGCTGTAAACAGGAGATCAGTTACTGCCTCAATACTCACGTGAGCAAAACATCACTCACTACCGTCTTCGTTTCTCGAGAGTAGGGCACATGTGTAAATGCTGACTCGGACTGTGTTCGTGAATTCTTATCCATACACATGAATTCACTTAAAACATGTGTGATACGAACGTTAAGACCTACATCAGTATTTTCAACAAGGGTAAACTGACTTTTACTCCTGATCCACCTATGTTTGTTTTGCCTAAAAACAGCAGGACTTTGTAAAGAAAGATACGCTGTACAAATACCAACGGAGAAACACTCCACCTGCACAGAAGTTGGTGGATATATAAATGGAAGCAGCATAATCCACTGGTTACATTTGGTGTACGTTGAAGAACATAAAAACATGATGTTGATCGTAGTGTTATTTTCATTATTGGCGTATTCATATGGTACTTTAAAAACATCAACATTTTTGTACTTGTATTTTTTTGTCACTAAACTAAATATACATGTAAAGTGGTAAATACTGCACATAACGTATTATATTTGCGCAGATCAATACTGCTACAGGTGGAGAGGTGGTAGAGATGTTCGTGCACTGTGCCATCAATCTAGTGACCTGAGTTTGATTTCCGCCATGGCTAACATCGGTGGCGAGTGATATATAAACTAGTCCTGGGCTGCCCATTCACCAACCTGTATGGTGAAGTATGGTCCAACAACCCACACGTTTAGGGGTGGCCTTATCCAGCAGTGAATAGGCAAGGGCTGTAATTATTATAATCAGGTCACCCCTGAAAAAGAGACTTCATTTCTGTCTCAGTGGGTTCTCACCTAGCAGAAGCCATAAATCATTAATGTCCTAATTGACGTTACAAACATAGCTCTGTCAGAACAATGAGGAAAACAAAACTCATACATATAGTGTCCATATTGATATTGGATCGTGTCCAAAATATCTACAAAATCAGATTGTGCATATGGCACATCGTTTTGACGGTTGCTCGGTGTGAATTTGTTCCAGAACTTGCAGTATAAAAATATATCCAGTAAAATGGATTCATGTTGTGTTGCTGCTGCTGTTGCTGATTCCTCTATGGGTGCAGGCCAGAAGTGTGGGAGCCCATCCATCCAGCCTGTTATCTCAGGCCTCTCCAGGGTCATCAATGGAGAGGAGGCTGTACCTGGGTCCTGGCCCTGGCAAGTCTCCTTGCAGGTCTGCTCCTCCATTCACAAGGAGCTCATTGGTTACCAAATGTTAATTTAAACTCTTTAAAATAGCACGCGCCATATTACACAACACTGGATAAATGGTCCAACTTATACAATCCATTCAAACTCGTATTTATGTCACAGTGGAAAGTTGCGATTGACTATGACTACCACAACAATGTGTATAGAATTATATAGTTTTGACTTAAAACTTTCGTGACTGCAGGAATTCATATTCTATGGTTCTTTCGATAAAGTCATGTAGATAGAAAAAATAATATTTGATATTATTTTTCTATCTACGTGACCTTACCGAAAGAACCAAAGAATAATTATATAGTTGTACTGTAGATACTGCAACTCCCTATTGGGATATACCATATTTCATTGTAAAGTTGATTTATTACGTTTAACCATATCCTTCATGGATAATCAACTTCATATATGCATATTTTCCATCTTCATCTTTGTATAAATAACCAATTTTCATTCATCATTTTTACACTGAAGATATAACGGTGTGTGCTGTATTTTTAATTTTGTCAATTTTCTACTCCCAGTATGAGGACGGATTCCATTTCTGTGGAGGCTCCATCATTGATCCTTACTGGGTCATCACGGCCGCGCACTGCGACTTCAAGTAAATGTGGCAGTTCGACAAAAATGTTTGAAAGGCCGCAAAAAAAAGCACGGATGTTTGTGACACGAACATTCAACATCATGAAAAAATTAACCCGTAAAAACAAAGTTTTTCACTATAAATCCTTTATATGCGTGGCGGCTAGAGTCCTCTCGTCCTCTGGCTTGAGATGGCTGCCACCTATGGGTCAGATGATTGTCTGCCAGCATTAAGCAATTGGTAATTAAATATTATTAAAAATTTCCCTAAACAGTGTAAAATTTTGGATTTTTTTTATGAAAATAAATTGTCACGCACAACGAGTCTGTGTGGAAAATATCAGCTCGATTGGATCACGGGAAGTGGGTTAAAAAACGACCGAAAGATTTGCACGGTCGTAAGCAAGCAAGCACGCAAGCAAGCAAGCGAACTTAATATAAAAGATTTAAAAAATTAACCCGTAAAAACAAAGTTTTTCACTATAAATCCTTTATATGCGTGGCGGCTAGAGTCCTCTCGTCCTCTGGCTTGAGATGGCTGCCACCTATGGGTCAGATGATTGCTTGCCACCATTAAGCAATTGGTAATTAAATATAAAAAAATTTCCCTAAAAAGTGTAAAGTTATGGAAAAAAATTTTCACGAAAATTGTCACGCACAACGAGTCTGTGTGGAAAATGTCAGCTCGATTGGATCACGGGAAGTGGGTTAAAAAACGACCGAAAGATTTGCACGGTCGTAAGCAAGCAAGCACGCAAGCAAGCAAGCGAACTTAAAATAAAGGATTTAAAAATGGAAAAGAACAAACAGTCTCACTGAGTTTATTTTTGTGCAATGTCTCTTTCCAGACCAGCCAATCATCGCGTAATTGTTGGCGAGCACGACAAGAGCAGCAATGTGGAAAACATCCAAATTCTCAACGTGGAGAAGGTAAGTGATAGAACATTCTGTACAACTCTCATCCATTTGAGCACCAATTTTTTTTGACAATGTTTCCAGAAGGTAGTGCTTTTTTTGTGAAAGCTTTATAATAAAATGAATTATTCTACATTAGAGTATTTGGAAATGCGATAAACGCTGTATTACCATTATTTGAATCACCACTTCATTTACACTCTACGCGTCATGTGACAACCAGCAACAGCAATGCGTTGCTTTATCTTTTTTTGCGGCATGTCATACAAAATGGACATTCTCATTACAACACTTCCAATGTTGAGCACTCACCAGCTTAATTTGTATTTGTGAAAAAAAACACACATATTTGAATCACACACAGAGAGGCGTTGAAATCCAATAGCATACATTAATTAAAACACACATGCTTCAATGTGGATCCTCCGTTGATGCAGGCGATCACTCATCCCTTGTACGACCCAAACACCATAAACAACGACATCCTGCTTCTCAAGCTGAAGGAGCCAGCCTTCTTCGGAGATACAGTGTCGCCTATCTGCCTGCCCCGAGCTACAGACGTGTTCTCCCCTGGGACCAACGCTGCCGTGACTGGCTGGGGTGTCACCCGGTGGAACGGTACGCGCTGTCGGTCACCCCGCTGCTCACGAACGAGTGTTCTCACTCGCGAGGAGTGCTTGCAGCTGGCTACGAGTTAGTGTCGTCAGTGAAGCAAGCGTACGCGCGCAACACATCGTGGGAGGCTGGCTGCGTGGAAGCTAACTACCGCGTTGCAACGAAATTGGCGGTGTCGCATCGGAAGCCACGTGAATGCATGTCTCTCATACTTCCCCGCTGCGAGCACAAATTTTAGACATCTGGCCGTGTCGGTTGTGTTGCGTACTGCACAGTGGCGGCACCACGCACGTGTGTTTTAATTTGCTTAATTAATATGCATGGGTAATAGCAATTACAGAACCTCACCGTGATGGCAATCTTTTTTTATATGATATAGAAATTATTGCAGATAAATGCTTAGCAGGTGAGTTTAATTTAATGCAAAACCATCTCCGAGCCTGTATAACCCAGCTACACTAAAACAATACCACTGCTACAAATCAATTGCTGCATGCATAGTCAATTAACAATTTTAATGTTTTCGCTCATCGTAACGTGGCATGCTGCCTGTTTAATTATTGTTTTAATGCATCACTGTGGGCGCAGCTGAAATATATACTAATGAAAGCATCGTAAATGTTGGTTACTTTTGTAACGTGTTTAAATTTATGGAATGGGAACCGAAGAACAATTTTAGCGTGGACTTCCTGCACCTTACAAGCAGTGGCAGCGCGAAGCAAAAACAAGCCAAGTAAATGGATAGGGCCCCAAGGGGTTCACGGGGTCGTGGATTCATGAAAAAATTGGCACGCATCAAATATCCGCTCAAAAAATCATTGTAGACATAACAAGCTAATTGATATTTTAAAAAAACTAGGAGGTAAATATGCAGTGAAATAAGATAAATAAACTAACATGAGAGATGTGTTTCTCTTCTTGTATCTCACTTCATCTCTATTTGTATATATCTATTTGTGTCTATATTACTCTTGTCTCGCTACATATCTCTCCTTTGTATTCTTTCTGTCATATCGCAATAAATTATCTCAATTTAAAGGAGGGGGGTGGAGGCAGTGGGAGGTGGTGGGGGGGAATAATTTCTGTTTTGGACCCCCAATGGACTAACATGACCACTACTTAAAAATATAAACACTTGAGCTTAAAAGATGCCGTTCAAACATGCACATTCAGCCAATTGTCCGTATGATAAATGCATGCAATGTATACACCCACAGCTAATTATGGTTCCAGCACGCTGCAGCAGACAGTGCTGCCCCTAATCTCAACTGAAGACTGCAAGAAATGGTGGGGCTCCTACATCATGGATCCCATGATCTGCGCTGGAGCAAATGGTCACTCCACTTGTATGGTGAGCTATACACTACTGACTTATCATAAAAGTCCATTCATATCAATACATTACTATAATTTCAAAGCCATGTTTTGTGTCCTTGTATATGCAGGAATTGCATTAAAATGTCCAAGATACATTCACCGTCCATAGACAGACGTTATATTCGTATGTCATACGTAAGTTTTGTGTGGTATTTAAATAATATTCACCCCGTCACTCAAAAGTGAATGAAATACGGGTTGTAACGTTCCAACACATAGCAGACATTAAACGTATTGCAAGTTACATTTTAAATTGTCATTCACATTGTATATATAAGTAAATACAGATACTCATAGCAGCAGTGTTATAAATATACAAAGTGACGCTATAGTGCAAAAAGACAGAAAATATCGTAATGCCATTTATCTAGGAGAGCCTCTTTCATTCTCAAGCTCCTCTTTCAGGAGGGTCCTGCTTTGCCATGTTCGTCCAATTGTTTTAAAGGACTGTTTAATGCCCAAGGCTCAGATAACAAGACTAAGGCTTCTTTAGTGTTCCTAAAGTTAAGCGTTTCTACCAGAGGCTCAAATAGCCAGACTAAGAAACCTTTAGGATTATTACTGTTCAATGTTAATAGCAGAGGGCTCACATGAGACAGTTTCAAGAGTGGCATAGCCATAGTATTTTAAGTATAAATCGACTCATTCTTCTTCTTGGTTCTTTCGGTAAAGTCACGTCGAAGGGAAATAATAAAATAAAAATTTCCCTTCTACGTGACTTTACCGAAAGAACCAAGAAGATGAATCCCTGCAGTCACGAAAGCTTTAAATCGACTCATTCTGTTAAATGATCGGGCCGTTGTACTGAATAGGTGGCGTCATGTGGGTGGGGTAAGGAGGAGGTTGTATGCAGTTTTAGTTTAAATATTCATGAGCAGGTATAATTTAAAATCGTTTTTCTTTTCCCCACCGGCCCCAAATGACGAGCCGTGCTGAATGCTGTTGGGTATTCCCCATAATTGCGGTGTGGCAGGGCGACTCTGGGAGGGCCCATAATTGCGTATGTTCACATACTCTTAGGTTTTTTCGGTAAAGTCACGTAGGTAAAAAATTTAAATTAATAAAAAAAAACTAATTTTACTTTTATTAATTAAAATGTTTTACCTACGCCGAGACCATGGCAATTTAAATTAATAAAAGTAAAAAAACTAATTTTACTTTTATCTACGTGACTTTACCGAAAAAACCTAAGAGTATGAATCCTTGCAGTCACGAAAGCTTCAAATCTAGAATTATGTTCACATAATTGTGGTGTGGCAGGGCGACTCTGGAGGGCCTCTGACAGTGCAGAAGGAGGGTATGTGGGTGCTGGCCGGACTCACCTCGTGGGGAAACAGTCGCTGCGACACCTCGGTGCCCGTGGTTTACACTCGGGTCACCACGTTTGTTGACTGGATCGCCGAGACCATGGCCAACAACTGATTCCTCGTAAAAATGTTCGCAAGGATTTAAATAAATTCAATTTCCTGCAAGACGTGATTTCTCTATGTGATGCAATGTGGAATGGTTATACATCTTTAGATGTTTGGTTAAATTGAATGACTCTTTTGTTGTCATTATGGAAGACTGAAATATACTGTATCACCTATTTAGACATGCATACAGTGTGGCATATGATAAACATGTATTTTACAAAATCTGATCAATGGTAGTAAAACATCTCCTCCAAGCCAAATTTTTCCTCTATATTTCCCATTATTTTGTCCCCAGTGATCTTCATGAACCACGGGTTGTAATAGGAAGGAGTTATTTTAAATGTATAAATGCATACTTCTGGAAATATGGACATATTGAACAAAAACTGAAACAGGCACAAAGCATGGGAATATGTGGAGCCATATTGAGACAGTAGAGGAATAAATGGATTAGAGAATATACATATGTGAATAAATCATCCGCTTAAGTGGGTTTGGGTAGGATACATAACTGAAGATGATGGCATATGGTCATGAATAATAACCAAGTGCCAAAAAAGGAATACGTCTGCTAGATGTAGTGGTAAAATCACCTTGTTGGCAGCTCCTAGGTGGATTGTTAGGTCGCGGGACCGCGAGATGGTGACGGCTTGGGGAGACATCCAGTCATGGATTGGCCATGGCTGATGATTACTCAGTGTAGTAAAGTGTATTCACATTAAAGATATCGTTCTATTATACAACTCTCGTATATTTCACAGGAATTACTAACATTTAAAACGTAGGAGAGATTTTTTGGCCTATTTTTTTTTACTTTACGTCATAAATGTAGGCACAAGAAAAACACCCATAAAACCAACACTCATTTAGCTCTTCTGCGTGTCTTGTTCAAGTGCCATTTCTCTTAAGACATTACAAATGGCGAGTTGGTTCTCTGGACAGATGGTCCCCACGTATTTGGTGATTCGTGTATTTTAGCACACGGGATGTTATATTTAGCGCCTGAAATGTACATCAGATTCCACCGCCCACCAAAGCCATTCCTCACGATAGCAAATTACAATCAGAATTCTTTGTATTTATCCCGGATACATCTGATAAGCTTTGAAGCTTTTTTCACAGATGTCCAGTCGGAGCAGGTCATAACGTTACAAGACCAATGGGAAACGTGTGATAAACAATCATAAGACTTGGACATGCCGAATATATATTTTAAATTGAATAAACAGTCACTTGTACAATTAGGTATATGACTCGTTCACTGTAACTTCATGAACACAGTTCCAGTAACTAAAATAGTACTAACGTATGAAAATGTATACTTAGAATTATGCACAGTTGGCAACGTACGCTGCCGAAGAAATTCGACATACATACATTTAATTTGTATTGCTTCATGACAATCGAAAAAAACTAAAATTGAAGAGCTACTACAACTGTGTTTAAACAATTACATTTCTTCACCTTTCCAATAAACATTCCGCTTTGCACTACAACCAGTAATGAAAACATTTGCCGACTCGTTTTTAAATAAAGTCGAGGACCCTGCATTAAACATGTTGTATAGTTAAGCGTCTTAATTGGACGAAATGTGAAAATCAGACAAGTGAAATTGTATAAATACACAGCCACATGCTGTGCAACCTTTAGTTACATTCTGGCGTTTGTTCCCTTAATTAAATCATGACAGCTCCCCGTTATTTACAACAATAAAGGTACAATTTGCAGTACTGTATTACTAATCTATTTCGAAAGTTATTAAATGAATACGTTTACAAAGCTTTTTTAATTTAAACCAATGTCCTTTAATTTTTTCCTGAAGTTGCTTATACGAGATTGCAAAAGTACAGTGTTAGTTATGTTAACTGCAAAAAACATGTGCCTCATAATTGAGCACGAAGAAATATAACACAATAATTGTACATTCAGCAAATACGACTAAGTAAACATTTATTGTCCACAACTAATTTTTGTATGCCATAATTTCGCCTATGCCGCAACTACTGATCGTTATCATTAAAGGGAAAATTAGAAAAACAATTCCGAATGAAAATATCACCTCCATGGTGGTAATGTGTCAGGTTAACCTTCGAGCCAGTGCCACTGAAAACATGGGTCTTGAAGCAATGCTTTCAGCCATGCTGGCACAGTGTCCCTCAGTAGTATATGCAACGGATGTGGTGGATGGGGATGTGTGCCATCTCGTCGCGGTGGGCACGTGCATAATCCCACAGGTAATAGTCTAGCAGGACGGCGTTAATATCTTGAGCTTTTACAACACCGCGCTCGGCCAGCAAACGAGCCAACTCCTCTTGGATGAGCTCCACGCACCAGATGGAGCATCCCCGGATCTCGACTTCCTGCTCCTCGCCAGACTCAAACATCACACCTGCGGAATATGAATGGCGGGCAGGCTAACGGGGGAAGGCGTCCATAATGCTGCAGCCCAAGACTTTTGCCGCTCTGATGAAATGTTTTTTACACGTTTCATGTCCACTCTTTGAAGTCAAATACTTTCCGGCAAGAAAGGTAACCATGTCGGGTTTTAAAAGTCAGCTCAACAAAGGTGCATTTCATCCGTAGATCCCAATGCGGCATGTATGGAAAGCAGGAAATAAAACAGAACCAGGGTAAACGGCCAAAACTACAGGGTAAATTTAAGAGGTATTTTCAAGAGACTTAAATAGCTCTAGCGAATCTCTGATTGATTTATTACCAAAGCATCCCATAGTCTGGGAGCTACACTGGCAGAAGCCCAATCATCCCGGGAACAGAGCCTTGACTTCGCAGTACTTAGAATGATGCGATCAGAAGATCTCACGGACATTGTTAAGAGAATACAAAATGATTATTTCCTGCAAATATTTTGGGGCAAACCCATTGAGAGCCTTGCAAATCAGCAGCAGCATTTTATAATTCACGAAATACTTGACTGGTAGCCAAATACAAATACAATAGAGCAGGTGAGATGTGCTCACGAAACGGTTTGCATGTCAGGACTCTAGCAGTTGCATTCTTAACAAGCTGGCGTCTTCTTCTTGGTTCTTTCGGTAAAGTCACATAGAAAGGAAGTAATAAAAAAATAAAAATAAAACATAATAAAATAATTCTCACGACGTTGCGACTCTAAGACCTGGTTTTGACCTGAGGACGGCTGCTTGCGTTGTGGCAGAAACGTCGTGAGAATTATTTTATTATGTTTTATTTTTATTATTTTATTACTTCCTTTCTACGTGACTTTACCGAAAGAACCAAGAAGATGAATCCCTGCAGTCACGAAAGCTTTAAATCGAAAGCTGGAGTCTGCCCAGCACCTTAATCGGAATCCCTAACAGCAATGCCTTGCAGTAACCAAGTCAGGGGAACACAAAAGCACGGACCAGAATTTCTCGGTAATTAGGTGACAGGAATTGACGCAGCCAGGCAATATTTCTAAGTGGAAGAACGAGATTCTAACCACCCTGGATACATGTGCCTCAAGGGACAGGGACTGGTCATTTTGAACACCGAGATTTTTGACCTCCTGTGATGGGCAGACATCGTGACCATCTATTGACAAATGTGGTTAACCAATTTTAGACAACTGCAGATGGGAGCCAATGAAAATGGCCTCGGTTTTGTCAGTATTGAGAAAAATAAAATGTTTATGCAACCAAGATTTCACTAATACTAATGACATAGACAGTGCAGAAGCAGCCGTCAGAGCCTAACCGGATGTAAATTTGCGTTTCATCAGCATAGCAGTCATAAGATAAGCCCAAATATTGCAGCAGTGCCCAAAGGAGCCATATAAGCATTAACAAGTGGGGGAACAAGTACATATCCTTGCTGGACACAGTATTGAACCAGTCTGATTAGAGATTTAAAGCCATCCATTGTGACAATGCACGAGTTTCTCTAAATAACAGCGTGACCATTCTTCTTTGGTTTTTTCGGTAAAGTCACGTATAAAAATAAAATAATAAATTAAATAATAGCATACGACGTTTCGATTGCAACACAAGCAATCATCATCAGGTATAATGAAATAGCGACATAGAATATAACCAGAAAACTATAGACAGACATATAAGCAGACAGATATAACCAAGATACATAGAGAGAGCAACCCAGGTACAGAGAGAGGTGATCGTCTCTCTGTACCTGGGTTGCTCTCTCTATGTATCTTGGTGATATCTGTCTGCTTATATGTCTGTCTATAGTTTTCTGGTTATATTCTATGTCGCTATTTCATTATACCTGATGATGATTGCTTGTGTTGCAATCGAAACGTCGTATGCTATTATTTAATTTATTATTTTATTTTTATACGTGACTTTACCGAAAAAACCAAAGAATAATTCCTGCAGTCACGAAAGCTCTGAAATTAACAGCGTGACCACTGCAAGGTAGGACCAGAAATTCCCATCGAGTATTCTAATTGCTCAGGAAGGACCCCATTAGCAATGGGGTCAAACGCGACACTAAGATCAAGCAAGACGAGAAGAGTGGCTTGGCCCCGTAGTCGCTAACAGCAACGACTCGTTGATCGCCCTCTCAAGAACTGCCTCGGTGCTGTGCATGGCCTGGAATCCCGATTGAAATGAGTCAGACTTGTTATTGAGATGCGAGGCGCTGGTGGAAACGAGAGGCCACAGCACATTCCGAGAACTTGGATAAGGATGGAGATTAGACGCGATTTGTCGAAAGTCAGGGTGACTGCAGCGGTCTTAATAAATGGTGAGAACTTTACCAGCCTCAAGAGGCTTGTTGCAGATGCCAGGGACAAAGGGCCCCAATGCAGAAACATTCTCCTGTAATCGTCTACAGGGAAAGGGATCCAATGAGCAACATGTAGGTTGGGAATCCACGATAAAAGAGGCGAGTCCTGCAGTTGCAGTAACAACAAAGTGCCCCCGAACCGGGAGAGGAGCAGATCAAATGGAAGGGGAATCGGAGAGACAGATATTAATTGGGAACGGATAGTGGAAATGTAACCAAAAAATATACTGAATAGTGGTGCAGTGATCAGCAGAAGAGGAAGAATTTTAACTTGTATCCTTAATCACAAGAATGATGGTAGATTATAAGGTGTGGGGGATTACGCTTGCTTATCGTAATGCAACCATCAATATAGGGTGATTTAACTCGTGAGATGTTCTTGGAATGGGCATGATGCTGTTCTTTAAAAACCTGGTGATGAATGGGAAAACCAGACTTTCTCCATGCATGTTCAATTCCGCGGCCAGTGAATTTCGGTGCCCTCAGATCAGTAGTGTACCATGGGGAGGGGTGAAAGGTCTTATTTTGTCATATTTTAATTGGTTCCTTATCCCTTTTAAAAAAATTATTATAAAGATGATTAAAAGAATGGTATTAAACACCAGTTACCATATCCTACTCTACGAAATTGAGCCTCCACTCTATCTGGTAAGTATTTAAATAAATAAATGGCATAAACATATTAGCTCCATTTCATGCAACATCTTGATATTGATCCTTCCTCACTGGAAGCTTACACTTGCCAACAGCAAGGATAAACAAAGAGTGGAAACGTCAGTGTGTGCATATTTTCTTGCTTTGAATTATATTTAAAACATAGGGACATGCTCAACTAAAACTCACTTTTCCACTTACTGTACGCAATCAGAATGAAAGCCACACATTTTGAAATATTGGTCAGTGTTTTTGCAGCAAGTGAAATACAAACCGTCTTTGAGTTTCTGCATGAGTCGGCTGGAGTACTTTAGAGCACCCAGGTAAACCAGTGCCTGGGGCACCCGATAATCGGCAAACATGGTCAGGGTGCCAATGTCATTGAAGAAGCCATCGCCCTTGCCCTCCAGGAGGCCCCAGATGTCAGCCACCAGGATCTGGGCTCGCTTGTACAGAGCCACCCTTTTGCTCTGCAGGCACACACACACACATTCAAACACAGCACAGAGATAACAATGCACATCCAAATGAGTCTAGAAAAGTATCCGTGTTGGGCACAATTTCACGTTGGCACTCTGCATGATTAAGATACGATCACTTGCTCTGCTTGTGGATAATTGTGAAGTATATGTTTAATAAAGGCAAGAGCATATATTTACGTGGTATTTTAAAACAGTGGTAACACATTTACATCATAGACATGAACTTAAAAAGGAATTCCAATAACCATACAATATTTATTTACTTATAAAGGCAGTCTCGCATTGTATATAACTTATCAAGCTTTGAGGAAAAACAGGTTGTTATGATACTGCAGGCTATATAGTAAGCAGCAGAGGGCAGTACGGCAAAATCAATTGGCTGTACTTTACTTCTATGCTCCCTGCCTTCACCAACCTGCACTGACTGGCGTGAAATATGGCCAACTCCCACAACATGGGGAGGCCCTCATCCAGCAGTGTACTGACAAAAAAGGCTGTGTACAATTGTCCACATTTAAACAGGAAGGACAACTCTCTCCATGGGACAATCGCTGTTGACCTCTGACATATGGTTGAACAGGAGTCATATTGGCCATGTCATGTCACAGAACAATCGCCTCCAAGGCCCAGACTTTGTGTAGGCGCAGCCACCACCTTTTGTCAATCCACCCACAAATTGGCAAAATGGCTGTGCGTGTAGTGTCACATAAGCAGGCTACATTACAGTATGTTCTCCTATAACCCAGTAGTTAATTCCCAGAGGAAATCACGTTATGGAAAAATTGCGTAAAGCACAGTCTGCGATAACATGTGAGATGCGTATGCAGGCGCAACAAAGACTGAGGTGCGTGGGTAGCATCTAGAAGCATCCTGCAGCATCCCGCAGCCTTGTGATGCTACGCCAAAGCAGCTGTACAACCACTTATTCCTACTCGCACGACAGAGTTCTGGTCACTCAATCGCGTTATATCCAATTTGCATCCGCGTTATAAGAAAGTGTTCCCTAATACATTGATCGCGTTGCATACAATTCACTTTATGAAAACACACGTTATAGGACAACAGCCCGTACGTACATCGTGCGCAATGTACCTTGAAGGTTGCTTCATCCCGGTAACATGGGAAGTTCTCCACCACCAACCGGAGCAGAGCCTGCGCACTGTGTCCGCAGCGACGCAAGCACTCCAGGAAGGAGCCGCCAAAGCTCTGGACGAGGATACGTCCCGTCTCCGTGAGCACGCGGTGCCGCTCCGCCAACATGGGCATTGGTGAGCCAGAGTCAGAGCGGAGAACGTGGCTCAGCTCCTCGAAGGTTATGTTGCTGTAGTACGACGCACTGGTCATATGAAACCCTGAACAAGATTATACATATTTATTGTTGATCATATACAAACTGCATTCTGCCTCCACATACATAGATGTTTTAATCCAACAGCCTATTGTCTTTCCAGACCAATACTATTCAGCTGTATTAGTTAATCAATCAAACCCTGGTCTGATTTCGACCCTGTAGGTCTCATAATACTGGTAGGAACCTCCTGGTTACACCAGCCCACAGGGGATTATTGTGTCCGTCCGTCGTGCATCCAAAAATGGGAGGGGTGGGGCTGGGTGGAAAGGGGAGGGTGGGGAGGGGCTGGGTGGGGAGGGGCTGGGTGGGGAGGGTGGGGCTGGGTGGGGGGTGGGGCTGGGTGGGGAGGGGCTGGTCACACCGTGGTGCCCTTATAAAACTCAACGTTTAACCTACTCACGCCGGCTTGTGCCCGCCCTCAGTCGGCCATATTTGCGGAATACACCACGCAGCCGTTGACCCTGGCCATTGACCGAGCAACCCAATGTTCCTACCAGCTCCCTCCGCAGGAATGTGTTTAAAATTACGTACTCCAGTGGCACGATGGTATCTGCCTTCGCCTGGTATACAGGTCGCAAGTTCGATCCCAACCCTGACACCTGTATATTTTAAGTTTGCATGTTCTCCCAAATGTTCGCGTGGATTTTTCTCCAGGTCCTCTGGGTTTTCCCTCCACATTTAGAATCGACATGCATGAATAGTATTTGGTTGCTATAATTTTCCACGTGATAAGCCACTTCGTTGAGCTATCATTTGTGGCCAGATCGCTTCCGAAAAATAGCTATATAGCTCAGTGGGCCTTACCTGGTCAAACAAAAATAGCATAGCATAAATGTATTTGTTTTTATACAACAGCCTATTGTCTTTCCAGAATATCAAGCAGCATTTGTTTAAGCAAACCCTGGTCTGATTTCGACCCAGTAGGTCTCATCATTCAAATAAGACGAACTGTTCATTATGGGAGAAATTATTCCAAATGAACGATTAGTGAGGCTTTATGTAGCTTGCAAACCTTTTTTTGGCCATGCTCGATTCTATAGAAACAGATTTGGCCAAGGTATCCCAAAGCCTGACACACTGCATGAATGCCAGGTTCATACTCCAATTGTATTCATCATGAAATGCAAACAAAACTCCTGAGAGAAAACTTTTTTTAAAATTCAGCTACAACTATGACAAAGGCTGCAGGGAATTGTAAAGAAAAGACCATACTTTAAATTGTAATAAAATAGCACAAATAAGCAGGTGTATAAAATACATTTTATAAATATTGAACTGAAACTCTCATACATGCCTACGTGCACCCGCACATAAAACCCCCAGCTTGTACGATAAACATTAAATACAAGTACAAAAGAAAAGAAAAAACAACCTTCATCAAGGGCACGGTTCATAGCGGCACAGAGGGTCCAGTACCCGCTGTACATCTCTTCCTTGTATTTCACCAAGCACTTTGTGTCATCGCTCTCAGCCCAGAAAGAGAAATTAAGTGTGTCCACCACGAACACCCAGTTAATGGCATCCTCGTTGCTCATCTGAGGATGAAGCTTGTGCATGCTTTTCCAACACTCCACCCCGAAAGTCTTCTCCTGATACTTTTCACACAGCACACTTGCCACCGACCGCACGCCCTCCTCTGCAATAGAAACGTCCTTGCTGTTCTTGGCAATGAATCGCCCGGCATCACGTGGACACAGAACCTCCTCCATTCCGTCTTCTGTTAAAACAAACATATGCATGCATGGCCATTCAAGCAGGGGACATTGTAGTAAATCCGTTTGACGTCTTCCTGTGCATACCACCCAGCAATATAAATGGGAACACCAGTTCGTCGATCGACAGATGGTGGGGTAAAGGGTGGGTACTGCCACCTCTTCCAAGACACCTGGCCAGAATGAAAAGCCAAATGCGAAGGGGCTCTAGTGGAGGCCCTTCTGCCAGCAGTGGTTTGAGCAAGCAATTTCAGGGCTGCACCTACACCGTTTTGAATATGCTCCTTCTACGTGACTTTACCGAAAGAACCAGGATGAATCCCTGCAGTCACGAAAGCTTTAAATCGAAATTTATGCTCCGATAATATATGGTAATTATTTAAAGCAGGTTTTTGTTTTACTAAATTTTTTTCAAGCTGAGATGAAGTTTTCATGATGAGCACTGCAACGCATCGTGTTAAGAGTGCAGCCCACGGAAGCAGATATCACAGAACATGAGATTTATTCAGGTAGTGTTGCATTGAAATGTTTGCGTATATTAAACAAAAATAACAGCCACCTTTCAATGAAGGCTACAAAAAGTACTGCAATTTAAATCAATTTAAAAAATCTGACAGTATAATATTGAGCCTGTTAGGTGTTAAAAGCTAGGGTCACGAGAAATGTTTTAGTCCATGCGTGGTTATGTTCAGCTCCAGTGAAGGCTTTTTTTTATTTAGTGGTTGAAATCCCAAATTTCTTTTACAGGGCCTAATCCATCCGTAAAACTACCGACGACATTCCATAAAACTGGTGCAGCCACTCCAGGTGATGTTCCAACTCAAGTCGGCCCTTGGCCAGCACATTCATTAGACGTGCGAACATCTGCTGAACATTTATTGTCTGCCTCTCAAGAGTCAACAATCTGATATTGCAAGCGACTACCCTAGCTTGCGTTAGGTATCTCACAATGTGCACGCATTACAAACATTGCAATGCAATCTATGCTGCAATTGTCCGCAAACACGAGAACGTCTTTAGGGAATCACAACCATCCACACAAAACAACTCTTGTTCTGGAAATGTCCAGGTAATGAAAATCATGAGTCATGCAAAGATTCATTCAATCAATACTATTGAAAACGTGCTTACTCTTATCTAGTGCAACCTTAATGGTGCTGTTTATTGCTGGCTGCTTAGCATTTTGGGGTGCTCAACAACATCGTTAACAGCAATGCAATCGGTCCCATTATCCGAATCAAACATCTGTTCTTTCACGCCATATTCATGAGCCGATTGAATCGAATCGAGTTTAACATACGAATCGCTGTTTCGTCGCGTCATATGCCGATTCCGTAGGTAAAGTTAGCAGAGGCACAAAAGCCCAAAGTCTGCGATATTGCAATGCAACAGTTACGGTGGCGATTCGTGAGAGTCGCAGTCAACGCGGTACGTTCGGCCTACGTTGGGCCAAAGTTGTTCCCACAACGCGGCAAACGTTGAGCGTTTACTCTGGTACAGACCTGGGCTAGGGCTAAGTTACAATTGTAGCCTCTTGCTAGCCGACTACAACGTTCGCGCTACAGATGCCGCTTGCACAGAGTTCGCACTGTACCGTACACGCAGGCTGCACGTGTTCGGGCAGCGAAGTTACTGTAAACTCCCCCCCCCACCGCCACGTGACCGCGCGATGACGTCACAACGTAATCGCGCGGTGACGTCGCCACGTAATCGCGCGGTGACGTCACCACGTAATTGCGCGGTGACGTCACAACGTAATCGCGCGGTGACGTCACCGCGTAATCTCGTACGGGTCGAAGGGGGGGGGGGACGTGCCTGGGAAACACCATTCATGGGGGTTGCAGAAGGGCCGTTGCCCGAAACGTCGCCGATTATATATTGTTTAATTGAAGGCTACAAATGTCTTTGAGTCGTTTTTTTTAGCCTGTCGCTTCTTGCCAAAGCAACAGCGGCGATCACAGTCACAGGGTTGGGTCGCGTGCGGTGTTGATGTGTCGTGACACCCACCCACCCACCACCACCCGACGCGGCCATTTGGTACGGATTTTTTGCTTTGACAGTTTCACCTGAAGACGGAAGCTTGTGTTGCCTCCGAAACGTCGTGATTTTATTGGTTATATTTTTTTATTAATTTTAATTTATTTTTTACCTACGTGACTTTACCGAAAGAACTAAGAGTATGAATCCTTGCAGTCACGAAAGCTTACAAATCTACATTTGGTGAAGGTTTGTCGCGCCGCGTGCCCAGACACAGCGACTGCTTCAGCACGCCCCCAGGTGTCTTGTTGAGAGAGGGGGGGGGGACCCCCCCACGACTTTTAGCAATCTTAGGGGCCGTCCATAAATGACGTAACGGGACGGGGGTCAGATTTTTGTGACGATGTGTGACGCGGTTTGAGAAATGTGACGTCACATCAAAATGCGCAACTTTAAATAAATATAGAATTCTTCTTGGTTCTTTCGGTAAAGTCACGTAGAAGGGAAGTAATAAAATAATAAAAAATAAAACATAATAAAATAAAATTATTCTCACGACGTTTCGGCTACAACGCAAGCAGCCGTCTTCAGGTGAAGAATGAGACACTGCCAATCTAGGAGCTTATATATATAGTTTAAAGCGATTTGAACCATGTTTTATTTTGGAGCGGGGGGGGGCAGAGCTTTGTGACGTCATATTTGAGGGGGGGGGGTCTGACTTTTTGTGACGCCGTGTGACGAGGGGGGTGGGGGGGGTCAAAACTCGTCAAAAATCGCGTGACGTCATTTATGGACGGCCCCTGTTTAAAAATAATCAAACGGTCTCCGATTGGGGGAAAGAGGCATTCGGGGTGATTGTTCGGGAGGGCAGACTTTTAAAGGGGTTGTAGAATAAGGGGGTTGAACGCAGGGACGAGAATGTTCGAGAAAGGGGTGTGTGGGATATATAAGTGTAGAGACCACGAGGAGTGGGGGACGCTCGGAGGAAGATACAAGCATGAGGACAAGAACGAAGCCTAGGGTCCCTCATCGTGGACGTCTTTAGTAGGGTTCCTGATTGTGGAAATCTCTAATAAAAGTGGCGCTTCTTATTACTTTGTCGTCGGGGTCATTATAAATACACGCCAGTGACGTGCGGTGAGGTCAATGGCTGGGGAGGCACTGGCTCGTGTCAGAGCCACATTCACACACTGAGGGGGGCGTGGTCTCAGTGAGGGGGCGTGACCTCACCTAACACGCCCCCTCAGTGAGGCAGACGTGATAGCTGCCTCCCCTGGTGCTTTTTCATTGCAGTTTCATGACGAGACCAGCGAGCCTAAATATCTTTATACAGTAAAACCTTGGATTGCGAGCATAGTTTCGTTCCGGAATCGTGCTTGTAATCCAAAGCAATCGTATATCAGTTGTGATCACGTGACGCTCGGCAGACAAAGCGTATACACGTACTACTCGTATTGCAAGACCTCGCTCGTTTATCAAATCAATATTTATTTATTTTGCTCGCCTTGCAAAACACTCGCAGACCAAATTACTCGCAATCCAAGGTTTTACTGTACATATCTTTATACCTAAATATCTTTATACACATTTACGTGACATAAGTTACCTGGAGTATGGAAGGCGAGGACATGAAATGAAGGGGTCTACAAACATTACATTGGTGACATACTGAGATAGTAACAGGCACGCGCTTATTGCCCGCGCTCCATTCAGTTTCTGAGAGGTTGCGCAGAGGGGAGGCTGAGCTCGTCGCTGCCTCACCTTTCATCTCTTCCTGTATTTGCAGCGGAGCTCCCCAAATTTGGCTATTTTGACTATAAAAATTATTGCAATCGTACAGAAATGACATTTATAACAGATCAGTGGAAAAATCTTAATATATATTTTTTACTTTTCGTAACAGCTATTTTCATTGGAGTATGACAGGTGAGGCTCTGCCTCCCCTGCCTCCCCTGACCGCACGTCCCTGGTACACGCCGTTGTGCCGAAGTGGTAAATCTGATCGGCGCGTTTCGGTTCGCGTGGCAAAACTTCCAACGAATTGGCCGTGTCGTGGTGGAGGTGGATTGACGACACATTTACATTGCATTAACTCGATCTAACACCCCCCCCCCCCCCCCAGAAAAACATGAATATTTCGTCGCGAAAGCCTACGTGTTAAATACCTCACTTCCGATTAGAACGTTTTGGCTACGTACGGTGCGAAAGAAGTTCAACATACAAACAGCAGCAGCCTTACCAAATAATTGGTTTAACTTTCAAATACCGGGCTACTTAGGTGGGCGAGGTGCCAAAGTATATCCGACTTTTTAACGATCCACCGTTAATTACGTAAATACAAAGTTACGCCCATGTACCGTTTGTAATGTATTTTATATATTTAGACTTGTAAGTGATATAAAAGGGAACAAAAACTGAAACCATCGAAAATCAAAAGCCAATTCCCGAATGCATAACCAGTAAACAACTTGGGGCCAACACGGGCATGATGCTACAAATAATGGGACTGCCTGGCACGTGTGACCGGTGTGACGTAGCTAACAAGTCACAACACTGCTTTTGGGAAGTGACTCAAGAAACGAAACACAACTCCACCAAAAGTAAAGTTGATACCAGCAAGGCTTACTTGTGCTTTGAAATCTGTGCTTCTCTTACCTGTACGACAAACTCACCTGGCCTCGTGGAGTAGTAGAAGAGCAAAGGGTACACCGACACGCCCACATCACGTGGTACCCAATACTAAAATTAACCTGTGAGCGAGTTAATAGTTGATGGCCAGTAGTGTTGCAAGAACTCACCCTGGAATTATACACTTGTACGTACAATATAAATGTAGTGACGCCCGACACAGCAGTCTTGAACAGTACGAGTCTTTATTTCTTCCAGCACGAGACACGTGCGGGTCTTCAAGGATCCCCTTGACTCCAAGCGTTCCAAACTCTCTCTCTCTATCTCGCTTCCTCTTTATATCATCCCTCAAGCCCCTTTTCCCGAAGGTTCCTTAACCTGCTTTCCTTCCAGCCAATCGCCTTCCACCTTTCCCAAGGGATTCCAACCGTTCCACCCGGTGTGCTGTACGAGCAACGAATTGTCACTTTTTGTTTACGTGACAAACCTCACTAATTGGCTGTGTCGGGTGGTGGCTGGTTTAACGACACATTTATATTTACCCCGATCTAATCCAAAAAAAACTATTATTTATGGATAATATTGTTCGCGAAAGCCTACTACGTGTTAAACGTTCCACTTTGTCAATCATCCTCCGTTTGCCACTCTTCACATTTGTATTTCGACATCCAATCCCATTCAATTCCCTCCAACCGATTCCCCCTTTTAGGCCCGTTAAGCAGCAAGCCGAAGGCGTGCTTTACCTTTTGACTGTCCGTGTCAATCAAGTATTTATTTCTAAAGCACTATTTCGTGCAAATGATGCCATTCAAAGTGCTGTACAGATTAAACACAATTTTAATAGACTAAATCACAACAATAATAAAAGCAAATTCCATACAAAACAAAATTGCATTATAATAAATGACTATCGAAGGCATGTTAAACATAACACTATATAAGAATCTTAAATAAAAGCAAGTTTAAAAAAGTGAGTTTTTAGATTTAATTTAAAACTACAGAATGATTGTGAAGCCCTCAGATCCTCTGGCAAGCTGTCGTGCACCACCATGCCCCAATAACCTCGGGCAAGTATTTCCGGTTGTGACTGAATCACAACTTAAATATATATCATGTTCATACATAGCAACAATGTGTACGAACAATAAGTGCCACTATGATATTGTGATGGGACAGTGAGTTTGTGTAACGTGCATTCGTTTTTACTGTTTCAATAAATGTCCTCTTGAAATTGACATCTGATCCATGTCTACATCTACATGACAATAAAAAAATGCTATACAGTGGAAAATTTAGCAAAACGCCATTCCGTTGTTAAGTTTAAGGCTTGTCTTTTTTTTACGACAAAATCTATAAAACGTATCGTAAACATGTTTCCGTAAATTGTATTAATTTTTTTATGCAGTAACGATTTGTATATATTTGTAGCGTCTCAGTAAATATGGAACCTTGAGCCAACGTTGATTAAACGGTTCCAACCACGTGACATGTTTATTGGGATATTCGTCCAGGCGGGCCTGCAGATTATTCTGCCATGGGTGGATGGCACCTCTGGCAGAACGGCAGAGTGAAACAGAAACGATCTGACAGCTTCCAGAAGACCCTTTTTGAGGGCATCTGGGCAGGTTAACATGAATAGACTACAAGCCCTGCTCAGGGGAAATTAATTCGAGACATTATGGTTGCTTCTCTTAGTCCTCTGTATAGGAGGCGATAACCGAGACCAATTTTCACAAGATCTTATGAAATCATGTATTTGCTT